ACGATGCTAGAGGGGAGTTTCTCAACAATCGAATCCGTGGCTATGCCTACTCGTGGATGTAAGGGATCCTGCAACCAAGACCTGGTCCACTGACTTGGTCCAACCGGAAGGAAGGTTTAAGTTACTAAGGTTGCGACCCAAGGCTGTCAACTGCTCAGGTGTAGAGCCTGACACATCCTGGCACCTCAACATGCCAAACCCCTAAACCAAATAACGCCACCAATGCCGAGACCCCTGAAAGTAGAACCCCAGTCTCTATTCTGACACCCGACACCCCAAACCTAGGTAACGCCATGAAGGGCAAAACCCCTAGGCTAACCCTCCAATCCAACAATCTGTACCCTAACACCCGACGCGCCAAACCTAGCTAGTGCCACAAAGGGCGAGCCCGTCCAAATTGGCCCAGAATTGGCCCTAAGCAGAAAAACCGGCTGAGCATTCTAGGGTGAGGTAAGGCTTAGTGCTCCATGGGCCTAGGGTTAGGGACTTGTGGTTGTAAACCCTGGTTCTAAACCCTGAGCCGCACTTCGAATGAATTTGCTGGTCTGGTATCGGGTGTGTCTGGCTGGCAGGTAAGGGTCAACCAATCCTTCCAGGATATGCTGAGTCACTGACCCGGGCCATTTTCTGGTGTGGTGCCAATGGAATTTTCTGGACCGCCTGCGGTATTTCGACTAGCTGTACCAGGTTGTGGGCACAAGTATACGTGCGCGTCCGTGTCTGAATTTATGCTATAAAAACCCAGGTGTTGGAGCTGTTCTTACCTGTCCTGGAAGCTGTGGTTCCTCTATTCATGCCTCTGATGTTGCCTCTTTGTCTCTGGTAACAGTAGCGGTGGACCCCGAAGCCTTAACCCTGAGGGTTCAGGACTTGTGGTTGTAAACCCTGGTTCGAAACCCTGAGCTGTACTTCCAATTTCCAATGGGGTTGCCCGGGACTCATTTTGGCCTGGTATCGGATGTTAGGGTAAGTAGAGGTTCTTGGATAGGGGTGTTAGGGTAGAGATTGGGGTCTTAGGGTAGGGGTCCGGCTGGCAGGTAAGGGTCAACGAATCCTTCTGAACCGCCTGCTGTACTCCTGCTGTATTTGGGCAGAAGAATACCTGGGAGTCCGTATCTGGAATTATTCACAAAAACCTAGGTGTTGGAGCTGTTCTTACGTATCTTGGAAGCTGTGTTTCCTCTGTTCCTGCCTCTGATGTTGCCTCTTTGTTTCTGGTAGCAGTAGTGGTGGGCAGGTGTACACCGAGGCCTTAACCCTGAGGCTCTCAGGCGTCACTAGTACTACTACTACTACTACTACTACTACTACTACTACTACTACTACTACTACTACTACTACTACTACTACTACTACTACTACTATTACTACTACTAGTACTACTACTACTACTGAATCCGTGGCTATCCCTACTCGTGGATGTAAGGGATCCTGCAAACAAGACCTGGTCCACTGACTTGGTCCAACCGGAAGGAAGGTTTAAGTTACTAAGGTTGCGACTAAAGGCTGTCAACTGCTCAGGTGTAGAGCCTGACACATCCTAGCACCTCAACATGCCAAACCCCTTAACCAAATAACGCCACCAATGCCGAGACCCCTGAAAGTAGAACCCCAGTCTCTATTCTGACACCCGACACCCGAAACCTAAGTAACGCCATGAAGGGCAAAACCCCGAGGCTAACCCTCCAATCCAACAATCTGTACCCTAACACCCGACGCGCCAAACCTAGCTAGTGCCACAAAGGGCGAGCCCGTCCAAATTGGCCCAGAATTGGCCCTAAGCAGAAAAACCGGCTGAGCATTCTAGGGTGAGGTAAGGCTTAGTGCTCCATGGGCCTAGGGTTAGGGACTTGTGGTTGTAAACCCTGGTTCTAAACCCTGAGCCGTACTTCGAATGAATTTGCTGGTCTGGTATCGGGTGTGTCTGGCTGGCAGGTAAGGGTCAACCAATCCTTCCAGGATATGCTGAGTCACTGACCCGGGCCATTTTCTGGTGTGGTGCCAATGGAATTTTCTGGACCGCCTGCGGTATTTCGACTAGCTGTACCAGGTTGTGGGCACAAGAATACGCGCGCGTCCGTATCTGAATTTATGCTATAAAAACCCAGGTGTTGGAGCTGTTCTTACCTGTCCTGGAAGCTGTGTTTCCTCTATTCATGCCTCTGATGTTGCCTCTTTGTCTCTGGTAACAGTAGCGGTGGACCCCGAAGCCTTAACCCTGAGGGTTCAGGACTTGTGGTTGTAAACCCTGGTTCGAAACCCTGAGCTGTACTTCCAATTTCCAATGGGGTTGCCCGGGACTCATTCCTGCACGCCCGTCCTTTGAAAAATTTGTACCTAGGTACATTTTTCCGAAAGGACAGGGCAACCGTCACGCAGTTTTCCGTCCTTTGGGAGGCTTGCATGTTGGGGAAATTGAGCCGGGAGTGATGGATGGCACCCACATGAGCCAAAAAACCAAAAAGGCAACAAACGAGAGACCCGCGGCAGATTTCAAGCAAAAAAAGCGTATATGTGCATATTATGTAGTATGTGTGTGTGTGTTATGCGTGCTAAAACATGCGATTTATATAGCGTTTACGAATACCCCCAACCCTAAAAAACCCTTTCCCTTCCCTCTTCACTCACAGATTGTCGCACCGCGGTCATGCAAGAATGGTTGCATCAAGGCAAAGTAGTACACAGCGATATTTGTTCGGCCATCGTTGTGAAACTACAGGAGGCCAGAGGCCACATCGTCCTCAAACCCCGTTACAAGGCGGCAACACCACCAAACCACGCAATCGATACACCGAAATATTATAAACCCTCCGCCCCAAACCGGGTACACCCTTTGACGCCGAACCCGTAACCGCCCAGAGGGCACCCAAAAACAAACAAACTCTTTATTTTAACCTACGGTCAACCCGCAAGCCATGCAAACTTGAACTCCGCTAGCTTGGCAACCCCCGACCTAAACCTCAAGCCCCAAGCCCTAAAACACCCGAAACCGTAGAGCCAACAATAAAGGCCTATAAAACGCCAAAACGTAAATCCGAAACCTCGAACAGCAAGCCCTAGGCCCGAAACCGCAAACCCTAAAACAACCCTAAACCCGAAACCGCATATAAAGCCCTTTTTTGTATATATAAAATTTTGGTCTGGTATCGGATGTTAGGGTAAGTAGAGGTTCTTGGATAGGGGTGTTAGGGTAGAGATTGGGGTCTTAGAGTAGGGGTCCGGCTGGCAGGTAATGGTCAACGAATCCTCCTGAACCGCCTGCTGTATTTGGGCAGAAGAACACTTGCGAGTCCGTCTCTGGAATTAAGAAAAAAACCAAAAGCTGTAAAGTTCAGGGGTTTGAGACCGGTTTCACGCAGCCGAAACCCCGAGTTCAAGCCCTGCAAACCCTGCAACTGGTCCGCAGACTCTAAGTCCACAATCTGAGCCTACACCTTTGACGCTAAACTATAAACCTTAAGCCCTAAACCCGATAAGCCCGAAACCCCGTAGTACTAGTCGTCGCCGTCGTCCTAGCAGTGACCCCGAAGGCCGAGAATTGTGCTCCGTGGGCCTAGGGTCAAGGACTTATGGTTGTAAACCCTGGTTCTAAACCCAGGGGGTTTAGGATTGCAGACTTAAGGTGTTTGGGGATTTCAGCACTCACTCTCGGACGAACCACAGCGAGGATTCCAGTCTCGACAACGGCGCATTGGCCTCTCACCCAGCACACTAGCCAGGGCAAACATTAACACATCTCTCCTAAGCACGACACCATCCTCCTCAACTGAAAGACCACAGGCTGACTTGCACGCATGGCATCCACAGGTAACCCCATCGTTCCAGCTATGCAGACTCGCACACCACTGTTGTGTCCAAGATCGTTTGGGGATTTAGGGTTAAGGGTTTCCACCCAACCTGTAGGTCCTAATTGGCAGTGAAGCCAAAACCCTTTTTACCGGAAAGAGCTCCGCTTTCAATGGTCTAAAGGTGTTGAGTTTAGCTGACAATGCAACTCACAAGAGACGTGTGCACTGAGCCTTCGTGATGTTCGCGAATGTTTGCTGTTAAGCTTGGGCCCAAACAAAACACCAATCGTTCTGATCTCTGGAGGGGCGGGAAGGATTTCGGGCTTTCGTCGAGAGGATTGTGCAAATACAAAGTTTTCGCCAGTACATCTACGCTGTCACACTCGGCTGCGCCCTCTCTAGCGGCATTACAGAAGGCGGTTTAGGATTTAGGGTTTGGGGTGTAGGGTTTAGGGTATGGCTGATTCCTTATGTCTGAAGGGAGCACGATGACGGCCCTTATTCCGGGCCGTGGCTAGGCTTGTGAAAGATTGCTCCGCACTGCCCGAGCCACATGGCGATACAGTCTTCGGGGGCCTAGTGGGGGACCAATCCATGTTTGTTCAAGATGTCTCGCTTCATAACCCCAGCCTAAGCTGAGGCTCTTGGAGCCTCGAGGGAAAGCCTAGACCCAATTCTCGCAAGCCTCTGAACATGACACTCCGGGCCGCTGGCAAAGAAGTCTTGCTCAGAAGTTTGGCCTGCACGGAAGGCAAAATCAAACTGCATGCGCAAGGCAAAAGCACTTCGAGAGACGGCGACAGTGATAATCGCGATCTTTTTACTTCAGTGGCGCATGCCCTGCACTCGTCGACGAGCTTAGGAAGGCAGCGACAGCTCTTTGGCAGCACACGACGACCTAATGTACAAGGCCTGCTGGTGCATTATTGTAAACCCAGGACACTAGAGGTATAGATTTCGGTTTTAGGGTCCACGAATAATGGAGTCAAGAATAATATTTCCGATCATAGGTAACTTCGACTTTACATAGTCAGGGCCTGGGGATCTTTACGGGTGGTGCTGCACGAAAAGTGCCTGCTACAGCGAAGCCGTCGGAAGATGAAGAATTACAGGTCCAGGCCGTCTGTGCCGTTGCTGCTGCTGCTGCTGCTGCTGTCGTTGCTGTTGTTGTTGCTGCTGCCCATTGTTGATGATGAGGTCTTGCAGTCCTACCTACGGCCTAGACGACCCTGACCCTGCAGAGGCTCCTCGGCCAATGGCCTCATCCAGCTGCTTCTCCTGCTGTTTTTCACCCCACTCCCATATCGTTGCGTGCGCCGGCGCCACCTCGTTCAACGTCTTAAAGAGGGTGTACACCTGGTCGTAAAGCTTGTTCCGCAATTTGCGATGCGCCTGCAAATCGGACTCCCTGCTCGCCTCTGCTTTGTCAGCTCGTTCACGCTCGTGCTTCAGCTCAGCCTCCACTGTCAAAGACTTGCTGAGCGATGCCTCCAGCTGCTCATTCTGCATCCGAAGCGAGGCATTGTCCTTCTCGAGTCTGCGGATCCGCCCCCTCAGGTCGTCCGCGCCAGTCTCCTGCAGCTGCCGCCGATGCTCCTTTTCCAGTTGGCGGGTCTTGTTGTCGTGCTGGATCATCGCCTTGTGCAGCTTTTGGCGGTGGCTTGCCTGCAGGGATGAAAGTTTGTCTCACCATAGCTGAAACGAGCGAAGCTCAATTTATAGTAATAAGGCAAGGGCCTCGGAATTTGATCACCCTGGCCTGGGCCGCCAGGTCCTTCTGATTCATGGTTTTGTCCCACTCCTCCTCCTGCTGCTCCAGACGCTTGGTCATGTCCGCCAGAAGCTGGGACTGCGAAGCGATCAACCCTTGCCTCATGGCCTTTCGCTTGTCTCGATGCGGCCCATACTTTGAAGACCTCCGATGATTCATTCTTCGAAAGCATTCCAAGCAACATCGAAATCAACCATATCTATTTGCTACTCCGAATCTTAGCAAGCTCCACGAATGCCCGGTTCGACAAAGAGGCCTTGAACGCTTCTTCTTCTTGCCGCGGGCAGCAGGAGCCGCACTGTCTCCAGGAGCCGCCGAGTCACCTGCAGGGTAGAAGAGTGTCGTCGGGTTCCCGGGTTTAGTAAAGCACACTGTGCAGTTGGCCCTCAACCCCAAGTGGCTTGCGCAACCAACCGTTCCCGTCGTTATCCCTGCCGAGCCTGTGTCGCTCTCATCTGCGGCGTCCAGGATCCCTGCCAGATGGGCAACCACGACCCCTACCCGAATAGTCAATCTGAGCTATTGAATCATTCGTCCTTATTGACGCAGATAAGCCTCGCCCTGCCGTATTAGTCCCTCCCGCCTTGTTCGCGGAGCCACACCAGCCACTCCTCCTCAGTGAAACCGCCAATCAGACGGGGTGTCGATGAGGACGAAGCAGCAGACGCCATGATGCAGAAGCCTGTTTGCCCTCACCTGTCGCCTTTGATCTGCAATTTAGTGAAGCCTGAGTCTTAGCTACTGCCTAAACTGGCCTGGAAGTGGCTATCTGCCGCAAAGCAGCCAGGCTAAGAGAGATCGGACCCCCAATCAAAAATTGTCGTTTGGAGTATTTATTCAGACATGCTGCATCGATGCCCCTTCAACTCTGCCTGCTGCAGCCTTGAGCCACAGAATCGCACGGGCAATCTCATTCAGCGCCGACCAAACCGGAAAGGACCGTTGCTGTGTTGGCTTCGAGGAATGGCTTCTCCGTCGTTATTATACATCAGTGTAAGGGATTGCTTCTGTACGGGTTTGTTGAGTGGTCTGAATTTAATCGAACCCCGAAACCATGAACCGAAATCAAGCCTCGCCCCTGAACCCTAGCTTCAGGCAGCAGTCTGTGCTGAACCCCAATTCCTGACTAGGTGACAGCGCGGTCAATTTAAAAGCAGCCCGAAAAATGCAGCCTTCTCCGTCCCAAACGTTGAGCAGCGCCCGCTGCATCATCCAAGCCTCAACCGCAACGGCTCGAGGATGTGACAACCGTGGGGAGGGGAAGGCACGAGGAGGCTGTCAAGATTTTGTATTCTTTGTCACGGCCCACTAGGCATGTTCCACCCTCTCGGTGACTAACCTCATCAATTCCACTGTCGTGCATAAAACGAAAGGCGAAGTGTTGCCTAGTAACTACTAGTATCGGCCAGGCATATTATTGCCCAAGCCTTGCAGAGCAAACGGCTTAATGATAGTGGCGGGGCTTTCCGATTCATGCTTTGCCAGAAAGACTGGTTCAACGCAACTTGATGTAACTTATCCCAAGCAGGTTCGGGACACAGTGCGTAATGGCGAAAGCCACCGTACTCCGGCTGCAACGAAGCACAACAACCCTGAGAATCTCTGAAGCTAAACCTGACCCAACGGCTGGGAATGCCGCCAGCAGAAGAGCGGGGAGCCACGGCCAGCGCCAGCACCTGGGAACGGCGTGCGGATGCAAAAGTTCTGTTCTTTTTGTCTGATCTAAACCTGCAAGCTCCGCGGGCAAAGAAATCCGAAACACTCTCAAGGCGCACCTTCAACACCATTAGCGGGCACCAGGGTATCCCTGAGAAGATATGGCATGACACCGGCCAAGAGAAAGCCTAGAAACCCGGGATCAATCCAGATTTATCCATCGATTGCAGCGTTTGGTCCCAACGACACTCCAGAACCCCAAACTCTGTTTGCGTCCCAAACCAAGCCATCAAGGATTGCAGTAATCTTACCCCGCATGGCGTCTTTTTTCACCCGCGCTGACTCGGCCGAGACTTCGCTTGGCGCCTAGGGACGCAGCGGCATTGTACTGGGCGACTTGTTGTCGGAGATCTTGGAGCGGAATGCCAGATGAAGTCTCCATGCCCAGAATTTGGCCCAGAATCTCTTCTGCCTCAGACGGTCCGCGATCCCGAATACTTGGTTGCTGAGTTGAGCCCCAAAAAGTGTACGCTTTCAGTTTTAATTTTAATTATAGTGGGTATAATATTATTCCGTGGCCAAGCAGCTGCCCGTGCTTCCCGCTTCGCCCTGGCACGCCGCCGAGACTTCTGGCCTTTCTTCGCAGTCTTCTTGACCTTCGCCGGAGCCACCGCTGCTGCCTTCGCCGATGATGTCGACGCCGGAGCCTTCGATGATGACGCCTTGAACTGCGGAGGAACAAGCAACCATTGTTCAACCCGCCTCCGAAGCCTTTCGAAGAACTACAAGATTCTAAAGCGAAGAACTACAAGATGCTAAAGCCCCCCCGCCCTAAACCCTAAACCCCAAAACCGTAATTCCGCAGGCAAAACCGAATACTTCAAAGCAAGAGTCAGTCGATGACTTCTGAAGTGCCTGCAGAGCAGATCTGAACTCCGGCTCAGTGAGATGGCTGAGACGCGAGTCCACGATGAAGTCTTCGTTCATCAAAGCGGCATCCTGGCGCGGCGATATCGAGTGGGCTCCCACCTTAACCCCGAGAATTGAATCCTGAACCCACGGTCCTCCAAGCCATCCGAAACCTCGCCGCTCTCCGTTGCTACTTCAGTAGGAACCGGACTGTGAGCTGGCTCGGTCGAGGAGCAGTCTTCATCTCGCATGGAGCGACTCATGGCGGCGACAAGGCGACAGAGCTGTGTGCACGGGTGTTTGTTTGTTTGTGTGTGTGTGGGTGTGTCTGTGTGTGTCTGTGTGTGTGTGTGTGTGTGTGTGTGTCTGTGTGTGTCTGTGTGTGTCTGTGTGTCTGTGCATCAGCGTCAGCATGAAGTGTGTCAGTAAGCTGCACTAAGCTGCTAAGGTCTTAGACGGTCAGGACGGAGAGCAGCTGCCAAGCTATACTTATCTGCATGTGATACGTCCCTGAAAGCCCCCTATGTCTCCATACTTATGTGGATTCTTGCTGAGTAAATTAAAGCAATAACGGTCTGAAAGTCTGAAAGTTCAACCGATGCTCGAATTTGTATGGCATTGGCTCCCACGCCCTTGAGATGAAGCGGCGGTGCGCAGGTTTGCAATCGTGAGCATGGGTGCCCTATGCTATGACTGGAAAGCCAAGCTCGGCACCGTATCCAACCGCGCGTGCCGCATGGATGCCGCCCGATCCTGGCATCAATTCGAGAAGTTAACTAGGCCGATAAACCGTGGGGATAATCAATGCAAACAGCCCTGCTCTGCCTCATACACCTGATACCCCACGAAAACCTATTATTGCACCTGAGACCTCACCCATTATTCAGGACATTAACACTAACACATTTTGATGAATACCTGAGGCGTTAGGTTATAATATCCAAAACAGATCACTGGATATACCAGGCTGAGCACGGGGTACTAGTCTTCGTGGTTCCTAAGCCCTAAATCCTAAACCTTATGACGGGAGGGGTGCCCTGAACCTGAACGGAGCCTGGACGCCCTAGACCGAAGTCCAGAGCGAGCCAGTCTCCATGGGCCTTGGCACGCCTGCGACGCCCGGGAGCGAATCCCGAGCTGCTCCTCGCCGAGCTGGCCCTCCGTCGGCACGTGAACCGTGCTCACCCTCTGGTCGAACACCTGCTGAGCCGAGGTGGGCATGTTTGTGAGCGCCGAGGTGACCGAGGAGCCCAGCTGCTGAACAGCCTGCCGAGCCGCCTCGTCCATGAGAGCCGGAGGGCCATTCCGAGCTCGAACGGCGTTGTTCTCGTCGTGCGACCGGTGGGCGAGCGCCTCCTGCCGGACGAACTCCAATGGGCAGATCCTGAGCTTGGATCGAGCCCTCACGTGGAAGTTCCCATGATCCACTGGGAACTCGTCTGTCGCAGTTCCCACTTGCTCTTGCTCGCCGGCGAACGCACTGTGGTACCAGGGGGCGATCACCGCAGACAGCTGGGCGAACTGCTGGATGTGGTCCGGACCTTCCACGCGAGCGCGCTGGCTCCGACAGGCCTGGATCGTGTTGATCAAGGCGATCAAGGCGGGGCCCGAGATGTGGCTGACCGTGAGCCACGTGCCCGGCACCGAAGTCCTCCCGCACTTGAGATCGATCCTGTTGTTGGCGTCCCGGAACCGAAACTCAACACGATCGGCATCGTTCCCGTAGCCTTCTCGCGATGAGCGATCTGTCACCCTGAGCTCACAAGTGCTCATGGCATGATCACTCGCAATCACTGCTCCTCTCGGGCCGATCGTGTAGACCCGGGCTCCGACCTCGAACAAGGTCACGGAGACCTTCCATCCAACGAAGACCGAGATGACGATCGAGGGTCGGAACCATCCTTCGTTGGCCGACCGGATCAAGACCTCGTCACAGAACTGCTGCTGGACAGAGAGATCTGAGTCCGAGCGGTAGCCCCTGAAGACCCAATGGAAGAGGACCTCATTTCCATTGAAGACCTTCACATCCACATAGGTGGCCGAGGTCTCGAACATCACCGGCCACGTGAAGGGCTGGAAAGCCGGGTGCGATAGCGCCCGACTCGCATAGGAGTCCCACTGAGCACATGGGCCCCCTGTTCTCGAAGTCATCGAGAAGAGCAGAACTGCCTTGATACCGTCGAGCGTATAGTTCGCGAACAGCGAACAGTGGTAGCCCGAGTTCGGGGGCATGACCAGGTCCCGCTCCGTGAGCACGTTGATCGAACTGGCGGCATTCGAGATGATCTCCTCGGCCAGCCAGTTCTGGAACGGGGAGATCACCCGATCGTCGCGATTGTCGATGATGAGGAGGGAGTTCTTGGTCTCATCCTCCTCCTCAACCACGAGCTGGCGAACGAACTCGGGTCGCTGCACCGTGAAAGGGTTGTGAGCAGCGGGAGCACCACGATCGCGACGTCCACGACGATCGTCGCGACCCCAGCCTCCAGAGCCCCAATCACCGGATGCGGCAGCTGGAGCCGCGGGATTCTCGGGAGCCTCTGCCTCGCCTGGAACGTAGTGTCCCCAGTTTCCCGGATTCTCAGGCTGACCAAGCCGGCGAGGCAACCCGAACTGTGGGGCCATCGGAGCCGCCATCTGCCGACCTTGATGGAAGCCAGCGGGAGGGAACGACATGGCTGCAATCGAGCGAGCCTATTCACTTCCACCTCCCACGCCGAATTTTTCGGTATGGCCCGATCGGCTATCGCCAAAATGGCCACGGAAAAGAAAGATCACGTCTGTTCCAACGATCGCGAAACTGATCTCCTAATTCCTACCCACCAGACCGATAATTAGGAGACATATTCAATGCGAAAAACTATATACGAAATATATGTAATACGTGGTGTATAGATATATACAGATGTACATATGTGTATACATGGGTGTATACCTATAACATACACACGTACGTATACATATGTATGTAGACATATGCAACGGTGTAGATATGTAATCATCGCTATATAGGTATATGCAGCTGTATACAGTTGCATATATCTAAAGACACATGTATTCAAGTTGGTTTAACCAATATATAGCAACTCAGTTGCAGTAAAAAAGAGTGTGGTGAGAAGCGTAGCTATCAGCCCAGCGACCGGCCGATGGAATGGACGAAGGTGTCTGCCTGGCAAAGCCGTTTATGTTTTGCATGTACTACTCAAAAATAAAGTCAAATTATATAGGGGTACCGTATTTTGAAGTCCTTTTAATCAGAATCCTACTATGTAGGGTACTACGACAAAGTTGTTGGAGTTTTGATGTCTGCTTATGCCTTCGATACTCTATACTAGACCTTTGACGAACAGCACTCATCTTGCCCTTCTGGAACTGCACCGATGCCAAATCAAGACTCGTGAAACATTCGCTGCAAGCAGTGCGGCCAAAACATGCAACACGAATCCATGTGTTTCGGAGTGTTTCAGTTTCAGTTCGGTCGCGGCACGAGTGGGATGCCAGTATGGCAGTGTGAGGTGCGAGGCATCGCAGCATTCCATGTTTGGCGCTCACTGCAGATTGGTCCGTCAGGTCGGCGGGAACAGCTGCATTCACGCGAGAGATTGCAAGCCCTTGCAATGCTATACTATACTACTATGCTATCTATACCACTATACTACCATACTAATTACCAGACTACTCTACTACTATGCGAAACACGCGAAGCGATCTGGATCTGTATTGTTCCGAATACGGGGAAGTAGAAGACGCGAATCGCGTGAACACGCGCCTCCGACACATTGCGAAGCTTCTTCAAGCAAGCATGGCGGCCGGCTGTCTCCTGCAGAACTTACGATGTCCGCATGTGGTGAGCAGCAGGAAAAGTAGAGAGTGCCAAGTCAAGCTTTCAGGTTACAGCTGATTCGCATGCACTTGCACCGCCACTGCTCGCAGGTCCTGCCCATTCTCGCCCAATTCATACCTGACGCTGCGGTTGTCAGGCAGAGGGCAGGAAGCGTCAACCCCACCGGGAGATGCTGTTTTCAGCAGGAAGCCTTGGGTTGACAACCCCTTATCACACTCTTGGGGACCTCCCGCCCATCCAGAACAAAGGAAGCCAGGCAGGGCTCTTTGAGTCTTTCACCGGCACCACTGCGACATCGAGGAAGTTTGAGTTTGCGGTTCAAAAACGTGGGAAGGATTAAGAAAGCAGGCGATCTCTTTCGCAATTGCTGCACGGCAAATGAAATCCTTAATACAGAGGCCTTATAATAACTAGAACAGGGTTTTGGGGCCCGTTATACTACAGGTAGAATAAGGAACCCCCAAAATCCATCTCTCTCTCTCTCTCTCTCTCTCTCTGCCGTATTGGTGATTATTTGGGCTCTTATAGTACAAAGCCGAAAGGCTCTGCGCCCTCGTCGACCTCGAGAAGCTTGCAGCCAGAGCCTTCCACCAGCGGCTCCTCACGAGCTCTGGGGCTCTGTAGGCTCTGGTATGCTAGTCGGGCTTCCATACAGCGGGTGACAGGGTTTAGGGAGCTAGTTCAACACAAGGTTGACCATATGGAAAGGAGCCGTACACTTTGCTCCGCAATTGGAGTCGGAGGCATTGCCACCTTTTCCTTGCCTCAAACCGAGAAGCATGTACAGAGATCGAGCAAAATTCAGATTGACCCTGTCATCATCCATCATGCAGTCTTCATTAGTCGCAACTATCAGGTACCAGTGCATGCTTGAATGTTGCCTTCGTCAACTTTCAGTACTGTAAGAAGATCCCTGATCCCTGCGGCTCCAGCTGGCAGTTTCGAAAGGCAGACAGCGGCTCGGGCGTCGTGGTCGTAGTAGTCGTCGGCCCTGCTGTAGTGCTCTTCCTCAGCGAATCTAGGCTTCTTAGGAATACTGATTAGGATCGAGAGACCCGCCCTGTCTTGAGCAAGCGAGGCATGTTGGCTCGGTCTCCGGGCTCTCTGGGAGACTGTTGATGATATGATATAAATCCTGCATTACCCATAAGGAATATACCATAATTCCCATAGTTTAGGGTCCTTGAGGCAATGCAGGATTTATATCATCCACCCGAGGGCTCAGCTTTCCGAGGGTCGTGGTCTCTCCGGGAGATCCCGAGGCCGTGCTCGTAGAGGAGGGTGCCGCGGTGGTGAAATTCTCCTCAGGCCGCAAGGCCGATTTGAGGAGTTTCCGAAAAAATAGGGGACCTAATATAGTACCCTAAAAAGGTAGGATCCTGATTATAAGGCCCCAAAATCAGATACCCCTACATTTTCGGAAACTCCCATAGATGGATCTCCTAAGCAATGCTCTGAGCCCGAATTTCATGGGAAGAGTCTCCCAAAAGACCCACGACAGACCGAACGGCCGTTGCCTCTGTTCTCTCTTTCAGATCCTCTTCTTCACTACAAACCTTTACATAACTCATGGCTGGTCTCCGTGCCGGCTGGGACAAAGTGCCATTTCTGATTCGTGATCGCCTCGTCGCAGTACCACATGTGCACACCACTCCCCTCGACCTGACCGGGATGAGCTGAACTCCAAGTTTGCTCCGCCAACATGGGAGTTTCCGAAAACAGAGGAACCTAATATAGTACATTTATAGTACCCTAGATAGTAGGAGCCTTTGTATAAGGACGCCAAAATGAGGTACTCCAATTCCGGAAACTCCTACATAGCCGGACGGCGGTCGAAGATGTAAACAAGAACTGAGGCCCTAAATGCACAGGCGGAAGCCCCAGTGAAATGCATCTTGAAGAACGGCTCAGGAAGCTCTTATCTTCTATGAAGAAGCTGCCCGTGGGCCCGCCTCTGGGTGGGGTGCATCCAGGCAAATGCCATACTTGTTCTTCAACCTGCCAGTGTTGCCAGAATCCCACTCCCACATCTGGTTCTCGTTGCCTCGGATTTGGGCGCAACGGTCGTGAGGCAAATCAACGAATCCATTCCCCATGTTTGCGCTTCCATAGCTCTGCACTACGTCAGAAACGCTGGAGCAGCAGAAGCAGCAGAGTAAGTGAATGCAATAGAATATAGCAGTCGTCGCAATACTTGCACGAGCAGCAGTAGGTAGGAAGAGCAAGCAGCAGCAGAACCACCACCACCACCAAGAGGAGCAACAGGAGGAGGAGGCGCAGTAACGCTTTGCTCTTCGTTGACGCTGTGGTTTGCTGCAGCGTACGTTTTCGAAAACGACGGCATGCTCGTCGTTTGAGAGGAGGGCATTCTTGAGGCGGGCGCTCAACGTTGTTTTTGGATGCTCTGGGCGACTGGCCCATTGATGATCTGGGGAATGGGTGAAGTCTGGGTGGACGTTGTCATGCTTGGCCCATGCATGCTCTGAAGGATGGGTGAACAGCTCCTCCTCCTCCTACCACTATACCACTACCACTCCCACTGCCACTTCCACTGCCGCTGCCACCACGACGACGTCTCGACGACGACAACGACGACAACTGCTACTGCTACCACTACCACCTTGCCACTGCCAGTGCCACTGCCAGTACCACTACCACTACCACCACTACCACCACCGCCACTACTACTACTGCTGCTACCCACCTATTTATAGAACACAATGTAGGTATGTTGTGTGTGTACATATGCATGCGTATAACTGCACATATGTGGATACACAGAAGTCTCGAACCAGAGCATATGCTGACATGAGAGCATGGTCGACACAAGATGAGGTGGGGGGACGCTTCTGTAGGGTGATAAGGATACTACTCCTACTCCTACTACTACTACTACTACCACTACGACGACGACTACTACTACTACGACTACTACTACTGCTGCTACTACTACTACTACTACTGCTGCTACTCCTACTTCTACTGCTGCCGCTGCTGCTACTGCTACTGCTGCAACAGCAGAGGCAGGAGGTTTGCCAACATTGATGTCAGCAGCCAAAATTCACATTGAGGCACTACTGTCACAGGCCCAGAGGTGCACCAAGCCGTGTGGGACCTCGTGGCTTTTAGGTTGAGGGTTTAGGCAAAACCTGCTTAGCTTAGTCGGGCTGAAGGCTTGAAGGAGCAGGTTGGGTTTTCGACCCTTTCGAGCCACCACACTCGAGTCCACATTGTGAAGATTTGAGATGTTGTCATTCCGCAGTGTGCTCCTGTGACAAATTTCGCGCCTACCTGCATGATCCGGCCGGGAGCAAGGATGCGCCTTGGAGCTCTCGCCATAAGACTAGCACACGCCGTCTCTTTGGTTTTGCACGAGTTTAGGTTCGGACTTAAGCGATTTCGGGCGACGTTTGAGGCCCCAGGAACTCAACACCGAATCCAAGCTGAACCCCACAAGCTCCAGAGGCCGGCCTCTCGTTGAGAGGCATCCAGGCACTTCCCCCCCGTGTGCCGCACCAATCCCGTGGTCTCGTCGTAGGCCTCAGCAGCGGCTTAGGGCTTCGAGGTGTTAGTGGCTTAGTTCTGGTGGGTTTTGTTTGGGCCTATTGATGGTTTCTATGTTTTCAGTCTGCTAGGGTTTTAGGTTTGCGGCTGCAAGGAAAGTGTATGTGAGCTCAGGGCTTCGAAAGCGCATTTCCTGTGACTAGGCTGCTGCTCCTCCCGGCATGATTTCAACAAACCAAGCCACGACAACCATCAAGTGAAGAACAGTGGATAAAGCCAGTCGATGGCTGATGTGTAAACGGTTGCACTTCACAGGATGGCAATTACACGGCCGCGGCATAATGAATGCGGGCAAATTACGCGTCATCCCTGAAATCTGCTGCGTGATTATGCATGTTTGCAGGCAGCTGAGGGGGTGTTGAGGTCAGGCATGGTCTTGAATCTCGCTCTGGCTGCGGCAGATTTCTTGTGCCATGATTCGACAGCAGTCTGCAATTTGTCTCTGAAAACAGAGATGTGATGACAATATGATGTCGAGCCCGAGGTTTCTCTCAGACTTTCCCCGGCAGCGACTTGCAATCATGGGCCTGTGAGTCTGAAACAAACCCCCCAGCAAACCATCTTAAGACCATCTCACATGTGGGGGTTTCCGCAAATAGGGCACCCTGATATAGTACCCTAAAATAGTAGGATCCTTATTATTAGGGCCTCAAATAAGGTACCCCTAATTTTCGGAAACTCCCATGTATGTGCACCTCCACGTCCGAAGCCTAAGCCCTGGGAGCCTTGGAGACGGGTGCGTCCCAAGCACCCACTTCTGCAGGAAGTTGTCTTCGTCGCAGGTTGCCATGGTGGGGCGTATGCCATTCATCCTTCGTCGGCTCGCGAGCTCTGCTCCGAGCCGTCAGAAGGGCACTTGGGGCTGCAAAGCTCCGTTCTGCACCCGGGCACAGAGTTTGTGGGACTTCGCTGGCTTCGTGGTTCAGAAAATCCAGATTCAAAATCTTTTTGTGAACCGGCTCCAGGACGTAACCCCCTAATCTTAACCCCTGGGAGGTTGCGCGAATGCGGAAGTGAACATGGACCCGAAGAGTGCAGAAAAAACCCAACAGCCGGGGAGCGGAGCATCCACCGCCATGAGGCAATTGCCATCTTCCTGAGCTTCTTCCGCACTTATGCGAGTTTCCGGAAATGGGGGACCCTAGTATAGTACCCTAAATAGTAGAATCCTTATTAGACGGCCCACAAAATAAGGTACCCCCGAATTTTCTCCGTTTTAAGTGCCCAAAGCCCAAGACGGAGCCTGCCGGCTGAACACCACAAACCCTCGATAACCCCGGGCCTTACACAGTTCAACAGGCCGCTGCATTCTTGGCATGCCCACCAGGGACAGACACACTGGGATTTTCATCAAACCAGGCATAGACTGCAAGAAGATTTCCATTAGAAAACTCTCGGCCGCATGGGTGCTGTTTGAGACATGCACAGTGAAAGTGCACCACGGCTACAGTGTAGATATGTGTAGAGTGTATATCCGTCACGGTTCGGAACGGGCTGAGCTCCATCGGTGCCCTATCGTTGTAGGACTCATAATGGTATTCCATTTCTTCCGGCGTGAAGGGATCTTGGGCACCTTCGTTTACCTTGACAGTGTTCTTCAGAATCCTCCGTTTTGAAGTTTCTATCGGATCTGGCAGGACATCATTAAGCCATGTGTAAAGGCTGTACTGTTGCTAGCCTACCCGTATACCCCTTAAGCTACCAGCTTAGGGCCTAGGGTCTAATTCTTATAACATTTCAACCATAAACCCGAGGGGTTTTGGGGTTTAGGGGTTTAGGGCAACGATACTATGCAGGGAAAGCCGAGGGGCGTTTTCAAGAAGGGCGAAGTCACTCGAGGGTTCTGGAGCTGGCACCTGTTGCAGGAGATGCTGAAGACTGCTATGTGCACCAAGCCAGCAAGAGAGTATTTATACATCTATACCTAACCATGTCATATACATATATATATATATATGTATGTATGTACAGCTGTACCATATATGTCTGTACGTATGTACACATGTGCATACATATGATCTACTGGAGAGGTTGCGAGAGCAGCAATGGGAGCAGTGAGCGTCAATGTGAAGCAAAACGACACCTGTAAGTAGCAGCAGCAGTAATGACAAATAGTCCAGCAGTAGTGCTATTGTTGGTGCTCGGGCTATATCTACTGCTATAGCTAGTGTTCGTACTCGTGCTGCAGCTAGTGCTACTAGTAGTAGCCGTAGTCGTCCTCGTGGTGGCGGTGATGGTGGTGTTGGTTGTCGTGGGGGCATAGTTGACACAGCAGCAGCAGCCTTGGTGCTTGTAGCTGTAGTAAGTGGGAGTTGATGTAGTTGTTGCTGTAAGTGTAGTTGTGGTTGCTTTGGTGGGGCGACCAGGGACAAGGGGAAAAGCAATAGCAACGGCAATAACAGCAGCAGCAATGGACGGCTTGACTGCGAAAGCCACCTCCTGCAGCCACTCAGACTTGTGACTGGTTCGTTCTTCGGAGCAACCGTGCCTTCTGAACAGACTCGCGCACGTGCACCTCGGCAGATGCCACGATCTCGCTGAAACTTCCCTGTAAGCCCTTCCTATCCGTGCTGATGCGGACCCCGCGGAGCCTTTCACCGAAAGGTCGAGTCAGAACGAAGCTGTTATCTATGAATCTACTCCTGTTCGGGGAGCCCAATGTATGACCAGGACTGCCTGACAATCACGCTGCGTCTGCTTCAAAGGCCCGGATGGATCGGGCAGCAGGGTAGCTCTCGCCACTGCAAATTGCAGTTCAGTCTGAGTTCACTTAACAGTACTTCACATCACCACTTGCCAAGTGGAGTGTACGACTTGTGCAGCCAAGAGGCCTGCAGGAGAGTTGGGCCCTGATTTCGAGCCTCGCATGCATCGCAATTAAGTTCGTTCTTAACTTCCCAGGCCCTGTGGAAGCCGTCAAGCGTTGGACTTTAGGCTTCGATCGTGTCTTCCAGTGGGATATATAACTCCAAAAATGTGGTTTGAGCATGCATCAGGAGGCAAAGCCCTGTCATTCAATCCTACCTATGAGGGCGCTTCATACAGAAAGACTCCGGATGCCTTGGCAAACAAGTAACAGCGATGGAACTCCTAACGTCGATTCCAAGCCTCTCGTGTGGACCTAAGTCTCAGCTGGAAAACCCTGGAAGCCTGAACCTCGACACCCTTCCACGCCTTGCAGCCTGCCTGGCCGCGCGCGCATTGGGCAATGGCCTTTGCAAGCAGCACAGGCAGCCGGGCTCGGACTTCACAGCATCGAGCAAACCGTCGTCGCGGCTGCAGTGCTGGTGCTGCTGCTGCTAATCTCTATTGCCGTTGTGGGCGTGCCGACAGGTGTTGGTGGAGCGATTGCTCAACAGTTGCGTGGTGAAGCTACGAAAAGCACAAGTTTATGACTCACAGAAAATGATAGCGCCGTGGTAGCTTTTGTGGCGTGGCGGAGCGCAAGAATATATCATAAAGGAGCCTTAGTCATTAGAATAGGGTTCCCTTTAAAGTGGTCCTTTAAAGGCATCTATAAGGGATCTAATAACTAGAAAAGGGTTTTGGAGCCCTTTAATTATGCTGTACTTATGAGAAGGAACCCCCAAATAGTATAGGCAATTATTTGGGCCCCTATAGTAATTTATCGGTTTCTAAATCGTGCTTCGCCAAGCGGTTTAAACTTCGGGCGTACATGGCGTATCACATGCATACCGGTAGTACGCCAATTCACCGTCTTCTTGTTCATCTTGATCATCGGCGTCATCATCACCCTCCCCACCATCGTAGTGATCCTCACTTGACTTCATCATCATGGGCGTTCCGACCAGAAACAGTTGCGAGGCACCTGAAGGAGTAAGCAGCTCGCGGCAAGCGCCAATCGTCCGACCATTATGTCGGGATCCGGGCTCAATGCCGCCGGAAAGAAAACTAAATGAAGTTGAAACTCTTTGTAAGTTTCATAAGCAGAACTTAGTTGAGCTCGAGCCGAGGCGACATTCATGCGTGGCGAACAGGACGTCGCGATAAACCGACAAGGACGACATCAACCTCTACCAGCTAAGAAGCGGCCTCGGCCTGGAAACGAAATAATGATTATAATAATGATTATAATCATGATTATAATAATGGTTATAATAATGGTTATAATAATGGTTATAATAATGATTATAATAACGATTATAATAATGAGTAATTCTTGAGGCTACGGGCAATGTGAGACGAGGAACAGGTCCACTCAGTTACAATCTACGGCACATCTGTGATGGCAGCGGCATCTACGAAATGACGGCCACCGACCGTCAAGGCCGCAGACTGGAAACCCAGCACGACATCAGAGCGCATGCAGGGCAGCACCTTTTTCTATAGCTGGCGCAGCTCGGACGCTGCGGAAAAGCTGCTCATGCGGTCGGCAGGGCCTCACTCCTCCCAGGACAAAACGGCAGTTTCGTGTCTTTCCGTACTGTGGTAGCAGTAATAGCCCCTGTTGGCAATATGTTGACATGCCAGTATCTCCTCTAATCCTTGCAGCCGTGGGAGCAGACTCGAGAAGAGGGCCACGAAAGCTAGGGGAGAGGAAGCGTAGCTGCGAGCAATTGGGGCTGAGTAAGGGGGGGGACACATGTGACATGAGAGTACTGTCGAACACGAGGCCGAGGCGACAAGGTATGTTCGGTTCAGTTTCATGGAGTGTCAGCTGGCTGAAAGATACTTTGGATTTTCAATCCCAAATTCTGTAACCCTAAGACGTAATATTAGAAGCCACCAAGACGCAGCGCAAACGACAAACTTCAAACACAAGCAAACTCAGGGACCTTGTGGAGGGAGGGGGGGGGGCCCTGTGGGTAGGGGGGGGGGGGAGCCCCCCCCCCCACCTTGTCCCACGCGCCGCAACCTTAAAGGGGGGTTGTCTCTTCAAAATGCTTCATGAGCGAGGTGAGGGGGGGGGGCGGCCCCTCCTCCCCCCCACCCCCCCACCTTAACTCTTGGACGTCCCACCTGATAAGGTGTAAGCCCTGGTTTTGCCCTAGTGCCTTAATACAAGGTAGACCAAGTGAAAATTGCTAAAGGGCAACTCCCGCGAGCTCAACAGAGCTAGCTTTCGTGACTTGCTCGCACGACACTGGGGCTTTTCGCCGTGCTGCAGTCTCGATACATAGTACCTTCCCAAAACGGCATAAGGGTACCTAATCTACTACTAATATAATAGTACAATACAACATTGTACAATATAGTTTAATATAACACAATACAATATATCAAGATATAGTAAGACATGACATGGTATAAATAACACAAACTTAGCGGTATAGTTTAATATGGGTAAGACCGAGATCAGACCTGGCCTTCGCCCATCAAGACTTCAGGGAGAAGGTCGGCAAACCGCTCACCTGACAGCGGCAGCTTGGATAGCCCCACCAGGCGACCGAGCTGCATCATCTGAAAACATGTAAATGTATGTATGTATGTATGTATGTATATATATATATTCTATATATTCATTTACTGACATATTTATATTTATGTTTCTATGTGTGTATGTACACACATATATATATATATATATGCACAATTAGTTAATTCTTACAGCCCCGGGCCTCTGACGGAGGTTGCTCGAACACTGGAGGCAGCGGCCCCGGGGAGGGCCTCATAGCACACGACAGGCTTCGGGGTCTGATATGCAGGAGTTGGGTTTAGGGTTTAAGGGGTTTGGGGTTCAGGGACGATTCGAAACTGCTTTCCATGATACTTGTCATGCACCAAGCAACCTACCTCGGACGCATCGAAACTTCAACAACTTCACGCAACAAACCTTCAACGAAGGTTTCGACCCGTGGTCACGATGCCCAGAGCTACTCATGATACTTCCAAGGGTTCACAGCGACCTGAGAATAAACGACTACAAAACTCTTAACCTTTATTGAAGCCTTGACATGTACTTCCTACATGGGCGATGGTGTCGAGTCAAAGATACACATGCGAGGTCAACGACCGTACAACCTGGCTATTGCCACAGCAGACCCATGTGGCTGGAGCTCTGAACTTCCAGTGCATCCGTGCGGCGGCGTGATTGTAATGATTCCTGCGAGGAGGAGCCCGAACAAGGCTACCTTTGCGGCTGACTTCCCAGGCGTAGCATGGAGAGCCCCAAGATGCAGTATTTATATGGTTATTATCATGATTATTAATACTATTTCTACTATTATTATTACTATTGTTATTACTATTAGTAGTAGTAGTAGTAGTAGTAGTAGTAGTAGTAGTAGTAGCAGCAGTAGTCGTAGTAGCTATCATTGTTCTTTATCAGGCACAGCTGCTGTTCCGGCCACAACTGTCACGAAGTCCGGACCGGAGTCTTCGACCTGGCGATCGTTGCGTGAGCTCATTGCAGGACTGCAATGATTTTATATATATATATATATATATATATGTATATGTGTGTGTATGTATATGTATATGTATATATATATATATATATATATATATGTGTGTGTATGTATGCTTGCTTGTATTGCAAGACCACACAGCCGGGTTGCCTGTGGCTGCGGCGGCTGCGCTGCTGCCTCCTTCTCTAGTAAGCGAGCTTCCCGCACGGCCTGCCCAAAGTGTACCGGCAACGCCACGCTCTACCCTAGTACAGCCGCGGACTCTCCAATCTCTCCACGCGCGCCTCGTCCCTCCATGCTGCCGGCATCTCTGCCTCCTTGGTGTTGGTTCAGTTGGGGACTTCCACATGCACTCGGGCTACGATGGGCTAGGTCCGGGTTGTGCAAACTTGCTGTCGGAAGGCACCCCACGGCCTTCGTGTCCCACGTTCCAGGACAGCCTGCCTGGGCCCATAGGATTATTGCAGAGTGCTGTGAGCTTCAGCTCGTGCAGCTCAAGTGGAAAAAAAGCATCAAAGAACACCATGATAGCTGTATTTTCTGTTTCGGCGAACCGGCGCATGTCCTCGGACATCAGTGAGACTGGCCGTGGGCTGGGCAACAAAGATGCAGAAGGCTTCTGAGGCGATGGTGCAGGCGGCAGACGGCCGAAGATGAAGTGTCGGAGTGGACGTACGTGTGTGTGTGTGTGTGGCCATTTACGCTATGTCTGCTACTGCGCGTGTGTATACCTTGATAGCCTACATAAGTTCGCTCGCGAGGTTAAGCGCCTTGGAACAGTCGATGTCTGGCGTCATACATGTCTCGCAGATGAATATAGCCAGGATTGGCTTCAACATGTGGGTGTTGCTCACAGAAACGATGCAGCATTGGCATGGCGTCTCTGGATCGGCGGGGCACCGAGGATGCACCTCAGACATCAGCGAGGCAAATCTTTCCATCTGTTGGCTTATTGATGCGTGTCTCGTTTCAAAGTCGTGCTTCGGGTGCGCATGTGTTTATGCAAGTCTGTGTACAGGATTCACGCTAGTAACTGCTGCTAGTATGCCCTGAGGGCGACCAAGGTGGCTCACAGCTGCAGGGTCTCAGCACAATTGCAGGAAGGTACGCCCGTGCGACAACATTCTACGAGCAGCTGGGACCAACAGTGCAGATGCTCTGGGTTGGCGAAGGTATGACGCATAGCTGGGGGCCGGTTCCGGAATCTCTGCCAGTGCAGTGGAGGCGCAGGGGTGCGGGTATCGTGGAAGCCATGATCATGGTTCGAACTTCTTCCGCCATTCGCACCAGGTCCTGGCAAGCATGCATCATGCAGCTGCTCAATGCTCAATAAATCCGACCCGTGTATCGAGACAATCAAGCATAGACTTGTATTTAAGCATCACAGCCTCATCTCTAAACCTATTGTTAGCCAAAGGCTTAAAGCATTCATCCCACCACACTTGCAGTCAGGCCCCAATTTGACGCAAAGCCTGAACTTATTCGAAGCCTCTGCCCTCCCGCTGTTTAGGATGCCTTCGCACCAGCGACCATTTCCTTCTTCGCCATATCCTCGGCGCGGTGGAGATTGGACACCACCTGGGAGGACAGCTGTTCTTCTGGCTTAAACGGTGCGAAGTTCTTCTCAGCCCGATGCCACTGGTGTTTTCTGGAGGGGGGCAGAAGGAGCCCGGCTTTTTGGGAGGTCCTCCTTCTTGTCAGGCTTGCAACAAGTGCAGCCGCACGCAACTAGAGTTGCCACAAGTTCGCGCTTAGGAGTTTTGCAATTACCAAGCAGGGTTACAGTGGAGCAACAAGTTGGGTATCATAGAATCACCGTACCCCCCTATCAGGCCTGCTGCTCACCCCACCAAATCCCCTCGATCCTCCAAGAATTCGCTGGCTTCTTAAGTGCCCGGCTGTGCCAGAGAACTCAGAGACTTCTTCCGGCAGGCGGTTGCCTTTGTACTCAAACTGCCTTGCACAGGATTGCAAAGGAGCAAAGCGGCCCAAACATATCGGAGAGGCGGACATGGAGCTGCTCTTGATGGTCATTGCTAAGGCTGTCATCTCCTTATGCGGACGCTGGCGGTGGCCGCCGGCCTGTGCATCAGGTCGTTGAAGGCCATGGCTTCGTTGGCAGAGTCGTGTAATCGGTCAATGATGGTGCCCACCTGCTCCTGCGAAGAGAAAAGAAAGTGAGGGGTTGCAAAAGGTGGCCTTGGGGCCATGGGACGACTTTGACTCGCTCGTCTGCCTCTCATCTTGCTAATTATCTCATGTTTCTTTCTGTCTGGCATGAGGCTTGAGTCCGACTCTGCTCGCACAGGCACAACTGTTTGATTTCCTCTCGCTGTCTGTCTTTCTTGTGGATTAAGCCCCTGTCGGCCTGCGTACCGCGCTCATCCATCCCGGACGACTGGACATTGGTGATCTGACGCAATCGCCTCTTTCATACACACTGTCGTCTTCTTCTCCACAGACAAGAAAATCAGCGCGAATCCCCCTCAAGCACTTGATCCTTATCACTACCACAGGAACATCTACCCTACGGCCGCTTTTGGCAGTTACGCTCATCGCTGTAAAACACTTTCTGCGGGACTAGGGGAAAGGTTCCCTCCCCAGGTGGCTCTCTCTCTCTCTCTCTCTCTCTCTCTCTCTCTCTCTCTCTCCCCTACGTTCTCATGCTGTGTCCTTTATGACGACCGAATCTTCCATCAGCTTGTCCATAGCTGCTTTGACGTCGCCCTCGCTTGCTCGATGCGCTTTGTGCGAAACACCCGTCAATAATGGCAAGCTCACGATGCCAGTTACAGGTCATGTCCCTAAACTACACCTCGACTGATACGGTTTAACAGTTTTTATGATCCATTGGGGCAACCCATACGGAGAGCAGCCGACACAAGCAGTGATCCAAACAGCACCACCCCAGGCAAGCCCCATACAACAGCCAGACCTCGTGGCCCGGTATCTCGCACTTCATCTTTCCCAGCGCCTTGGGCACCAGCGCCTGTGAAGCGAGGAAGGATCGGATGGTCCTCTGCATTCCTCACTTCAAGGAGCGATGGGTTAAATCGATTAACCCTGTGGCACGAGGCCACTCGCATATATGTCACTAGCATCCCTGGCCCTAGCCGCTCCTAGCGATGAGCTGCAAGATGAATACATGATGCCTTTCCTGCAATCCCTCTGACTCCCCATCACACTCCACGAAAACTATCACTATCTCATATTTCAACGCACTAACGCACCCCTCTTGCCGCCACTGCGTCGGCCTGGGTCGTTGTTAGCCGGTCATCGATGCTTCGAAGGACCTTCGATTGGCCGTTGAGCTCCTCAGTCGGTACGCATACCTATCTGTAGGTATAGATGGAGCTATAGATAAACATACACAAGCACAAATCTATATATATATATATATATACACACACACACACATATATATATATATATATATGTGTGTGTGTGTTTATGTGTATAAAAACATGTATATATAATCGTATGTGTATATATATATATATATATATATATATATATTGATATTGATATTGTGCGTGTGTGAACATGAAGGTGTCTGTGTGTGGCTGCGGTATATATATATATATATATATATATATGCAAATATACATATGTGTGTACGCATATCAATCTGTGTCAATCTGTGTATATACATATGTATAGATAGATAGATAGATAGATAGATAGGTATACCCCTACACACATACGCGTGTACAGACATGAATGTACATGTATGTATGCATGTCTGATTGTCGGTATAGAGATATACGTACATACATACGTACACACATACATATGTAGAGAGCGAGAGAGAAAAAAGAGAGAGAGAGTGAGAGAGAGAGAGAGAGAGAGAGAGAGAGAGAGAGAGAAAGAGAGAGAGAAAATGAGAAAGAGAGGCATCGGGTTCACGGTTTCGCTGCAGTTTCGGCACTCACACACATTCAGTTTCAACTCTCACTCCAGCAGACAAGGCTTCACAACCACTGACTGATCCAACTGATCTGATTCTGAGTGAAGAATAAGAACGAGAATGGAACTACAAACCACAAAAAACATGAGGAAAATTAATACAGCTGGACAAACATAGAAGGAAAAGAACAATGCTAGTCACTGGACGGATCGAGGGCCTGCTCAGGTTTCAGGGATCCTTTCTAACAAGTTACAATGCCAAACATTCTTCATGATGAAGGATGTGTGGGCAAAGCCGAAGGGAGTACCCAGCGGCAACCCAATGGAAATGGTTGAACACATTAAACGTAGAACAGATCACAGGACGATAAAAGTCACAAAGAGGCAGCGATTACTTCGCAATGACGCACGAGAGATCTCCTGCAACAACGCCGGGAAGGTGTCAGAAGCTCCCAAGGCGACTGGAATCCGGAGTCGCTGGCCTCCCAGGAAGGTGGACGGTGTATCTAATATAGGGGCCTTAATAATTGGAATGGGGTTTCGGGGCCCATTGTACTATAACTATATGAAGGAACCAAAATAGTATAGGTAATTATTGTGGCCCCATATTGGTGTCTACAGCTGAGATGGCGGTTCAAGGGATTGTTCTTGGCGGGCTTGAAAGGGCTCACGCCTTACCCTTATGTCGTGGTGGCAAGACATTCACTGCAAAGGATGTCCATGCACCTGTGAGAACATTCAGCAAAGGCTCGGAACAGGATGGTCCATGAACAGCACGGATGCAGCCGGATCACTGCTGCTGAGGCGGCGAAAACTACCAACAGTGCCACTACTTACTACTTCTGCTACTTCTATGGCTGCCATGCTGCTGCTACTACTCCTGCTGCGCGTGCTACTCCTGCTGCTCCTCCTCCTGATGCCGCTGCCGCTGCTGCTGCTTTTGCTACTGCTACTCCTACTGCGACTCCTATCTCTACTCCTACTTCCAGTAGTACGACTATTGCCACTATCCCAGGCTATGTATTCCTACTGTCATTCATTACCATAACTACAACTACTGCCGCTGTGTAGACCTAGTATAGGGGCCTTAATTATATAAGGAGCCCCAAAAACCCCTGTTCTGATTATTCAGGCCCCTACATTCGAGCGCCCGGCCTGGCATTGCCATGGCATGGAAGGCTTCGGCTGGCATGCTGCCAGCTTTTTTGGGGGGACTCCCAGCCCTTCTTGCAGTATTTGGCAGGGTATGACCGGAAATGAGGTGATAGAGGCTAGAATCAGGTAGGGGGTTTAGGGTGCTGGGAAATACTTAGACTATAATATATAAGAGAATCATAATCAGGAGCTCTGTGGAAGAAAATTTTGGGGCTTCTATACTACCCCAGTTTGATGGAAACAACGACAGGAAGGCTCGACTTCGAGCTAAAGAGCTGCTGCCGTTGACAACAAGCTTTGTTAGGACTGTTAGGACATGTGAAACTATGGCAAAAAATCGCAAGGGAAGTGGCACCATTCGTTTGGGCCTGAAGCTGCGTGCAGCTCGTCGGGCGTGAAAGCCTTGCTCTTAGTTAACGGTCTTCCATGCACTTGCAAGAGCAAACCGTTGCCCTAATGCAACTCTAGATGTGGTCAGGATGTGAAACTCCGGAACGCTGGTGGCACCTCATCTGGCTTGAAACACCAGTCTCGCACCGCCTCCGCAAAGGGACGGATTTTGGGTGCTTCCCTTCGCGCAGCATTCCAAAAGAGGTTCTTCGTTTCGGAACTGACCCGTGACTCCTCCACCTCCTTTGCATACCGCCATGCAAAGTTGTCAACTCCGAAAGCCCTGCAATGGGCTTCGACGGCCAGACGTACATAGTTAATATTGTCAGCTGCACCCAAGCTGGAACTCTGTGCTTTGCATACTGCGGCCTGCAAGGCGTAGACGACCAAAGATTCGTCGAAAGGCGGGCAGTGATGGCAACTAAAGGCAGCATTCTGCCGCCAAACCAGAAATGCACTTTCCCACTCCTGCATCTGCATGAAAGCCAGGGCCTGGACGACACGAAGTTCCTGAGCATCCTTCCCCAGCAGGACAACTTTGGGAGACTTTGGCTCATGCAACTCGTCCTTCTCACAGGAGTGCGCGGAAGCAACTTCAGCCTCCTCCACAGGCTCCTCCTCTTCGGGCTCCTCCTCCTCCTCGTCCAGGTGTCCCTCCAGGGCCGCCGCCACCGCGCGGACTCGCTCCTTGGGCGGCAAGAGGGCCAGATTTGCCTGGACTTGGGCATCGACTCGCATAAAGTTCCTTTCAACGGCGGCTTCTTCCGGCGTGCTTTCTTGCTTTTGGCATCTCGTACAAGCGCAGACGAAGTCACGATTCAGCGACTGACTCCGCAAAGACTTGGGTGCGCAGAGCAATTCCGACTCGATGTAGCTGATACACAGCTCAGCTCCAGCTGCCACTGGCTGATTCGTCACAAAAGCCGTCAAGTCTCCGAAGGAGCAGCGCTGCAGCGAGGGCTCGCAGGAATGGTTGAAGCCGCTAGCCAGGGCGAAGAGCCCGTTCCTGGGTTCTTGTTAAGGAGTTTGATTTAAGATACCATTATAAAGAAACCATAATATACTTTACTATAGTTCCTGGGTTCTGGTTAATGACTTTCATTTTATCTTTCATTTAAGTTACCATTATAAAGGAACCATAATACAATTATCTATAGTTTTCTATAGATCCCTATTGCTGGAACTTATGTTAGATCCCTTAACATCCACCCAGATTCCCTGTGAGCGCTGCGAAGTTTTCGTGGTGGCAAAGCTGCTCTGAGTTCGTGTAGAAACCCAGGGAATTCAGGCGGACAACATCCTCCAGCCGTTTTCGGGTCCCTTCGGAAATATCCACTGGCTTCCAGGCAGTGTTCAGTGCCGTTCTCATGGCGTCCTTGAGAACCGGCTCATCTTCCTCGTCTGAATCGGCGTCGTTTGCCGGCACGGCCTCCTGTGGATGAAAGCCGGACAGGAGCGAAGCCAAGCTTGAAGAGTAGCATCTTGCCAGCTCAATGCCTAAAGCTGCAGAGTCGGAACTGCCACAGTCTGCCCAGCTCTCGTCGCGCCATTCTCCGTCAAGCACTGCTACTAAAGGCCGCTCGATCAGGACCATGACGCCAGCATCCAGAGGTTCGGTGGCATACCATCCCCGCCCTTTGCCAGTTGATGTTTGCAGAGCAATAGAACACGACACCAGGAAGCATGGCGGTGACGTGAAGGCAGAAGCCTCCGAAGACTTGCCTGCCTGCGGCAAGTTCGAAGCCTCCCAGATCGATTGCTTCCGGGATCCTGCGCCAGAGGCAGAGGGCCCCGGCCCAGGCAGCTCTCGCAGCTGAAGCGGCACGGCAGCTGCCACTTTCCGCAGCGAAAGCTGGCTGGCCCAAAGTCGAGGGGACATCAAAGCATCGAGTCCCTGTTGAAGCTTCTCCCAGTCTACCGAGGCAGCCACATCTGCGCATCGCCAGCCCCAGAAGTCTTCACAATCCACCGGCGTTCGCTTCAGCCTCTTTGCCTTCTGCGCCTTCTGTTTGCCACGCATGACCGCATTCCATGCCAATCAACGGCGTCGGAGAGGAACTTTGACTTAAAGTGCTTGGTATGAACTGGCCAAGAGCGCTGCGCATTGAACGAGGGTAATCAGCGATGGAGATGGAGACACTTGCAAAGAGTTGCTGCATGCAGCTATCGTCCTTGAGACAACGCGGGTTTTGTCGCAACTCGCACACGGCAAACAAGGACCTACCTGATCCCCACTACATGCCAGTGCCCAGGCCTAGGGTTTTGTTATCCCAATGCAAGCTCAAGGGTTTAGGTGGGCTGCAAATGTGATTCTGCCGGACCCATAGCATCCCATGACCACGACGACAAGGAATCACAACTCTGAAATAATACGTAAGCCCCCCAAAGCACATCTGATGGATGCTATCGTCGCTACTAACTAACTTCCACAGCTTATGAGGCTTTCCTTTCCGCGACTACTACTACTACCACCACCACCACCACCACCACGACTACTACTGATGCAGTAGTGTAGCTGCTCTGTGGAAAAAATCAGCCGACCAGGGCCCTGGCGCGAGTTCCACACGCATCTCCGCCGCCTCAGGCTGTGATTCAGCGATGGAAAGTAGGGTTTGGGGAGGGATTAGGGTTTAGGGTTTCGACGTTTAGGGTTTAGGGTTTTTTTTTTTTTTAAAGTGCAATGGCCCCTTTCCAACTCTCGCAGAAGAGCAGGTCTGGTTTAGGGGTTTAGGGTTTAGGGGTTGTCATATTGATGAGGTTGAATCTCCCGAAGGCTTCAGACGTGCCGGCCACAGCAGTACATGTCTGGCGAGACTCGAACCGTCAAATGAAGGCCGTCCCTACTGATTCCCACCTCGTCCTCGCTGTAGCCTAAATCGATCAACTGCTGCTTCTCCTGGCAGGCTTCGGTGGTGGGTCTGAGGGAAGCTGCAGGACTTTCCATCACACGAACAGCGCGCACACACACACAAGCAAAGTCACATGCCACATGCCGATTCTCCACAGGCTTCCCCCAGGAGCACCTCTGCACTGAGCATGAGCTTCACGGAAGTCCGGCCTTTCGGGCATCTGCAACTGCGCTGCTTCCCAGGATCTGTTACGGGGTGGAGGCTGACAAAAAAATGGCCAACAGTATAAACATACATCGTATTATCTTTAGATGTTGTATCATATTGTGTTATTAAGTAAATCATAAGACTGTAGTAACAGTATTCTATAGTAGTCCCCCGATACAGACACCACAATGTGGAAAAACCTCGCAGATGACCTCACTTCAGGACTCGGCTTGGGTTCCAAGGCGAATCTCCCGAATGATCAACTGCAATCGGCTGAAGCAATAATAGGGTGGCCTGAATTCGTTTGAATAAGTTTTGGGATATAAGCGTCTACAAGGTTTGGGCCTATAGCGGGATACTGCTGATAGCTATTCAGGCTCTATCTTGGCTGGTTGACTTCAAACCCTGGCAATGCCTTCCTCGACCGCCGGACGAGCCACTGAGAAGGTCAGCTCAACTCGGTGGCTTTGCGAGATGCATGATGCTTCATGCAGGAGCGGGCTCGGGGGAGGTGCGAGTGCTCAGCAGAGCATCCTGGTCCAACCCTGTAAGTGGTTCTTTTCTCAAGCCACCCTTTGGCTTGCAATTGCATATGATGGTGCTTCCAGTGGTTGACTTGCTTCCGTGCGGCAGCATCGCACCAGCCTCGGTAAGCTTGGAAAAACATGCTGTGGACCGGGGGAGACCTCTACGTTTTGCAGCACTTAGCCGCTAGCAAATAGCCTCTGCGCTTTGACGGAAGTTCGTGCAGACAGGATGCCCGACGACAACTAGCAGCGCTAGCCCCGCGTGTCGGCGAGGAGACGCCATGATTGCGCAAACCACTTCTGCAGTACTCTATCACGCTGCTGGTGGAGCTTGGGTAGGTTGGGTAAGGCTCCGATGGTGGTGCTGCAGTTCCGCAGGCATGGGGTGCAGCTCGGACAACTTGAACTAGACTCTGACTGGACATGATAGCTTTCAGGGATTTCAGGGAGCAGTATCGCTGTCTTCTAGCCTATCGAGCAAAAGTCGCAGTGGTTGAAGTCGGGCTTGGATCACCTCCGATCGGCGTGTGCCACAGCGCCCTGTGACAGTCACTGTACTCCGCTGAAGACGGAAGCAGTGACAATGGACTTCCGCAACCCAGCTCCTCCACTGTATGGCCGATGGCAATTCATCTCTTCCTCGTGATGGTGCAACAGGCTTTTTCACCGCTGTTCTTTGAGACCTGAGCCTGTGTCGGTAAATCAAACCAGCCAAAAGAGCCCAAGCTTGGGCAACACCCAGTCTCCATTGCATTTCCTCTTCTGGGTTTAAACCAGTTCATATGAAAAAACTACAATGGAGACTACAGGCAAGCTTGAGATGGGACTTTCCGAAAATGAGGGACCGTAATATAGTACCCTAAATAGTAGGATCCTTATTATAAGGACCCCAAATAAGATACCCCTAATTTTCGGAAACTCCCAGATGATCGTTTACATGCGCTGCTGGCCAGGAGGTGCGACGCCGGCCCGGACTCCCGGGGCCATCTTGCAGATCGCGCATCCTGGGCGGCAGAGCCACGTGGAAGAGCTCTTTAAAGTGCAGTTCCTTTCCAGAGTCCGTAATCATTGCAAGGGGGTAGTAGACAGTACACCCGGAAGTGCTTGAAGCCCTCAACCCTGAAGTGAAATAATAGATGCCTTTATTAGTACTTATACTATTTTGGGGGGGCTCCTTATTAGAATTATACTATGATGGGCCCCAAAACCCAATTCTAATGATTAAGGCCCCTATACTCTAGTATGCTTCTGGATCTCTTTACGTAGCCCTTAAAAGAGCCCATTAAACAGGAACCCATTCCAATTATTAAGGCCCCTATAGTAGGCACTCGGCAGGGAGCCCTGAAGACCTACCGCTGATTGCCGAATCAGCGGCCGCAAGCACCGCAGCCGATCCTCCAGGAAGAGGCGATGCTTCGGGTTCAGTAGCACGGTGCTATATCATCGCATAGTATATTATACTATAGTATAGTACAGTTTTATAGTTACATCATATCACAGTATATTACAGTATATAGTATAGTACCATAATGTAGTATATATTGGGTTATATTGGCAAGTATGATATTGTTATTTAGTAGAGTATAGTGTGCAAAATGCGATATCCGCTTCAGGAACTCCAGATCAGCCAGATTCAAAGCTGCCAACCCGACTGCTTCCCCATCTCCGTGCTTTCGATCAGGCTGGGAGACTCCATTTTTTGAAAAAAGAAGGAAGACTACTATTTGCTTAAGAAACCACCAAAAAATAAAAATAATAATCCCTATATTACCCCCATAAGGAATATATTTTTTATTTTTTGGGGTTTCTTAAGCAAATAGTAGAAGAAGCAAGAGGAGTTCGGGTCGTCTTGCTTGCAAGTGCGGCGCCTGCTAGGACGGACTACTACAACCGTAACGGCTGGCCGGCATCATGACCCTTTGAAATTGTTTCGTACTGCTTAGTGCTTCTCTCTGCCTTGGGCTGTCGAGATATGGAGATCTATCCATTTAGTCCCAATTCGCCTCACCTGGCATCTCCAACACCAACGAGCACCATGCCCTTAAGGCTCACGCAAACCAGATACGCAGACTGAAAGCCGGAACCTCCGGGTGGGCGGCAAGTTGGCGCGACAGACGAGGCACACCGCCTGGAGCAAGACAGAGTGATGTCGCTTCTGCACCACAACAGCGCATCTTTGTGATATCAATATCGCCTGCGCTCTCTCTGAACAGAAACACTGTGCCCTGTCATCACAGCCTCTCACAAAACAGAAAACGAGTGAACTTCTGAAGCGCGGCTTTGCACCTTGGCGTTGTGATGACCTCGGTACGACATGTCTGCAAACGCAGCTCGTGAGCTGCTCACCACACTCCGAGGCCAACAAAGGCTGGGAGGAGGGTATGGATTCTAACACCAATGACCAAGCTCCGGGCAAATGCCGGCGTTTGTCCAACATCCATCAGTTGAATCTTTCTCCTGGCTTGCCGGAAGTCAACCCCATCGGCTTGAAGAACAAATCCGCGACGCCGATGTATGGGTAAGGTTTACTCCTGCAAGCTACGTCTGCAGTCTCTCAGTTGTGGCTGGCCTCGATGCAGAGAAACTTGGTGTCATTGAAACAGAGCCTCGTGCAACTATCAACCGAAATTGTGAGAGCAACTTTCCGTCCGGGTTCGGCTTCCCCGGTCGCCAACTACTTGGAGGTTCATGGGTAGTTCAAAGTAGGGTCATTAGTAGGGTACCTATACTTATAAGCCATATTAGGGGACTCATAACCCCACTTACAACTACCCATGAACCTCCAAGTAGACATGACATGCCCAGGACATCTCAGGACATTCGCCCTCGATCCCTACCGAGAGACCTTCTCAGACCTTTGGAGAAGTGTCAAGGGAGGCTACAGGGGCCTGAATAATTACCTATACAATGTTGGGGGTTCCTTATCAAATCTATACCTTAAAACCCTGAACATGACTGTTACTGTGAAGGCCCCTATATTACAGGAGTGGAGCCACAGAAAGCGGCTGCAAGGACCAAGTGCGTGCAAGGCGCGGACTGGCTGGTCCACAGCCTGTGCCTGGCCAAGATGCGGACCACGGCATTCGCTTACGGGGATGCAACTGCTCGAAGTTACGGGCTGAACCACGTCTGCGACAAGTAACGGCTCCCAGACTCCAGGGCACCAAGGGGCTTCGGCTTCACGTATTAGGCCTAGCACATGTCCGACTCGCCAGTCACTCGCTTCTACGAGCACTCCAGTTGCCGCAGCTCTTCGTGGTGGTCGGACCCCACCGGCTCGCACTGTTCTCGTCGCCTGGTAAAGCCTTGGACCACAAGACCCCGACCCTGCAGCTGCAAACCCGTTCCACCTCCGCAGAGACAGTAGTAGCACCAGAACACCTGCGAGCTTCTGCCAAAACGAACAGACCCCCTCACTCTCACACACTCTAAAGGTATATACATGTACATTTCTATGTGCAAGGATGCTGTTCTTATTCTGCAAGCCCTCCTCGTTGTTTTGCCTGAGCTCATGCTCAGCCTTGCCTCCTGCATGAAGGCGGACTCCCGATCGTCAACCAGACGACCCTCGCCGTAGGGTCGGCCCAGGATGAAGACGCCCTTAGCTACGAAGTTGAGGATGTGCGCTCGCGAAATGGGAAAGCAATTAGGTAAGGATTTGAAATTATAGCTCCAGCTGTTGGCGAGAGGGTCTGCAAGATACGGGGTCTAGATAGGCTTGCGGTCCACAAGTCCAGATATCAGGAAGTCGCATCTGCTCGAGCTGGACATTTGAGTGTTTTGGGCATTCGGCTGGCTGCTCAATTTGAACCTCATGCATTGCTTGTACTGCCTGCATTATTGATGACCAACAAGCGCTGGTGGGTGGAACAGCGCTAGACTTGAATTGCTACCATCTGTCTGTGTGTGTTTGTGACAGCACGCCCTCCCCACCTGCGCATCTCAACCCGTGCCCAGCAAACTCTCGTTCAGAAGGCCAAGAATTTCCCATACTGCATGAGGCATACCGGGCGGACCTCAATAACACCGATTGCTCCTTGCATGCCGAGCGGCGCAGCAGCCTATGGCCATGTTGTTCAAGGAGCACGACTGACACAAAAGCGTGTGATCAGGAAACCAACCGACTTGAGGTTTCACATTTGCTACATTCTGTTAGCAACACTGAACAGATATCTCATAAGCAACGACACCCATGAATGCGTCTTGCATGGCAGATCACAGGACCGCGACCATCACAGATGGCGCTTGATGCTATCCGGCCTGAACGCAGCAGCACGCCTTCGCAAGCGACGTCAGGCATCCCTGCAGCAGCACTCAGGCTCTAGAACTGATGAAGCACATGGCTGTCGACAGGAGCACCACTGGTACCGCACGGCCTTCTGACCAACACACTCCTCGCCCGACGTAATCCCGCCGGACATGCAGCAGCACCTGATCCACAGCCCACGTTTCCGGATTACCTTTTGAACATTCTTTTCGAGGACCGTCGACGAAAATGGCAGAACACCATTTCGGAAAAACACGCCACTCTGCAAGTTAGCACGGGCACTTGTGCTTGTCGATGCAGCATGGGTCGTCACACGATGTGCAGGAAAGGCCCCAGCAGCAGCCTCAGCGCTGAACTGCTGCAACACGCTACCTTTTCCAAGACATCCTTTCTTGTATCGAGGTCCATGCCACCTACAAGTACCACGCAAGGCCGGGTCTTCCAGTATCGTGCACAGAAAAAAGGAGAGTGAAATTCCAAACCCGGGCTGCAACACCCAACAGCCAAGTCTAAGTCTAACCAAGTAGCAGCTCAGCAGGTGACAGGACTTGTCTTCGATCTCTGCGAACTGCGCTTCAAACGCCATGGCTCTTGCGGTCTGTCCCTCCCGGCTAATCAATTCACCAACATTCTGTGCCTTCATCTGCCAAATCGAAAATCCGACTCTCTCCAGCCTACAACCTACACTGGACATATTGACCTACACACTCAGAAGCAGATTTAGGCAATGCCGGAGATGTCGCTAAACCCTGATCCCAAAACTGCTCATTGCATCCCACGCACTGGAATTCAAAGCGTGTGGCGGATTGTGGCAGATTTTAAGCACAAACGGCTGGAACCATCTTCTCGCTTGTCCCGAAGTCTAGGTGTATATATATATATATGTGTGTGTGTGTGTATGTGTGTATATATATATATACATATATATATATACACACACATACACACACATGCATACCTGTGCACAGCTATGCTGCGTGTCCATGCAACAGACACCTTGCGATATAGCAATTAGTAGGATATACACATGACATCACATGACATAACTATACAGGATGGTTTGTCATGTTCGCTTCTCTGCCGATCGCGAAGAATGCAAAAATGCCACCGGAATTGGCCCCAGGGAAGCCTCGGTTTCCCGAGGGAGTTCACGTAGCAGTACGTGCGGGAGTTCCCGGAAATAGGGGGACCCTAATATAGTACCCTAAACAGTAGGACCCCTATTATAATGAGGATCCAGATACCACCATACCCTGTCCTTGTTATCTGGGTGTGGCATGATATGCCCCAAAACCCTGTACTGATTATTGAGGCCCCTGGCTTACCCACGCTCCCGATCCCTGAGCCCAGTGGGGCTCGTTTGTGGCTGAGTGGGGTCCGGGTGCGAGACATCCAGGTGATCTTGCAGGAGAGGAGGAGGGTGCTGCATGGTTTGCCTGGACGAGATCGGAATTACTTGGGAAGAACTGACGCGATGAACATGATGATGAATCGAATTGCCTTCGTCACGAGTAGTCACCAGTATTGCAGATGCTGATATGATTGGAATTTCTAGTGTTGCTGGTGTTGGGGGAGGCGAGGGCTCCGCAGGATACCGAACAGAATTATGTTGGGACTCTGGCGCACGCTCTTGCCTGTGGAGAAAAGCCAATCCAAGGGATCCAACACCGGGAGCGGGTGAGGTCGCAGCAGCAGGCAACTCGAGGCCATCGAAAATCTGAAACTGCGCCCCATGTCAACACACGGGAGTTTCCGAAAATAGGGAACCCAATTCAGTACCCTAAATAGTAGGATCCTTATTATAAGGACCCCAAAATACGGTGCCCCTTGTTTTCGGAAACTCCCACATGGTGCTCTACCTCCCCCTCCATTGAAGACAATGGTGCACGAAAGAACACAGCCCTGCTCGAACCAAGCCGGCGCACGGATAGGGCAGTCCATCGAAAAGCCAGAAGCCACCATCGACCTGCAAGAACCAACCAATCAATCGATGACGATCGAGAAACAAGCACGGCTTGCAGCGCTGGTGACACAAAGCTAGCTAGCATGTGCATCCAGACTGCAGCCCAAGACGGGTCGAACTCTAAACATCACAAGGACCGAAGGACGTGGCCTGACCGTCCACGCATAGTCCTCCAAACATTTGCGCATAAGCCTGCGCACATGATGAAGCATGACGGTATGAGCAGGGTTCATGGATTCATTTGCTCCTGAAGTCTCTCCGTTTGGTAGTCGCTTTATTTGCTCATGATGAAGGCAGCACAGTACCAACCCTGAAAACATCAAGACAGCTCGCGCCGAGACCAACAAGTTGTTCAACTTATCTGGCTATGTGCCGCTAACGATCAGTGAGACCAAGTCGGCTGCTCCTGTCTCATCTCTGCATAGACTGGGGAATTACTTACTACTTACCTGCAGCAAGCTTGCTTGGTGGCAGGTTGGCTGGATGCCGAGAGCTGGGCGGGCAGGTTCCGGTAGATCAGCGCTCCTGGGCAAGAGCTGCTTCCTCTGCTCCGTTTTGCACGAGTTAATTGGGGCTTTGCATAGATAAAAAAACCCTCTACCTTTTTAAACACGACTTCGGGGTTTTGCAGCTCTCTGTACTAACAGAGATGGCAATTTCCTCCCTCCCATGAGCTCCTTCGAGTTCGCCCACCGCACCAATCGGCTCGCTCTGGGCAGAGGACAGATTCAAGCAGACCATCAGGAGTACATGGGATTTTCCGAATATTAGGGGGGTGCCTTATTTTGGGGTCCTTATAGTAAGGATACTACTAGTTAGGGTAGTAGAGTAGCCCACATGTAGACCACAGTGGCGGCACTGTGTGACGAAGCCTGTGCCCAGTCACTAGCACCTTCCGTGCATGTGAAGGTGACCGGCACCTGCAGGGATGCTTTTGAGAGTTCAGGGGCAGTTGGAGACAGTTGTTCAGGAAATGGCTAAATCCTGCAAAGGCAAACATAGTCTTCTACGTGGTAAAAGATGGACCGCTACAAGATTCCACAATTTTGCATCGCAGCCGCCCGCAAGAACAATCCTTCTCCTCCTACTGTTGCCGCTCCTGATTACAGCCCTTATGTCAAAGGTCCATGCCAATCCACCACGAACCCTTTCTTCCTCAGCCAAAACTTACGTGTTTTTTTTGCGACGGGCGTTCTGCGACTTCAACTCGCGAAATCCTAAACCCAGATTCCCTAAGTAACGGAGGGGGGACGGAGCCAGTGCATCATAACTCCCCTAAGCTCTGAACCCTAAATCCTTTTTGCATCCAGGCCGTGAAGTTCTGGCCGGAAAGGTGCGCAAACCCTCGAATCTAGCACTCATGACTACATCTCCTGAAAAGCCAAAATCCTTTGCCTCAACCTCTGCGCCCGAAACCCCACACCCAAAAATCCCTTCAACTCCTGGATGCCCCAGCCGACCTTGAAAGGTACTCGCGTGTCCGGCCGAGGGCAGAAGGCCTTGCGGAACTCCAAGATCGCCTCCGCTGCAGGGCTTCGGTATTATCTAACATATGTTATAGTAGAGTATCATACATTATAGTTGTACTACAGTATAGTAGATAACAGCAGATAATATTACATCATATTAATATACGATGGATTTGACACACATTCCGGTTCGTCGCAGGGTGCTTGTAGAGTCGCCTGTCCATGACTGTGCCTTCATTGCCGTGCTACTCGACAAGCCTTGGCGACATATCTCACGGATCAGGATGTTTCCTACGGTTTGGGACTGTGTTTCGGCGCTCAGGTTACCGTGAGGGCCTGAGGGTTTCTTTCAAAAGTGCAGGGTGGCGGTCGGCTGAAGTCGCAAGCAGGTAAGCGCGGCGGCCCCTTCCACAACATCATTACTATTATTATTATTATTATTATTATTATTATTATTACTATTATTATTACTACTATTATTATTATTTTTATTATTATTATTAGTATTATTAGTATTATTATTATTATGATTATGATTATGATTATTATTATTATTTTTTTTTTTATTATTATTACTACTACTATTATTAGTATTAATATTATGATTATTGTTATTATTATTATTGTTATTATTATCATGATTGTCATCATTATTCTTACTATTATAAACGCGCCTCCCCCTGGCGGACGCTGGTCTCGTCCAAGACCACGAAGCTAAGGTGCTCCAATGGGGTCTGCAACGAATGCTCAGGACTTGATATTGGGGCCTGTTCCCAATACTATTTTTTGTGGGCCCCCTACTACAATTATAGTATATGTAATGGGCCCCACATTGTAAGGCCCCTATATTATGGAAATGACTTGCGTCTGTGTTCTGGCAACGCGCACGCTCCGAATCCGTCGCATGGTTTCGGCGCTCACACCCGGACAATCCAGGCGAGGCATGTGATTGGAGGTCCGTTGAGTGAAACATCACACTGAGGAAGCAAGTCCAACACGGTCCAACACATTCAAAGCCCTAAGGAAAAATGTAGCATACCGGGCCCACAACACTATTCTAATTTTCAAGGCCCCTATATTACTCACCACATCGGATGGTTGGGGGAGGAGGTTGTTGAGCGCCACTCGATTGTCAGCAAAAGCCAGCACCTAATTCGGATGGCGACTCCCATCTCGCTTGGCTATGGATCTTTTCAAGACATGCTTCCGCAGCTTGAGGAGTAATAGAATTATAGGGTTTTGGAGCGTGCGGGATGGCAGATCGGCTTGCTTCATTCAAGAACCGTATGCCGTACGCTGCGGGTTCACTTGATGCTGACCCCCATACACCAGAACTTCAAAATCGCAAAAAACCTTCCAACTTCCAGCCCCAATTCTACATGAAACCCGCCGCAACCCCATCACAAGCCGAAGCCCTCAGTCCTAAAGTCTCTTCCGGGCACTTAATGCTGTTCCCTACAAAAGATAATCAAAAGATACCTATATTCTACACCAATATATGGGAGTTTCCGAAAATAGGGGTACCTTATTTTACGCGGCATGATCGACTCGAGTCCGTGTGAGAGAGAGGGGTACCTTATTTTGGGGGGTCATTATCATAAGGATACTACTGTTTTGGGTACTACATTAGTCCCCTAGTTTCGGAAACTCCCATATAACCTTTTTTCACCTCGAGCAAACCCTAAACCGGGAACCTTTTTTTTCACTTTTGAGCCTTCAGCACATCTGCGAGGCTGGTCTCCAGGGACAGGGCGAAGGGCCCCGGCCAGTGACCCTCGCGGCCTGAGAGAGAGCACTTTTTGCCGTCGTGGCAATACCATGCGTATAGGTTGTATGTATGTACGTATGTATGTCTATATATATATATATATGTATAAATATAAATATATATATATATATATATTCACACGCATATATACATATTGCTTCTCTGTGTGTGTGTGTGTATGCAGGCATGTATGTCTGTATGTATGTATTCATGCGAGTAAGGTATGGGCGCACGTATGTATATATTGCATGTGTGTCTGCATACATGCGTGCATGCATGCATCTTTGCTTGCATGTGTGCAGGCATGCATGCATACACTGACTGTATGTCTACGCATGTGCGCATACATGCGTATGTGTATGTGTATATATATATATATATACATATGTGTGTGTATGTGTGTGTCTTACGCATGTATATATATATATATATATGTGTGTGTGTGTGTGTGTGCATGTATGTATGAATGTATGTATCCCTCTCTGCCGTGCCATGCGCAAGGGTCTCGCTACATGTAGTGTGTGCATGCAGGCAGGCAGGTACTTATGTAGGTCTGCATGACATGTTGTACTGCCCGAAGAGGTTCAACGATGACAACTTCCACGCAATGCATGGGTGACTTTCAGACTCTAGGCATCTCTAGGCTACGTAAGGGCTAGTGACTGCCGAGTGCAAGCATCAGCAAACATGATTGAAGCCTACCCTTGAATTTGAATGCTAAGCATTCAAGAGTGCCGGAATTCCAGAAGCAGGCGAAACTCCGTACCAGGGCCCCCGCTGTGTGGGACTTGCACTGTGCGATGCTCCGCTTCAAAGAGGCTGCAGTTGATCAGCATGCTGGCGCAGAAGCTAGCTCGTTGCGGGATGTCCCTCTTTGTGTCTACTGCTTGACGAACACTACAGTGAGAACACGTTTCGTACATTGGTGACGACGACAAGGGCGATATCAATGGTGCTGAGTCTACATATAATTATTAGCAGGGATGATGGTGAGAATGCCGGAGTGCAGTTGTGCCGGGTAGTGGCGGTGGTGAGGCCGGGGGGATCCTGGCAGCTACAACGTGACCATCCCCCGAGCCCAATGTACACGAGGGGTCTCCTTACGTCGACGTCTGGCAGTTTGAAGCATGGTCGCAGAGGTCATAAAAGGAATCCCTGTCTGCTGTAGTCGACGCTGAACATCCCAGCTGGGAGAATTGTAGCTTGGTTATAAGATCCTAACTTAAGGGTCATGCCCGTCACAGTAAACAAGGCAATCAGGTTAGTAGGCACATGTAAGCGAAGCGAAGCTCAACACGCAGCCATCCGAAAGGAGCAATGAGCAAGTCACAGACACTCCAGCGAAAGGAGTAAGTTCCAAGAAGACGCTAGTTCGCCGTCAGTTGTTCATCATCCTCTCCTCATGGTTGAGAAGTGAATACCCACGGCGTGGTGAGCAAGAAGATGATGATGGCCGCCAGACCCGTGTCAATCATGGTGGTGATGCGGAGGCGATGCTAGTAGCGGAGAAACATTAGAAAAATGCGTTGACTACAGTTACATATGTAGTTTAGCTCTATCTGTCGGAGTAGTGGGCCACGGCAGTATTGGGATCGAGCTTGCATCAGTTATTGTCGCTGTTGTTTTTTGGCAGTCGCGTGGTGGACCGTGGCATGAGGACTATGCTGTTGATGATGATGGTGGAGCCTCGCGGATGCGGGGCATCCGAGCATCGTCAGCTGCAGATCCTGGTTCGGGTCATATTGAAGGTTCAGGATGTCATGGGCTGTGGAGTCTTTCTTAAGAACCAGTATGTGGGGGCTGTACATGCATCAGGACAATCCCCTCAAAGTCACCCGGCGTCAAATGAGACCCTCGATAACAGCCCAGCAAGTTTCCTTAGCTAAGACATGCCCAAACATCACGACCTGAGGATCTGCATCACTGAACACCGACAGTGGGATGCTGAGCAATCCGACTTGCAAGTCCGACAATTTCCCAATCCTAAGATGACGATTGGGGTCTGAATGAATAATTAGTAAAGCTATCTCCTTGTGCTGTGCTTCTCTCCATACAGTTCTACTCAAGTCCTCCTCTGCCGGGCATCACTTCTGTCGCTAAGAGGACAGCCTTTAGTTTAAGCTTCGGAATTAGGGCAAGGCCTGGCAAATGATTGTGAAGTCTGGCGCAATCATCTTCATCACCTCAGGCGCGTGGCCAGGCACTGGGCTGGGATTCAGCCGGTATCTGCACGAAGCCAGCAGGAAGTCGGAATTTGACCAATTTGAAGCCAAGCCCTTCTGCCCAGTTTCAGCTAAACGTCAGCACGATCCCAGTCGCTGCACTGCTACCTCGCGACTGTGCGACCTACGCGAGATGACAGCTGGCCCCCAAAAGGGTTCCGCAACTTGTGAAGCAAACAGCTAGGCCCCTCTCCACAACATCATCATTATTATTAGTATTATCATTATTATTATTGTTATTATTCTTATTGTTATTATTATTGTTATAATTATTATTAGTAGTAGTGCGTGGTGGAGCTTGAAGAGGCCGACTCTGGCCAAGGACGCGGCGCAACAAAAGCGAAGCACGCCTCGATCCTGCCACGGATTTGTGGATTCGTAGGGTTTTTTGAGGGGTGCAGAGTCGGTCCCAACCTGAAGCAGCGGTAGGAGGCACATAGGACTTGGGCTACGAAGAACCGAAAGTCTGAAGTCCAGACGCGATGTTCTTATCGCGCGGTCGAGGCCTCCGCTGCGCTGCCGGATAAGCTGAGTCTGATGTGAGAGGGACCTCCGGGATGGCATCGACTCTTCAGCTTCCATCGGGCTTTTAGGGGTTTAGGGTTTCAGCACTCACACTCGGACGAACCACAGCGAGGATCCCAGTACCGTTTAGGGGTTTAAGGTTTCGACTCGCACACTCGCTCTCGCAGGCACGGCTCCAGGGTCGGGGTTTAAGGTTTAAGGGTTTAGGGGTTTAGGGATTAGAGGTTTAGGCTACAGATGGCTTCCCATCCTGTCCTCAGAGCTTCCGAAAGACCCAGCATTTCATTGCACGGAAGCATCAGTCGGGAGCTTCCCAACATAGGGGACCCTAATATGGCACCCTAAATAGTAGGATCCTTATTATAAGGACCCCAAAATAACCCATATGGCCCATATACGTAGCACCCTAAATAGTAGGATCCTTATTAGTATAAGGACCCCAAAACAAGGTCCCCCCTAATTTTCGGAAACTCTAAACCCTAAACCCTTTATAGATCCCTTATAGATCCCTTTAAGGAACCCAAATAAGGTCCCCCTAATTTTCGGAAACTCCCAGTTGCTCTGAGAAGCTGACCACAAGCGATGGTGTGGAGGTCCAAGGCGGCCTTCGAAATATTGTAGGGGCCTTGATGATTGGTTTAGGGCTTCTTTAAAGGCCTCTATATCAGGGGCACTGTAAGGGCTATTATAAGGATGTAATCTAGGGGCCTTGATAATTAGAGTGGGGTTTTGGGCCCATTGCACTATATTCAAAACAAGGAGCCCCCCTAAATAGTACTGGCAATTATTGAGGCCCCTATGTTACCCGGAGAAAAACTCAACGCGGGCGTGTCACACTGCTCTGTTCATCAAGTCGCTCCTAGGGCAGGTAGTCATTCACAGCAGGAAAAACTAGATTTCACAAAATACTCAGCAATAGCCTCAGCAATCATGGGATTTAGTCGTGCAGAAATTAGATAGGCACCCCGCCCCCGGAGGACCTAAAAACTTTATCCCTGATTTGGGACAAACCGCCTGAATTATGCAGTGACTGGCACTTTCGAACACTTGGCGTATATCTGACCAAGGCGGCCCCTGGATCAGAGGAATCTCCTGTGAGTAGGCACCCGTGAATTCCACAGAACTTAGTGTTCATAAATACTTGGGCCTGCATGATTAGAGTAGGGTTTGAGGCTTTCTATTGTTGGGACTGCAAGGATATTCCAGAACTGAATAATTATTCGGACCCCTGCATTACCCCCGTCCCCTCCCGTCCCTTCACCTCCCCGAGGTTCTGCGAGTTGATCCTGGCTGCACACGTGCGAAGTCTCACTCTAGCACAGGAGAGAGACGGGTCGACCTCTCAAACTCGAAAACTGGGCCTGTTGAAGCATTGTATCCGAAGCGACCGGTTCTTGAGCTTCTCCAGGTATGGTCTCAGTGGACAGCTTGACTTCGCGCAGCTGGCACATCAGGCTGGAGGCAGCAGGCAGCAGCACCAACCTAACAATTTTTCATTCGAGGCAACGGCGCACTGCCATTTCCAGAGGAGAAACGCTCAGGCTACGAATACGGCAGCCGTCAAAGTGACGAAGCCGCTTGTTGAAAACACCTCCTTGGACTTAGACAGTGGCCTTGGCGAAGAAGTCGGGTGGGGTGGAGTCCGACACATCGTCCAGGACATCGTCCAAGACCACATCCGAGATGCCTTCGCAAGTGCCCTCGGCAAGGCCCATCTTCGGAGTGCGGGACTCCATGAGTGCCTCCTTCGTCTCGCCGCCGATGCCCCGAACCAGGTACTCCGCCCTCGCTGCCCAGTCTCCGATCCCGAAATCGTGGTCGAAGTCATTTGCAGAAGGTTTTCGATCCATTCTAGAGCCCATTTTCGAGCTCCAAAAACGAAGCCCAAAATGGGGTCTCCCCTAATAGTTTCCAATCAGGCGGTCTCAGCTTTGGGAACCCATTTTTGGTCTCAAAATGGGGACCAACCCGAGCTCAAAAACTGCGGAATTCTGCGAGGGAGACGTGTTTGAAGCTTTACCAAAGTTTTGCCCGACACGCGGCGACCAGTGTCGCGAGCGACCGCGTCTGTTGAAATCAATCAAAACGCTCCGTTGCTACCCTCATGATTGGGCTTGTGCTGCTTAAGCACCGTTGTTTGCCACTGTAACTGTGGGGGTACTCTGATGTGTCCTACGTTTTTTGTTGTTTTCCGGGCCCCGAAAATGGGCTCGTAAAGCTCGTCGAAAGTGTGGCAGCCCAGCTGGGGAAGCGTGGGGCGGAGCACGTGCTGCCGAACCCGACTTCGGACATGGCTTCCTTCCAAATGGACGGGCACCAATCCGTTGTGATGAGCTGAATCAAAATGAACTTGTTGCGAATATTCTGCACCTCGGTGCGGATGTCATCCGCCTCTTGCTCCCTGCCCTCTGCCTGCAGCTTCTCTGCTGCCTTCAGAGCTGCAGCAGCTCCACCGTAGGATGTGGTGTGCTGGGGCTGGAAAGACAAGATCTCAGCACAGGGGCTGGCTGTCAGTTCAAGCCTCGACAGGTTCGCCATCATGCCGAAGGAACAGCTTGCCGACTTCTCCGGCCTCTCCTTCATGCTCTGCTTGAGCTTGTAGGGCGAGTAGTAGGATGCGGCTGCCTCGCTCAAGGACTGATTAGTAGGATGCGGCTGCCTCGCTCAAGGACTGATCCACCTCGCAGTACTGGGCGATCTCTTTCTTGTTGGTTTGAGACCAGTGCTCGCCCTGACTGTAGGTCGAGCCCGCTTCTACTTTCGTCTCCAACTCGTTGAGGTAAGCTTTAGAAGTGCTCTGGGTCTTGATAGAGCAGCCTGTGGGAAGAGTGGTGCTGTTGACGACCTTCACCTTCCGAATGCCCTTGGCACGGGCCGCGGCTTTGCAGGCAGGAAGCTTGGTGACGGGAGCCATCTTGATGGAGCGGGCGTTCTTCTCGCAGCGCCCGTCAAGCAGCCAGCTCCTCTGCGGGGGCGAATCGTACGTCACCAGCTTCCCCTGCCGAGCACGAGTGTAGAAGTAGGCATCCAGCTGGCGCATCAGCAGGCACACGTCCCTCTTCGTACACTCCTGGATCTGGTACTTGTCCCGCAGCCCATCGAAGTACTCCTTGGTGGAATCCACGGCTTGGCACTCTTCTGGCTGCAGGGTCATTTCGATCTCACCAGCTCGCCGAGAGCTGGCCACGGTGATGAGAACTGCGAAGGCAAGCCGGAACATGATGCGGAAAGGCACAGTGCCTTGAAAAAGGATTTGTCAAAGATGCGGCGGGCTGCTTGAGCTGAGAACTGGCTACTTGAGCAGCACACAGTCTTTCAGTCTCTCTCTCTCTCTCTCTCTCTTTCTTTCGCCAGGGTTGTGGTGACGGGGTTTCCCCCCTCTCTCTCTCTCTCACTCTCTCTCTCTCTCTCTCTCTCTCTCTCTCTCTCTCTCTCTCTCTCTCTCTCTCTCTCTCTCTCTCTCTCTGCGCAACAACAGACAACGCCCGTGAATGCTTGTGGTAACGATCAACTTTTACCTTCGAAGCAACAGCATCCTGTGCACACTCCAGCGGCGCACTGCCATCCCCAGAAGAGAAACGATCAGGCCACTGATACGGCAGCCGTCAAAGCCGCTTGCTGATAACACCTCCTTTGCCGTGCTGAGGCATCCGACAGCCTGCCAGCCTAGACAGTGGCCTTGGCGAAGAAGTCGGGTGGGGTGGAGTCCGACACATCGTCCAGGACATCGTCCAAGACCACATCCGAGATGCCTTCGCAAGTGCCCTCGGCAAGGCCCATCTTCGGAGTGCGGGACTCCATGAGTGCCTCCTTCGTCTCGCCGCCGATGCCCCGAACCAGGTACTCCGCCCTCGCTGCCCAGTCTCCGATCCCGAAATCGTGGTCGAAGTCATTTGCAGCCCAGGTGGGGAAGCGTGGGGCGGAGCACGTGCTGCCGAACCCGACTTCGGACATGGCTTCCTTCCAAATGGACGGGCACCAATCCGTTGTGATGAGCTGAATCAAAATGAACTTGTTGCGAATATTCTGCACCTCGGTGCGGATGTCATCCGCCTCTTGCTCCCTGCCCTCTGCCTGCAGCTTCTCTGCTGCCTTCAGAGCTGCAGCAGCTCCACCGTAGGATGTGGTGTGCTGGGGCTGGAAAGACAAGATCTCAGCACAGGGGCTGGCTGTCAGTTCAAGCCTCGACAGGTTCGCCATCATGCCGAAGGAACAGCTTGCCGACTTCTCCGGCCTCTCCTTCATGCTCTGCTTGAGCTTGTAGGGCGAGTAGTAGCTTCCCCTGCCGAGCACGAGTGTAGAAGTAGGCATCCAGCTGGCGCATCAGCAGGCACACGTCCCTCTTCGTACACTCCTGGATCTGGTACTTGTCCCGCAGCCCATCGAAGTACTCCTTGGTGGAATCCACGGCTTGGCACTCTTCTGGCTGCAGGGTCATTTCAATCTCACCAGCTCGCCGAGAGCTGGCCACGGTGATGAGAACTGCGAAGGCAAGCCGGAACATGATGCGGAAAGGCACAGTGCCTTGAAAAAGGATTTGTCAAAGATGCGGCGGGCTGCTTGAGCTGAGAACTGGCTACTTGAGCAGCAGTCAAGCCTATCTCGCTGCATAACGACAGCCTCTGAAGACGACTAACTTTGCGTTGTCTCCAATTCTAATCTGAATTCGAGGCCACGCAATTTCGTCCCGGAGCACTCAGCCTGCGGCATCTCATACAGAAACCCTGCCTTGAAGCTCCATTCCGGATTCCTGGCAGCCGCAAAGAGATGCAACGTCCACCGTCGTACTGTCTTGCATGCTCGCATTCGCACGCATTGAAAGCTTTCCATCACCAGCTGGAACAGTCCAGACTCTTCTAGACAATGAACACATCCCCAAAATGGAACTTGAATAGTTCAGAAAATAGAATAGTGGTTTGGGTGATGCTGGCAAAGCGAATGGCTGTTGAGCAAACATGAAATATGCGCAATAACAAAGAAAGAACACGTCACATGTCTACCAGTTGATAGGTTTGTGCGAATAGATTGCAGAAGCCGAAGCAATAGAGTTCGCTTCCCAAGCAGTCCAAGCTTCTTGGAGTAGATGCTGGTATACCTTGCCTATAATGAGGCAGTACACTTTGCTTCCTCGGGAATCTTCAGGAAGCTGGGCGAACTCACCGCTTTCCCGCCATGATAGATTGTCGGCCCATGCCTCGTGTTCTGCTCCACGTTCGATTTGAACAGCTTGTAATTGTCAAAATCGATCCTGAGAAGAAACCATGTGCAATCAAACGAACGGGCTACAAGACATCGCCGGCAGCAAGGAGGGCTGCAGTACCTCTAATATCAGGGCTCTATATTATTCCAAGTTATAACAAGTAACCCCCCGAACTAGTATAGGTAATTATTCAGGCCCCTATATCATATCCAGCAGCCAGAAGGTTCGCAGGCTTCCTCTTGGGCTGCGACGTTACTTGCGGGTGCCATTTGCGTGGCCGAGGTTGGTACTGCTAACAGACACTTCCCGCTGGAAGCGATACTATAGTGACACTATAGCAAGACAAAAAAATCTCTAATTCCATAATAGCACTAAAGTAATACTAAAATAATACTACAGTAAAACGAAAATAATACTATAATCATGCTGTACTAAGCAGTATTATTCGAATACTATCTTCAAGAACCAGATGGCCAGGCTGTGGAGCCCTGATGTCGCTGAAGTACGGAGTATAGTGCAGTGTCGTATAGTCTAGAGTACTAAAGCATAGTATAGAGTATGGTAGTATAGTGTACAGTAGTAGAGTATAGAACGCATACTTAAGTCAAGTTTGCCCAAACGGAATCACAAGTACCGTTCTGCTATCGAAAGAACAAGGTCTTAGTGGAGTGTAGGATGTGTTCGGCCCCTCTGCCTGCTGTCGACTTTCGGAGCCCGGATGCCACCAAGCTTCTTCAAGTAAGGATCACATGCCTTCAGGGGCAGCGGGTTGAGGGTTTCTTTTTGCTGAAGGCTCCTGTCCTCCTTGTTGGGGTTTAGGTCTTGGGACGAGAGATCTCGCTCCCCATCAGGGAAGTCGCATCATGACGCAAGGGTCTCGCATGCTAAGAGCTCCCAATCCGCGAACTTTGCATCATGACGCGACGGTCGTACAGCCCACCATAGTCAAGCGCCTCAATTGGAGGCTTCAAGAAGGCTAGCGAGAAAAAGCCCCAGCAGCTTAATGAGCACGAGTACCGCATTCGATGCAGTAGGATCGTGATCTCATAGACTAACGTAATATGCTTATATAAGAAGATACTTGTAGAGTATAAGAATACAAACAACAATAACCTAATAAGTACTGGTACATGATATAATCTCATATCATATCATCTCATGTCATACAGGTGAAAATTTCCGAATCCGGCCTCGGGGGCATTCAGGCCTTCGCACGCAAACTCATAGAGTTGCACCTTGTGCTTGCGAAGCGCTTCGGGGGTTAATACTTACTAATACTATTTTGGGGGGGACCTATTGTTGCAACTACTATTTTGGGGGTTCCTTATTGCAACTATAGTCTAATGGGCCCCAAAACCCTATTCTAATCGCCCCTATATTAGGGTTCATCAACGGCCATGGCCCAAAGCCAATGTGGTAGTCTCCGAAAGTTATGGGTACCTTATTTGGGGTCCTTGTAATAATGATCCTACTATTTAGGGTGCTATAGCAAGGTCCCCTGTTTTCGGAAACCCCCATGTGGTAAGGCTATGCTGGGGTGATGAGCACCCAGCCCAGGGGCTGGCAATGCCAAGGAGTCGCACACGGGGGGGGGGGGGTTGTCAAAATCAGGGTCCCTTTCTGGGTCCTTAATATAATACGGCACCTTGTATTTGGGGTACCCCAAAAAGGGCCCCTAATTTAGACAACCACCTACATGTTAACATTACGCCATAGGACTGATAGATTGATCTGGGAGTTTCCGACAATGAACCCCCGACCTTAACATTCATTCATCTCGTCTCCCCAGACTTGTTGCATTGCACTGTCAAGCAGTCGTCGGGACTGCCTCACCTTGGGAATCTTACCTGCAATATCTCCCTGCAGCACAGTGATCGCAGCTTAGGCAACTTGCTGATCTTGCGATCTTTTTCTGCAAGCATGCGCAATGATCTCGAGGAGGCCCCGATTAAGATTTAAACGCAGGCACGAGGCCACTACCCACGCAGACTGGGGGCTTGAAGCTCAGGTGGCCTACACCATGCACCCTTACCCTGTCCTTTATAGACTCAAAAATAATTGTTACACAATGCTTCAGTGTAGCCGCATGCGGAGGCCCTACATGCTTGCTCGACGACTTGTCGGCAATATTCCCAAATCCAGCTTGGCTAGTCATACTAGTAGTAGTTGTAGTAGTAGTAGTAGTAGTAGTAGTAGTAGTAGTAGTAGTATCATCTCATCTCCCAAAAAAACCCAGGACCAAGGCCCTCAGTCCCTGAGGTTCGAGGCTCAGATCCTAAGGGCCCTAACTAACATCTTGAAGCTCGATTTGGGAGTTTCCGAAAATGAGGGACCCCTATATAGTACCCTAAATTTGCCCTAAATAGTAGGGTCCAAATTATAAGGACGCCAAAATAAGGTACCCCATTTTCGGAAACTTAACATCTTGAAGCTCGATTTGGGAGTTTCCGAAAATGAGGGACCCCTATATAGTACCCTAAATTTGCCCTAAATAGTAGGGTCCAAATTATAAGGACGCCAAAATAAGGTACCCCATTTTCGGAAACTTAACATCTTGAAGCTCGATTTGGGAGTTTCCGAAAATGAGGGACCCCAATAGAGTACCCTAAATTTGCCCTAAATAGTAGGGTCCAAATTATAAGGACGCCAAAATAAGGTACCCCATTTTCGGAAACTTAACATCTGAAAGCTCGACTGGGAGTTTCCGAAAATGAGGGACCCCAATAGAGTACCCTAAATAGTAGGATCCTTATTATAAGGACCCCAAAATAAGGTATCCCTAATTTTCGGAAACTCTCATTTCTCTAAAGCCTCAAGCCCGAAACACCGAGGCAAAAGGACGAGCCCTGAGCCGCGCAGGCACAGCTCATGCCGCAACGACGCTCGGCTCAGCTCCTTTTAGGTTTTTTTTTTTGTGCACGACCCTTTTAGGGTTTAGGGTTTAGGGTTTAGGGCTTGTCCTGGTGATTCGGCTTTGCTAGAAGGGGCTTGGGGCGCGTCTAGGGTGATGGTGATGGAAAACAGAAGGGTGCACTTGTTGGTTCTTGCTGCCGCCACTGTAGTGACGACGTGATTTCAACAGTCTCTTGCGTTTACCTTTCTCTCTCATAACTAATAATTATTAATAGTAATTAACAATAACTAATAGTAATTAATTTTTTTTGATAATAATTGATAATAACTGATAATAACTAATAGTAATTAACAATAATCAATAATAATCTTCTTCTTTTCTCAGGCATGAGGGGCGACTCTCGCTCGCGTGCTTCGGGCCTTGTTCGGGGAAGGAGCTCGCCGTTCCCCACTTGCAAGCTGTTGTAGAATCCAGGGTTTAGGGCTTTGGATTTAGGGTTTAGGGTTTAGGGTTTAGGATCCAGGGTTTCAGCACTCACAACTAGACAAGCAGGCGAGGATCCGAGCACACATCTGTCCAGCACGTTGGCTACTCCAAGCAACAGTGTATGAATCATACCACTAGACCAAACAGCCAAGTATCCAGGGTTTAGGGCTTTGGATTTAGGGAATCTAGTACCAACATCAACTTGGATTACACGTGGGTCTTCCCGGGCTCTTCACAGTGCGGCTTCCAAGTAGGCCCCCAAGTAACCGGAAAGCGAATCCCTGCAGGCAATCCCAGCTATTTGGTGATGATGATGATGATGGCACCGTGATGCTAAGGAAACAAGAATCGGACAAATCGGATCCGACCTGGGTCGGGCTTTTGTACCCAGCCGCCGGCATCACAACCTGGACACCCAAAGTGTATGGAGAGACAGGACCAGGCGGGTTGCGCTTCGGCTGACAGACAAAGATCGTTGATCAACACTGCCTCGTATCGCAGTACGCGAGGAAGGCTGGCTCGCTAGACAGCAACGCCACCCAGGATGTGGTCAGACCCTCGACCAACCCGAACACCCGCTGGGACAGCTTAGTTTGCATTAATCGGTAGTAAGCAGGGTAGAAAGGGTAATCGTAGTAGCAGAAGAAGCAATACCCTTTCAGCCAGTAACCGTAAGTGGTGGTAGCAGAAGCAGTCGAGCCGCGCCAGAAAGTCGTTACGGTTAGCACTGGCAGCAAGACGAACTGTCCTTCAGCCCAAACTCAAGGGAACCCGGCCACGCCCCCTATGACTCCCGTTGCATTCTCCAGGCGAGCGTCCCCAGTCCGTGCAGTTTGCAAAGCGAGGCCAGGCGACAAGAGGCCCATATCTGAGAGAATGGACAGATAGAGCTTCGGCTACGGGTTGAGGGTGGGTTTTCGGGCGTGTCTTAAAGCACAACATGAAAACATCGATGCGATGCGATTGCCAGGGCCCCGCTCCCCGTCGTAACAACGTTAAGAGAAGCTGCACCGAGTGCGTAGCATGGTGGTTGTTGGCCGTCTCTTGTTCAAGGCTTTTTGCTTGTCTATAGGGGTCTCCAAAATTCGAAGCGGAGCCCTGCAGACCTCTCGATGCCAGAGTGTAGAAGGTTCATGGTGTGAGGATCCGGGAAGCTGCCCCTGTGCTTGCAGCGAGTGGCGGGACGTAGATGCCGTATCGCACGCCGTCAAAATAGTTGTTGTAGCGCAGAGGAGGGCAGTCCTTGCAATGCCACAAGAGTCCAAGCCAAGCCGACTTAGAACTACGGGAGCTAACACTGGATCCTTCATGATGCGGATACCCCGAGTCAATATCTTTGGGGATGATCTTGTGCAAGCCGATTAGGAAAGATGGGCATCACGAACCACAGGTTGCAGCCAGAACTCCGGGTCTTCAGGCAACCAGCACCTTGACAAACACTTGACGAAGAAGGCATTTTAGCACCCACCGCTGTTCGCAGACTTGCATGGAAGGCATGGAACAAAAAAATGAGTCACAAAGCTATTATTGTTTACGGGTGGATCGACGATGACTGATGTCCTGATGTTTGCACAGCTGCTCAAACAGCTCAGACCCTGCAGCCCACACAGATGGGAGTTTCCGAAAATAGGGGACCCTAATATAGCACCCTAAATAGTGGGATCCTTGTTATAAGAACCCCAACACAAGGAACCCCTAATTTTTCGGAAACTCCCGTATGACGAGCATCAGCGCACTTCACCCTGCTCGCTGCTGGCCAAAGCGCGGTAGGGCCCGCTCCTGCGAAACAGGAGCCCAACCTCTTTTAAGCCGGATTAGAAGAGGATAAATACTGGGCCTAAGTAACTACCAACTGTTCTTCGGGATTCGTATTGTAGTTACAGTGACAGTATAATATACCCCAAACACCCCAAAACCATACTTATTCTTAACTATTCAGGCCCCTATATTACACCCTTGGCCTTGCAGCCGTCGCGTTCCCTCCAAAGATTAACCGCATCTGTGCTTTTCCGGCCCGTTCGCGCCTGGAACATGCGGACAACATGTGGGCCTCGGGACAGGGGCGTCGGAGAGGACGGTAATGCAAAACATCATCCGAGAGACGACTCCTCTTCCACAACTGAAGCTCTCCTCACCTTCTGAGGTGCTGACCGCAAGGAATCTCTGCCCCTTCCACGTCCTGAAGCTCCTAACAGGGACCGCAGATTGATGCCAGTTTCACTTGCTGCAGAGGCCCGACGATTTCGAAAACACTGAGCCATGCTTCCACATATCCGCATGCAGCCTCAGAGCCATCGTCTGCATGCTACAGGCTTGAGACACATCGAAGCGCCTATAATAATAATAATCATAATCATAATCATAATCATAATGATAATAAGCCCATGAAAACTTCAACTAGTGTCCTTCCCCGGGCAGTCACGAGCAGTGACCGCCTGGCGACGCTGGAAGGATTGCACATCGGCGAAAGACAGTCCCTGCATCATGTGGTCATGATCTTTGTGGCGACCCCAATATAGGGGCCTGAATAATTACAATAAGGTTTTGGGGGTATATAATACTACACATATGGAACACCCAAAAAAGTACTGTATAGGTAATCATTAAGGGCCGCATATTATCCCATTTTCTGAACCCCCCTCCCCCCGCAGGTGGCTTTTTACTTCAGTTTCCTGCAATGGAAGTTTCTCTGATTTCAGGAGTCATCAGGAGTTCGAGGCTTTTCGCCGGAAATGCTCGCCCCACAATCCATCAGCTCCGTGTGGACTGTCGGGCAACAGAACATATGTGCGCGTGGGAGACTTCCCAGACATGTTCGGTCTTTCGCTTCGAAAGTTCAACTCCCCTAAACCCTAAACCCCAACTCCAACCAAGAAGTCAGTGAATGATCAGCCCATGCCGGAGAGCCAAGCTACGCAGCGCGAGAGCTACACGTGATACACGTAAACGAGTAGCACCTGCGGCGTCTGTCCCTGCCCCCTCCACGGCCCACGCAGCCTTCAATGCAGCAAGTGCAGCGACAGGCCCCATCCACCTTCGGCGAGTTGGCTGCAGGCTGCAGACTTCGATTCCTCGGCCCTGCAAACTCCTTTCAACTGCACTGAAACTCAGAGGAGACTGCTCGGCATGCATGTTGCAAGCCGCCGCTTGCCGGTCTTCACCAACTGTCTGCTCGTGAGAAGTAAGACGTGTCCCCGCGTGGGCGCACTCGGAGGTCGTCCCGAAACGTTCTGCCACAGGCTCGCCCCTGCAGACCAGGTGCCACTCGCGAGTGCGGGAGTGCTTTGATTCTGACTCAATCCTTTTGACATTCCGACTGCTTTCAAAGAACGGCCTAGACAAAGGGATCCCTCGCCGCGGCTAGTGGCACTACCGCGACTCTCTGCAGGGTTTTACGAGGCCGCTGGCAGGGATGGTCGGACGAGTGATTGGGGTTGAGACCTCAGCACCCACCCCTCCACACTCGATGGAAAGAGCACAGGAAGAGATGCAGTGCATGTCTGCTACCAGGTGGGTCAATCCTTAAGCTTTGCAGCAGCCAGGAAATTGGAAGAGCCTAACAGCACATAATTTTGTAGGCATGCCTGCCGGAGGAGCTTGTTGAACACATTCTCGAGCAATGTGGCTTGAACCGCAACAAGGAAAGCAGTTGGCAGCTCGCCCGTGGTGCGCTTTCTATGTTCCTTGATGCTGCGAATAAGGCAGAATCTGGCACCAAAGTCCAACTTCACCCTAGCCGGGCCTGTACCAAGCTGCCAGTTGCTGCAACATCTCCTGCAAAGCAGGCGTTTTGGCAGGGTGATCGTCAGGTGCGATTTGACTCCTCTCAAGGCGGCTTGAAACGGCTGTATGGCCCCACGTTTGGCCAACCGGATCCTGCATGAAGGAGCTGTTGGCCACCGTGCCCATCATGGCGTTCAGTACGCTGCCGTCCTCTTGGCAGCATGGAGCATGCGACTGGAAGCAGTGGAGCTGGATGTGTATGCTCAGCTCCTGTAGGCTGTCTACTTTGGCTTGTGAGTTATGGCACGTACGTCCTCTCCGGAAAGACCTGGCCTCTTAAGTCTTAGGGAACTGAACTCAGCAGAACCTGCACACCCTCGCAGGGACTCATAAATCCGATTCCATGAGTCGACATGCTTTAAGAGATGTCACCGTGCCTCGGAGAAGCTTGCCAGGAAGGTTGTGGCCTCCGGACATCAAACAGATTCTCGGCACCGTGCCCGGAACTCAATTTCAAGATTGTCAGGAGATAGGAATAATTAGACTAGGGTTTTGGGGGCCCATTATACTATATTTTTTTAATCAGGAACCCCCCAAATAGGACCCTTACAAAAGCCTAATGCAATTTGTTCCCTCTCGCATGGCTGGAATCGAAGTCCACGGGCGAGGAGTTATGGTAACTCAAGGAGTTCACTTACGAAACAAATTTTTCATCACTGGCCATGTTAAGCGGGCTTTGTTCGGGTTGTTCATCGTCGAAAAGGAGGCGGGAGCTGATATTCAAGTCAAATCTCTTCTTGTCACTGCTCTTTCTATACAGTTCGCTCTCAGTAATTTCATCATCTATCTCACCATCGTGTGAAGCTTTCTTGTATTTCAAAAGGAATCATTAAACCTCTGTTTGCCAAAGCGGCTTGCCCACCAGCAGCACTAGTCTCAGAGGTTTTCACGATGCCTGTTGAGATACAGCCCTCATGCCTCATCCTGAATCTCAAGGATCCGAGGGCCCTCGAGTGCAGGAAGCCTATGTTGCTCTACACTGCCGGGGCGGCCTCGCCGGCCAGATCTTCAAAGGTCCACTTCATCTCCTAAGCCGACAGGCCCGCGGCACAGCTTTGGAAAATCAAGCGCGGAAATGTTACATTATGATACACTGTTTTATATTTCGTTATACTGTACTGTATTTTCTTACAATGTATTATGGTAAACTATCTCTGTCTCTCTCTGCCGTTGCATCCAGAGGGTCTAGCACGAATATATTGTACTATACTGTATTGTTGTTTATTGTATTGTATTACGATATTACTTGATATTACAGTACATGATCCTATGTGTGTAAGGGCTCGCAAGTTTGGTCGAAGATTCGAAGCTGGTCGAGGGGTTTTGTCCCTCCTACCTAGCAAGGACGAAACCAAGGTATCTTGGTCGAGGAGTTTTTTTGCCTCCTGCATGGCTCATGTGACGAAGCAGGGTAATAGTTATATACTCCTGTGAATTCTCATCGTTGCCCACTTTGTTATGGACTGATGAAGAGAGCCACTTTCTCAGTGGGCATGCACAGACATCCACTTCCAATTCAGGAAGGAGAAAGATAAGTTTTCCAGAAACACGTGGACCCTTCAGCAAAATGCCGGATTCCATCAAGGGGCAAAATGCCCACTCATTGTGCACAAGTCACTTGCACTACACTCCCTTTGCACTCAGCGTCCCAGGGTGGGTTAATTCCAAATTAAGGGTGTCTTTGAGTTTTAATTACCACGTTCACAAGCAACTTTGCGGCAGCGTGCAGGACATGGAATAGAAAAGGGACCTGAGTCCGTCTTCTATGCCATCAGGGTGACATACTACAGTCACTTCATATCATATGTAATGCTTCCTCCAATTTTGCTCAAGTCAGACAATTAGCCAGCGTTCAGGTGGACAGCCAAAAGCATGCTGCTTAGCCAGGCCAGAGGTCGTGTTCCACTCCCCACATATGTTTGACCAAAGTTGCCGGTGGCCGACACACGCTGACCATTTCTAGGTCTCTGCAGTTTGGCCACCGGAAAATCAAGTGCATCCATCCAGTCGTCAATTTCACAGATAGAGAGGGAGCCACTGCTCATATCCAATACCAGAGATGTCATGACAGAGTGTGCATGCCAGGATAAACTCTCAAGCAACCTCCATCCAGTCGTCAATTTCACAGATAGAGAGGGAGCCACTAAAACTTGGTACACTTCTCGATTTGTGCGTGTCATCCTTGCGCAGGGGCCATGCTAATCTTCTCTGTATCGTTCCAATTTTATCGGATGATCCCCGAAGGGAATCCGTCGAGGAGTTTAGTGTTCAGGGTTTTGGGTTGAAGTTGCGCTTTGGGCTTCACGCTCCAGGTTCTCCGCAGACACATGAAATCAGCTGCGGACGGTAAGCAAATGTTGCGGTGCATCGGCCTCATTTGCCTATAAAGTTAGTGATGCCAAGGCGACTATGAAGCCTGCACCCGGACACACCGGACCTGAAGGCAAACTTTTTGAGACATCAGAACCTTACAACTCCGTGCAGCTACGAAGCAATTGGAGTCCCATGGATTCCCATGAATCAAGCTTGCGGAAAGTGGAAATCTGAATTTTTGAAAGCCGGCATCATAAGAACAGCTGGCTGCGAGGCCAATTTTCTAGTAACGACCGGAAATTGACGCAATACCATGCCTAAAACAAGATCACTGACGCGATTGACCCGTGAGCTCGACATTCCCCCTAAGCCACGAAACCCATCTTTGCCTACGTCATCCCGCCCAGCTGCCACGTCCAGGTCCGTGTAGAAACCGCCCTCACGCGCCAGCACTGCTGCGCGGCAAACGTCGCTGCGGTAGCTGCCCCTGTCCAGTCTTTGCATTCAGAACTCGCAAGGCAGCATGATCTGACAATCAGGCTCTGGATCATGCGTCAGGATCTGGGATCTCAGCTGTCGCAGCAAGATCTCGAGCGCTTTGGACACCCGAGGAGGTGGGAAAATGGCCTCTTCTCATTCGCGAAGTAGTGGGGCAGATCGGTGTGGTTATAATGCTCCACCAGGTATCCTTAGCTTCAGAACGCCGCGTGGACGAGGCTCGGACTGTCAGTTGTCACTGCCATGCTGGCACTGCAAGCACTCGGCTGCTCAGCTAGATCCCATCCGGGCTTTGAAAATCTCATGTCGATCCGGAGGCGTAGGCTTTCAAGTCCACTCCGTGGTTTTTGGTAGGCTTCCTCCGATGCGAAGCTCCATGAGGCCTCCCTACATCCTTAAGGCTTTCAGCCGGGATCCTTTCTTCGCAGGAGCAATGGCCTGATGTGTCCGCCAGAAGTCCCTGCTCCAAGCATCACAAGAACACTCTCTTAAGCCAGGAGCTCGCTGAGGTGCCTGGACGAACCCGTAAGGCCCTTATATCTTGAACCCCTAAAGCGGAAAGAACCAGTCGGCTCCCATCCCATCGAGCCCGGCGTCGCTCGCACTCGATGTCACCCAACCAGCGGACACTGAACCAGGGGTTCAAAGCCAACCTGAAAGCGCCCAAAACGGAGGCTTGCCATCTGAAAGGCACTGAACTGAAGAAGTTCCGGCATCTCTAGAGTTTTTTGGGGGGATCAGAGCTGATGGTGAACACCAAGCTCATGAGTTGGCCCGAAAGGACCCTAACGATACCTCCACAACTGGCCCCAAGATCAGTCCATTTTGGCCACGGGGCGTGTGCCGCACGTTTCGCTGCACAGGGCTGGGCAAAGAAGCGATGCTTCCGTCCTGGCGACGGTCCGAGCCTTTGTGCTGGTGACCATCGAAAGAGCAACGGTTGCGCCAGAGATGAATGGATGCTTCCGACAGGCCATGAGACTGACCTCGCTTCGCCTCCGAACCTGTCGGCCAGATGATATCTCGTGCCAGTTCACGCTCCGAGACTGGCACGCGCCATCAACAGCCAAAGGGCAAAGACAAGCGCAATGCTCTTCGCACATATTGTCAGCCTCATGGCTAGCGCAACACCGCGGCTCTTCTGTGTGCCACGCTTCAAGTAGAGGCTGAACTATCAACTGCACCAAGTCTCGCAAACCAATGCCGCGTAGATGTGGAGTTTGTGTTCTCGCCGCAACGCTCAGCCACCACTGTTTGATTCAACACTTCAGCGGCTGCAATTGCACCTTCTCCTACACGTCTTCTCTGCAGGATGCATCAGTCAGTCAGTCTCACCCGCGGCCGGGTCGATGCGACACAAGAGCTCACAGATCCCGAACTTCCCATACTCTTGCTGCTCTACAAGTGTCTCTAGTTTCCGGTATTACCACTCGGAAACACTGCACGCACCGTGCCAAATGTGGTCGAAGCTCTGATGCAGACAGCCAAAGCGAACGTGAATGAATCGGAGACCTACTTCCCACAGACTTCTCTAGCATGCGAGCCGTAGACTCTAAAGGACCATGTGGTTAGGACGATTGGAACAAATGTGACAATTATAAGCACTATTCATACTGTGACTATCACCAGCATCACCCCTGTTACTACATAGCGCGGAAGCCCCTTGAGCCCTCGCCGAATCACCCCTCCGTCCTTCGAAGTGAGGACCAACTGCTGGGGAATCCTGAGCTTTGACAGAGCTTTGAAGGTTGAGGGTTTCGCCGCGTTTCGACTCGCAGACTCGTTGACGCAAGGCTTCTGAGGTCCCTCGTTTAGGGCTGGGGAATCCTGATCTTTGAAGCAAACTTTCGGGACCTCTTTGGCGACCCGACACTCTGCATTGGACTACTATAACCTGCGCTGTGTAGGGCCTTAGAATCACAACCTTACGTGGAATCCTACAAAGAAGTATGTCATGATAGTTTAAGAGAGGAAAGCGGATTCTTAAGAGATGTTGTGGGCATAGAGGACACGCAATACCCAGATTCATACCGGGGTTATAAGACTTAGAATGGGGTTCCGGGGCAAGTGATAGTATATTCACATGTGGACATGCAATACGTTTACTCCGACCTCTCTATCTATCTATCTATATATCTATATCCAGATCTGTATATCTATACCTACTACATATACAACATACATATACATCTACATCTATCGATGGGTCTTGAGGTACCTTTTGTAAACCGGTACTCTATCGAAGGCCATCGAGGGCTCCTATGTTCACAATATCACAAGATCAAGCTCCCCATACCCTACCTAAATGCTCGCTCTCGCAACTTCCCCGCAACTTACAGCCCCGCACATGTCGTATGGTATGCCCACACATGGATTTGGGGAGCTCATTGGGTTTTGGTGTTTTGGTTTTGGTGCTTGTGTCTCTTTTGATTTTGACCGGCTCTTTACGGGTACAAGTACAGCTGTGTGGTTTAGATATTGCTCGGGGTGCGGAGGCAGCTTGACATCTTGCCGACCGCGCACCGAGTTTTCTTCGGCGGCGCCCGGATTCGGCCAAGTTTCACCTGCGAGCCGGCTGCGAGTAAGAAGAAGACTACAGAAACGGTTAGCAATGCATGATGATGATCATCAATCATCAGGCTGCTTTGTGATGATGAAAGTGCTCATGGCAAGGATTTCGCAGTTTGGCTGGGGGCTAGGGTCTTGGGGCCTGAAGACGTGAAAAGGTCTCTCATGTGAGGATGCGAAGCTCCGTGGGTCTCGATGCAGTAGTGGAGCGAAACTTCAGAAACGCCTGTCGGACCCCATAGGTCCGTAGGATTCCATAGGTAACAGGGTTTAACAGAGTTTTTTGCTGCCCGCCTGGCTAGGACGAACCTAGTGCAGGGGGGACATCAGCTCACTATGACAGGTGAAAAACAGGAAGGGACGCTCTGGGGCCCCGGTTTTCATAATTAGTGCATTTGACAAGGTTTCGTGGTGTTTTAGAAAGAGACTCTGAAGAGTGTATGCTCTCAGAGTCGGGCGAGCCGGATGAGGTCGCACAGTCTTCGCGGTCAGACTGAAAGAAAAGCAAGGGCTTGAGGAGATGCATGGGTTTCACCACTAACGTAAGTGAGTCTCACCGCAGAAGTGCGAGCAGGGTTGATGCAAGTGGTGAGTAAAGGACCCTCAAATGCAGGGTTAGGGCGGTTCGGGCTATGGCAAACCCACGGGACATAAACACGAAAAAATCCATGCAGCTGAACGTGTGACAAAAAGCATGACGATAGTCGCCTCTGCAGGTTGGAAGGATAGCAAGCACGCGAATGGGCATGAGCATCCGAGCATAGTAAATGCATTACGGGTCCTCTCGATCTACTACCAACGAGGCCGTACGGGTAGGATGTTCAAACCAAGGTTGCTAAGTGATTCTAAATGTATTTAGAGACTTCGAGCTCCAGCTCAAACACTGTCGAACCCTCGTGCGTGGCCATTTGTCCGTCTGCCTGCCCTCCTTGCCTGCCTGCCTCATCCACATATCCACATATCACATATCCATCCATCCGTCCGTCCCTCCCTCGCTCCGTCCATCCATCCATCAACTATCCATCCATCCATCCATGACGGAGACGCAGACCGACAGAGACAGACGACATTGGGGACATATGCATAAGCATTTTGTAGGGATAACCCTACCATATTGGGCTTCTTTATAAGGGGGTTTATATGGGATATCCCTATCCTAATTTTTGTTTCTGTGCTTTCTTGGATCCCTAAACAGACGGACGGACGGACAGACAGACAAGGAAAGAGAAAGAGGGACACAAAGACAGAGCGACGGACCAAAGTAGAAGTTAGAAAGAGAGCTGCACACATATAGCGGCTTCCTTCCTATGTACGACTATACATGAAAGGAAGCACACACACACAGACACCAAAGAAATAACCATAAGTGAAGTCCTCACCCTATGTAAACCCGTGCCGGCAAAGTGGCAGTCAGTCGCCACGCTGGGGGCCCTAGGAGTTCTTCCTGAGCATCCCGGACCGGCGCTCAGATCAAGCCCCACTCCGAAGCCCAGAAAAACCTTACAGTGATGTAGGTACCGTGAAGGTAAGTTTCAGGTGAACCTTAAAGGAAATTGAGAGTAATCCTGGTAGCAACCTGTGAGGAACCGTTCTAGCAGCCTCACAGTATAGAAGCAAAGAGCTGGAGGATAGAGTCTCTTGGACTCACAGTCCCGCTTCGGCCCCTTTCCAAGTAAGAGCGGCACACTCAAAAGTTGGGACTTGCACATTTCAGACAGCAACCAACCGGAGTTCTGAGGTGTTCGACCTGATTTTCACTACAACAAGAACTAACAGAGCCAGGTAAGCGACTCGATCCAGTTGAAACGTCAGCAGCAGAAAGCCTCAGGTGCGGAGGAAAGTCGTCGTAGCGCCTATAGGGTTGTGTCACTCCAAGATTACAGGACTGGAAAACAGATGCCAGGAAGGATGCAGCTTCTGCAGAGAAGTATTGGAAGGAGGTGGTCCTGTACAAAATCCGACACCGGTACTGTTAGAGAGGTCAGCAGGAGAAAAGCCTAGCTTTGGAGGCAGGTGTTCAATAAAGATTGCACAGATCGAGTGAACTGCACGCGCATAGGCTTGCAGTGATGCATGCTATGTTCAGAAGGGCCGGTCTTCCAGACCACAAATCAAGGAAACGGCAGGTGTCTGAGCAAGCGCATTCTGCAAGGGTTTGGCCCTTACCCCGAACCCCTGCCGTCGCGATACAGCATGCGAAGATGCAGAGGAAGAGAAAAGCTGCGATGCGAAACCCAAAGCCGCCCCTGCCACATCACACGGGGAGACATGCCTCACACACTCGCTCACGGGATATCATGGCTTCAGGCAATAAGTCCTCCGAGATAAACGGTTTCAACGCTCACACTCGCACAAGACAGGCAAGGCTCCTCCTACTTACCAAGGAAGGGTTTGGGGTTTAGGGTGTTTTACGCAGGAATGGAAGTAAGGCGGCTGCCGTCACTCGGGAAGCAGAAGCAGAAGCATCCTGTGACTGAAGCATACACCGACGCCTCAAAGCTGCCATCCAAAGACCGCTCGCGTCAGCGTGCGCGGCGGCATCATGGGCACAATCTATTTTGGATCATTCGAACCTAGAGAAGCCCGATGCTCCACCAGAGTATCGCCATCCGCTGCTTGCAAAAGGGACTGGCACGAAATCAACATGTCCAAGAGAATGTCAAATGGACCAAGGTCGGCGGAAGATACTTTAACAAGAATATGACATGACGAATGCGAGAAGAACAGTCACCTACACGCGCTCTGTTTCTTTAGTTTCAATAAGCTCACTTGCTTCTTGAAGCCATACCATGCTGCTGCATCCGATCGATGGGCTTGCCAAGCGCAATCGTGCAGAGCATCTCATTGGCTGCTTCTCTACACCAGGCACAGTGACCAGACTGAAACCGAATTGCCATACTCTGCTCTACTCTACTCTACTCATTTAGGCGAGTATAGACATCATCCCAATGACATGTATACCGCGAGCTGCAACGTTCATCAGGTCTGCACCCGAAAGGTCTTCCCAATCTCCCGCATAGCCGCCATGGCTTCATTGGGAGTGTTGGAGACTTACACTTCTGGTATACTCCTGGCTTGACGACTGTCAGAGTCAGTGGCGTTTGGGGAATCCTCGCGAAGCTCCCTCAAGTCTCAAGAGTCAGGGCGAGGTGAGCTAGCTGGACATCTAGATGGGGGATGACGGGGGTTTCTAGACAACAAAGCTTGCCAGTCTTGCCTTACCGGTCTCTACGTTCATGTCAGCAGAAAGCAAAGCTTGAGCAAACAAAACACCACCCAGCACGCCGGCACCTCCTCCCAACTCGTCGGCGATATCTCAACAGGTCTCAACACTCAAGTCACGCGTGGGCGAACCGCAATGCGCAGAGCCAGCGGATCCTGAAAGCAGGGTTGACTGTGGCTGCGGGCACATAGCGGACCTAGCGTGTTTCATTGTGCACGGGGCCGAAGGAGGACCGGAGCTCCCATGCGCAGGAGGCAGTGACTACACGAGAGAGAACCTGACATGGCGGCCGGAATGGCATGCCGCGCGGCCTCTGGCGCCTCCACGGCATTCGCAGCACGCGAAGCACCTTGAAATTTCTCAGGCCAAACTCCTGGAATGTCTCAAAGCCGTGCAAGCAGGACAGATATACCAAATCTCACGCTTGCTAGGCTGTTGGGCTCTCTTTTGGGAAAGCAGACGAGCAAACAGGGAGTTGGAAGGTCTCAAGATGTCTCAAGCCTCTGCCCTGCTGTTAAGGGCAGTGCTGTGAGTCAGCAGGCACCACCTCCCAAGAGCAGGCTCTCCGGATCCGTTGGTTATTGTACTAGACCATTAGTGACCAGTACTGACTATAACAGACTACAAACTGGGGATATTCTACTAATCTACGATACTAAGTTGTACCGGAATCGCACTATGCGTATGCTCAGCATATGGCAATATCGATTTCGCCTGGCAGAAAAAGGGTTTCAGTCATGAGCTCGACGCAGACGCCGGAATACCACTGTGCACTGTGCACATTGAAAGCTGCGGGATAAGTAAGTGTCCATATCGTGAGCAAACCAGCCACTGAGAGGCGCACAAAGCTGCATTGGATGTCTGTTGCACCTTGTCTTCGTAGTTTTTCAGTAGCTCGCGCTTCCATGACTCACAATCCAAGGGATGCCTTGCAGACCCTCGGAACTCGCCATGCCAAACAAATCCAAACCAAAGCAAGCAAACAAACAAACAAGCTCGCAACCTAACCATGTATGTGACCGGCTGACTGACTGACCAACCAACTAAGCAACTCACTAGCTAAAATCTGAAAAAATCAGACGGTTCATAGTGTTTTACAAAACCTGCGAGCCCGAAGCTAAGGCCAGGACCAGTGCCAAGCACCAGCCCAGCTCTGCTTCGCCCCAGCCTCAGTAAGGACATGGCCGTTACAGGTTCCATCTATGTGTGCATAGAATACTAATGTAGAAATACCGGTATATACGCATATAAATATCTATAATACATACATACATACATACATACATACATACACTTGTTTAGCACTCTCTCTCGGCAAAGCAGGCGAGGTGTGGGGGTGAACACAACGTTTCTGGAGAGACAGGCGCCTTATACAAACATACACACATACATACATACACACATACACACATGCGTAGACACATATATAAATATATAAATATAAATATAAATATATATATATATATATACACACACACTCGCACTCGACCTGTATGCACACACACACACACATATATATATATATATATATATATATATATATATATGTGTGTGTGTGTGTGTGTGTGGATGTATGTATGTATATATATACCTATACTTATATATCTACATATCTGTATATATAATACATGTACATTTCTGTGTGTGCGTGTGTGTGTGTGTGTGTGCGGGTGAGTGTGTTCGTTGTTTAACCGTGTATGTGCCAGGTTACGTTGTGAGGCTTAGGCAGATGCTTCTTTCTGCCTGGCCGCGAAAACCACTATTGTAATCAAAAACCAGAATATTGACAATATGCGGCTTCGGCTCGCACAACGAGGATAAGGTCATGAGTTATGTTGAAGGTCTGAAAAGAAAGGCACAAGCCGTTCACGTTGTAACAGTGTCAGTGAGAATGCCGTGAGCTAAACCTCACCCAGCCTGCTGAAACCTTTCACGAAACTGAAGATGCCTTCCAGCATGTTTCGTAGCGAAAGCACAAGTTCAAGTCCAGATTTACACTGCTCTTTGCAACCACACATGCGCTCTATGCCATCGACGAGCATCCAAGCTATGGCCTGCTCGTAACGTGGGTACAGAATGCGGTGTTGCACATCGCTACCACATCATGGCTTCGCATCCAGAAGAGCTATTATTTAAGGCCCTACAGGTGCTCGGGTGTTGTGAGTGTGTCACACAATTGAGGAAATTGCACAGGGAATCGAGGCGGTAGTGATTTCGATGATTTCGGATCTTCGTCCAGCCGGAACTGGGTTCAAAAGTAGTTCGAGCACTTCACGGGCCGGACAAGTGAAAAGCGCAAAGTGGACCAAATCTTACGCCGCAAACGCCGGCTCACAAGAAAGCCGGCACGTCTTCTCCATCAGTCGGGCTTCAATGGTAGAATTTAGGAGTCATCCTGTCTTCAACCACTCGCAGTTGCGGTGTCCCAACAGATTGTCCTGATCGAGCGCCTCGCCAATCGACTTGGCCGCAGCAGACACGGCTTCGACCTCGGCAGCTCTGCAATCACCGAAGGCTACATATGTCATATACATGTGCATACAAATAACTCTGTATGTACATATCTACCTACCTACATCATCTATGACGACTACGTGTCTATGCATCTATGGAAACAAACGAACAAATAAACCACTACTCTGTCACTACTCTATACATGCGTGTAGAACCACCTTATTAGTGCAGGCGTACGTAGCCGGTTCAACAGGATGTACTTCGCCGGTTTGACGGATCATGTGCCTACCTCAGTCCACTTTGAAAAATCAATCTGTCAGCTTGTGTAGGGCTGCAGGCAGTGAAGCAAGTGCATGACGCCTGTGCAAATCGCGTAGACAGCTGCATGTTTCTTCGCTGTACGGTTGCCGCTCTGCACGCGGGGCGGGGTAGGCAGGTCAAGGCGTCCCGATCCAGGCTTTACCACTTGATTATAAGATCATGAGCTAAATTAACATAAATTAACTGGATACTCTGCTCACTGTGGTTGGTTCGGCAAAACACTGCCGAATATGCAACTTTGCAGCAAGCAAGACGTGTCGACCTCAGCAGCTATGAAACTAGGCCTTCAAGACGAAAACAACACAATTCAAGCCGACACCATGTAAGACTATATCATACGCCATCATGGGCCAAAACACTTCTGTAGTCACATATACAAGCATACATTCATACATACTTTACGTGCCTACGGAAGGTGGACATATGCAGACGTACGTAGCGACATACATCGGTACCTACCAGATCATGCAAGATACGACTCCTTTGGCATTTCTCTGCATACAGTAATTGTCAGCCTACATCGCCCATACGGATGTGCATGCTGAGACGCAACTACACAAGTTTGGCATGTAGAACTGTGGCAGCTTCGCCATGTTCGTCTGGCCGTGTAGCACAACAAAACGATAATACCTAATGATTTGCGCGATGCGCGTTACAAGGGATTTCCTCTCGTCTTCTGACACCTTTTCCCGGAAGAGACCTGCAGTGAGGCCTCTAACGCAGGTTCCTGCGAGGACAGCTGCTCTTCTTGAGCTTGGACTTGGTGTATAAGTGTATACGATCTTACCAAGGCTTCCACCTTACGTTCTGTGCAGTAGAGCAACAGCAGAGGTAGCAGTAACCCGTGATGATGAATTTAGAACAACTTCGAAACTTACGATCCAAGCCTGCTTGTGAGCCCCTCTTGCGTGAATCGAGCGCCTACTGCGCAGCAAGGTTGCCTTATGAATCAGCTTACAGTTTTTTTGCTGCTCAACTGCAAACCTTCTACGGTCTCGCATGTCGGGACTGGAAGGTTTTAGCCATTAGTAAGGGATACCTCCCAAAAAACCTAGGCGGTACGAAGGCCAAAGCTCGAAGAAGCAGCGAATTCCGAATTTTCCGGGCTAGAGCCTCCATTGGTGTCTGTAATGGTTCTGACTTTCACTCAGCCTGGAAGTTAATGCTGCCCGTCAAATAATGAGGAGGCAATATCCGGCTGTCTGTGCAACTGTTGAGACATGTGCAGGAGGAACCCCCTTTGCGAAGGAACTAAGCACCTTCGTGTACCGATCTGCGGCCCGGCGCTACTACCATGGTCCGGTGTGAAGCCTAACTCTCCTCTACTGCCGTTGTTTTGGTTGAACCCGAGGTATCTAGTAAATCTGGTTTCGGACAAATATTCACATGCACTCATTTTGCATGCGTGTGAGCCTGTGGGTTAAAGCGCCGCAGGGCTCCCCCAACTCTTTGAGAGAAAGAAAGCTCCGAGCCAAAGTGGGCACAAATCTGTTTCTGGGTGGCCTCTGTGGTATAGCCTGGCCATGTCTTGGATGAGGCAGGCCAGGTGCTGAGGGGTTTCAAGATTCAGGACTACATAATTCATCAAGCTGGCGCATCTGAGCACTGCAGTGCTGCACTCCAGCTGATTCCATGGGCGTTGATGGCGAGTGCCTTGCGACCACTCTCGATGATCTATGGCCCTGCCGTCAGCGGTGCTTGGGCTCCTTGGAGGTGCGATGCCGGGTTGATCCCGAAGCTCATCCTCGGATCAAGCCGAGGCTGAATATCGGCTTGAAGTGTGAGGCACTAGGGACCACACCACTCTGGCAGGATCAATGACTAGTGCTGCCTGGCTGTACTTGAGTACGGGCTTTCAACACGAAACTTTGCAAGATTTTGCAAAAATGAGCAACCTGACGCTGCTTGAAGCATTTCTGGTACTGGCGTTGCTTTAGCGTTGAAGTTGTACACGACGGACAAGCTGGAAGATAACCCTTAACCCCAAACTCGATGACTTGCAGCTACGTTTCAGCAGGCAAAGGATGCCCATCAGCATGTTCCACAGGCCGGCCACGAAGGTCAGGCAGACAAAGCACCTCAAGGTCCGTCGGCCAGTCTGCGTGCAAGCTGGGCGGCAGCTCTTTCGATTCTTTTCAATTTTGCAGGGCTATGTTTCCACCAGGGGTCCGCCGTTTATGTGCTGCTTCTCGTCGTGACTGCTAATTACCATTTAGGCGGGCATCATTATCATTCATTATCATGGCTGAGTTCTCGCTTCTGCCACCGTTCCCAGGCCAGCCAAATGACCACGCTCTGTTAGATGCAAGTCTGAGGCAAAAAAGGGATGGCTTCAATGTTTATATTTGTATTCGGTAAACAAAGCAGGTCTCAAATGTAACTGTTTAAATAAATGTCGGATTCGAGTTATGAAAGACGAGCATAAAGGATGTGCAGGAGTCCGAACGTTCCCGACATGAATGGCTCCGCAAACGAGAATCTAGGCATGCATCAAAGCAGGAACTATCATTCCGCCAAGATCAGATATGCAGACAAGCCCGGGTGATCTCATACAGACTCTGCTCCCAGGCAGAGCTTGCCCCCTTCCAGAGAAGCCAGGCAGCTGTGTCACGGCGAGCGTACCGATGAACCTCGTCACATGGTCTTTGACAAACCCTTTCAAGTGCTGCTTGCTAAAACGCTACTCGCCTGGCACTACCGCCACGAGCCTGGGCACGTGCCACAGAATTCGGCGAGCAAAGGCGACATAGGCGGAACCGGGCACCCGGCAGGTAGAAGAAACCTCGCCCTCGAAGCTCTGTGAGGAAGTTCGCGCGGTTGAACACTTCCATCTGGTATCCTGCGAGGCACGGGAGCTGTGGTCAAGTCATGACTGCCTCGGAGTCTCGTTTGACATTGCTGTTGTTTTCGCGTTGGCACCCATATTTCCGCTCCAAATCCCGACATTAAGTGCAGCCGGGCATCCTTCCACCCATGGGGAGAACCGACCGATGAACTTGAGCTTCCGCATGCTCTCTACGTCGGCCTGTCAAGGCACTTTAGGCTGTTCAGCACCCGAGGAGCCAACGCGAAGCAACACACAGCGCCGGCAATGCAGAGATCCACAAAAAAAAAAGCTGTTTTCGCGAATGGATGCACCTGCCAACGTGGGACTGAAGCGCCTGAACCATACCAAAACAAAAAAAGAAGCTAGTTTTGTGAAGCCTGCCGGCCTCCAGTAGGAATGTAACAATTCCAAAAGCCACCAGGTAAGCGTTCCTTGCCAGCCACCAGGGCATGATGGCATGGCAGACACAGGTGCCCCCCCAAGGTACGTGAGCTGAGTTGGTCAGACTGGGTGCGGGTTCCAACTGTTCATGTGGCATATATCACAGCTCGACGTAAACCGACGCAACAAACCCCAAAGGAAATCCTTGACCTCTTGGACTTTTCCTGCATCAAAGGTACTGTAAACACGGGCACAGAGTGGATTTGTTGTCAAGTCCACCGAATGACCCTCTAACCTGCCCAGCAACTACATGCTCCTGTTCCATGTAATCGTCGTCCGACTGCAAGATACTGAGGAAGCCGTGCTTCTCACTTTCACAACACGCAAGATTCATACCTGCTACGACGTTGATCGCAAGGCTGTTTCGATGCCAGGGCACAGGACATAGGCAAAAGGAGACGTCAGGCCTCAAATAAATTCGCGAGCACTCAAAGCCGTAAGATTTTGGCACTCACAAGCGCGCCGTAGGGTTTTTGTGCGGTTTAGGGTTCTGGTAACGGAACAAGCGACGCACTTCCCACAACGCTGCTCCCCCCACATTAACACCAAAATCTGTGTGGCTGCGGTCTGCGGTACCCAGGTAGCCTGAAGCCTTATTTCCACATTTCTTCGGCCCACGCATGTCTAGTCTGGCGAAGCCAACTTCTGCCTCGAACTGGGAACCCTTTTGTACGGCAGACCCTGTCATCTTGTAGGGAACTTTCAGCTGACGAAAAGACTATTCAAAATTGTGCACCGTCGTTTCAGCGTTTGTCTTTGTTTAGAGTACGGGTTGCGGGTGCAGCCGCCAGCAGCTTAACGCAGGTTTACAAGTCCTTGTTGCGATCGTTCTCACACATCGGGTAGTCTTGCACCAACCTCTCCCTCTCTCCCAGGCATTCGAAACGTCAAGCCCGGCTGTAGGATCTTGCACCACCCTAAACCCTAAGTCCCTTTCAGCTGAAGGCGTAGTTGACTCGCCGAGCTGCCATAGCCGAAGTTTAGCAGGCCCAAGATACCAATCAGGGTGGTCGCTAGCCCACCTACACAAGTCTCGGCGTGGCACGGAATCTCATACATCTTCTACCTGCCACAGATACGTACTATTCGGACACCTGTAGTTTCGAGACTTCGTGTGGATGGCAAGGATTGCAGGAGCCACGCTGTTGCAATGCCAAGATTCTGATTGCATCACGATTGGTCATCCTCTTGCCTCAACCCTCCAGGCTTCGTTGAAAGCAATTTCCGGCCTAGGAAGCACAGCACGGAGATGCCGGCGGGGCCCTCCTCGATGTACTTGCCGAGCTCCTGCTCGGTGCTCTGGTTTAAGGGCGTTTAGGGGCCTTCATAATTGGAATAGGGCTCCTTTAAGGGTCCCTTTCAAAGGGGTCTATAGGGATTAGGGATGATTAGGGTTTAGCTTTTTATTCATGCCTTTTTCCAACTGCGTGAGTTCGAAGGGCTCAGAGTTTAGGCTTCGGCTTGGTGTAAGACTTTTCAGGGTGAGGGCTTCGCCTTCGGTTTAGGGCTCTGGTTGCAGATTTATCCAGGGTTTCGAGCCTAGGCTTAGGGTTTGAGGCAAGCGGTGTGACAATTAACTCAGCAAATAGAAGAAAAGGGATAATGACTGAATGGATGGATAGATGAATGCATGAAGCATGCTCGGGTATTGGCGATGTTTTGTTTTAAAAAACACAACCACGTTTCAGCTTCGGGCCTGGCAGTTTAAGGAAACTTCAAAACATCACACGTATCTGGAGAAGCAGATATGCGTTGAAACCATATAGACATCCTAAACAAGCCAGTTAAGACCCTGCAAGCCCCACACATACAACACCAAGACACCAATGAAAAGATACCAAAATCTCAGAAAGTGATGCTTTGTCCGGCCAGGCATAGTCCCTCATGTCTCACATGTGTTAAACTTCGGCCGACCAGAGCTGACGAAGCCCGGCTTCCATCTCAAACTCTCCACTACAGGCAGAAGCGCAACTCCGGAAGGCAAACCATTCCCACAGAGACGACAAAGGACTCGTCCTGAAAGCACCCAGTTTGCCTAGAGACAAGTATGTAGCGCCAGCCAGGTGATTCCAGAGGTGAGCTACCCGTCGCCGGCTCTCAAGGTGAGGTCAAGGCCCAACGATTGCCAGGAGCCCCTGGCCTAGGTGCCACGTAACACCACTGAACCTCGACGCCCCGCTTACAGAGCCTGGCCTCATCTCCAAACCCTGTAATCGGAGAGACTAATATCCCTCCATTTAATTGGCATGCTTCAAGTCCTCCCTGCTGCAACTTAAGCCATATCTTGCTTGCCTTGGGAACCCCCCACCGATCCTCCGCCGCCATGGCACCCGCTACCCGCGCGGCTTCGAGGCCCTCCTGACACGTGGGACTCGAGGACTCACCAAGTTTACAAATGGACTGAGCCGTTTGGCTGTCGGGCTGAAGGAGGGACGGAGAGGGAAGAGGAACTTCGGAGGTAGAGAGACGGCTGGTGGGATGCATACGTCTGAAGACGTTGTATGCCTCGTCCGAGCGTCAGTTATGCAAACACGGGCAGAGGAAAGGGAGTGTGCATCTGCTCCTTGTGGCTCCCAAACACATGCCAAAGCTACAAAAAAATCATCCTCCCAAACGACACCGCGAAAACTCCACCTGCCGAAAAGCAGTTACATGCTGCCCTTGTAGCTATGCAAGCTGTAACCGCCTCGTGACTCGTGCATGTTGCAAGACAGCACGGTCCTGAGCCTTGGTGTATGCCGCTTCCTGGAACACTGAGCGAAGTTGCGATTGATCTCTGGGTGTCTGCTATGTGAATCCGACTAAGAAGGCTACGCAGAACTTATGACACGGTTCTTGCTGCGCTACTTTCGTTGAAACTTCAATCCTGATGCGCCCTTCTCATCTGGTTCTGCATTCATCAGCCAACCCCCCTTTCTCATCTCTATTGTGTTTATGCTTGTCCCATTCCAAGAGTACCCGAAGCTTTTGTGTCGTATGTATTTATCTAGGCCGGGGATTAGATGCTCGAGCCAAGCATGAGCCGGTGCCTGTGTACATGTACCTGCGCATGTATATGTGCAAATATGCATATATATATATATATATATATATATGTATATGTATATATATATATATGTATATATATATATGTGTACATATAAGTATATATATAAGTATATATGTATGTATGTCTGTATGTATGCACAAACAATTATACAGGTATATGCGTGTATATATATATATATACATGTATATGTATGTAAAAAATCTAATACTATTACATTGATCAATGGGATTCTTTATCTCTCTGTGTACCTGATGACATATTCAAACTCATTTCTCCCCTTTTGTCCGTAAATGTATGTTCATTTATATATACCCAGGCATATGTCTGTACATCATATATGTATACAGTATATATGCATAAATATGTATATATATATATATATATATATACATAAATATGTGTGTGTATTCATATATGTATTTACTTATGTATACGTACAGTGGACGTGCACACGTTTATATGTTTATGCATGTATGCACATACAAATAGAGAGAGATAGAGAGGTAGCGAAAACAGAAAGAGCAGGATGGATGAATGGACTAATGGATGAGCGTGTGCATGTGCGCATATTTCATCATGCATGAATGCAAGTGCAAAGACCGGCAACCATGTGTGTACGTGCGTGTGTGCGCGTGTGTCTTCATTCACGTGCAAAAAATGTATACGCATGTACATATATGCATACAGGTAACAAAAACTGGATTCATAGTTATATACAGGCATGTGTATGTACATGTGTGTGTGTATATATATATATATATACATATACATATACATATATATATATATATATATATATATATGTATGTGTGTGTGTGTGTGTCTGCATGTGTGCTTGTACACATATGCGTAAAGGCGTATATATTGCACATACAAATAAAATAATTACATATATTACTCACAACTATGCCTGTATTTTTCTGCTAGTTCCTACATGTAGACTTAGCCTACAGGTCCAAACAGGGTCCAAATACATACAGATGCACAGGCTCGCACACACTGGCAGGAACGCTGGTTCATGTATACACCTCGTGCACGTATGTGCGCACACACACATACATATACACAAATATATACATATATATATATATACATATGTATATATATATATATATGTGTATACATATGCGTGTGTGTGCAATATGTATATGTCTGTCTGTCTGTCCGTCCGTGTGTGGGTGTGTGTTCACGTCTTTCTCCTCTTGCTCGTTCGTGTCTAATTTGAGACCGCGATATGACACGGAATGCGGTGTCAAGAGATGCATACCCGCTGTTGCGCATGCACAGTCCTGAATGTCGCGGGAATACCGACGTTACACTGTTGCTAGGTTAGAACTGAAGCCTGTTCGAAAAGATGCACGTGTCAGACATGTGTCGGACCTGTGTGTATGCACACATAACATACTTACATACTTCAGCACCTTTTTTTAAGTTCCTCCGTCATCTCCCCGCCCTTCCCACCTTGAGCTGCTGCTGCACCGTAGGATCCTGCCTTAGGTCAGGCTATCATACAGCAAGTGCTGCAGCAGCTCCGGCACAAGATGGGCTGAGTGGCAACGCAGCTTCCGCCGCCTGCTGTGCGAAGCCGCCGCCTGTCAGCCAAAGCGATCCACAGAAGCACATCAAAGGTTCCAGTTGTCTTTGCGCATCGTGCCTGTTCCTGAATACGCCAACGGCCTTGAATAAATGCAGCACCTACAGCTTGTCGTCCCAGGCACTTGCAGAAAGCAGAGGCAAAGATGGCCACACATCTCATGCAAGCAACAAACGGCTTGTACGGCCGCACCACACGAGTCACGGAACAAGTTCGGCAAAACAGTCTTCCCCATGACTCCATGACCCAGCTTGATCGAAATAGAACGTACACATATGTGCCGTGGCGCAACGCGTACCTACCTTATAGAAACACCTTTTGCTGACCTCACCGCGAACCAACAGTAACCCAAGCCATGTGCCTCCTCCTCCATAGGCGCTTGAGGGTGCAGCGCCACCTCCCAAAAGACCGTCTTTTTAGCATCGGGGTTTTGGGGTAAAGGGACCGAACACGGGGATAATATCATCATGGTCTTCCGTTTTAAGAACTTTCCACCAGAACGCGACTCTGCAGCATCTTGGATCATGCTCTGCACATCTCTGCGCAACTTCTGTGAGTGGATTTGAAGGCCCATGCTGAGGTAGCTTCCCCGACTCTTTGCAAGATGGGCATGGCAAACTTTCAATATCTCCGTCCGCCATGTCAATATTCCGTTTGCTTGAATGCGCACGACAGCATGTGCTGCGATAAACCTGTAACTGACGATGGATGCCAGCAGTATCGTGAAGTTGTGCATCCCCCACCTCCACCGAAGCCAGTTGGAGCCGAGGAGGATTGCGCTCCTTGCTGTCTCAAAAGACAAATATTGGCAGCTCTGGCTAGACGCTAGACTTTCTGGTTGCATGCCACGGCTGGATCATCTTCCACGTGGCTGCTTCTACTTATCATGGAAGCCTTGGCAGCTACTGCTCCTTTTTCCGGCCACTCGGCCCCCCGAGAGTCGAACCAATTTTGTACTGCAGGATACGGAAACTACGTTTGGATTCTAGACATGAGAACAGCACAAACCCCTTTTTCTGAGGCTAGGTTGTTCATAGATTTGTAGATCCTGGCTGATGCACTTCTCAACACAAGCTATGATCTCGCCAAGCCGCCCCCAGAAAGGTCCACCTTCGCCCCTGGCTCAAAATGGTCAAATCAGGGACATGACCAGGAGTGATGCAGAGGCACAGTAGGACAGGGACATGATTGTTCCGGGAAAACTGCATAGCAACATGCAGACTAAGTGACTAAACTGGATGTGCAGCTGCAGGAAGATTGACTTGCTGCAAGTGTGTCTATGACTGAGCCATTTCATATTCGCCATAGCAACCCTTTAGCTTCGCCTTCAGAAATCGTCACGCATGTTCTGAAGGCATGACGTTGAAGCACACGCCCTCACATCCACACCTTCCACCCGCCCCCGACCCACTGCCTGACATGGTGGCCGCAGCAGCCCAGGCCTAGTCAAAATTACAAGGCTTCTCCGAGCCAGAAAGCTGCGGAGCACAGTGCTCGAAGGCCGAAGGCTGGAGCAAGCTCTCGCAAGCAACGGCCTCGGCAATGGCCACGAAGCTCGGTTGAACACTTGATATACTATACGACGTATGCTGTGCTAGACTGTACTGCAGCATTCTATGCTACTTTTCCATACAAGGCCATACTACACTCTATACTCTCGATTTTTCACATGCAGAAGACACTATAGACTGTGGACTAGAGGCCATAGAGTATAGACGACTGTAGACTATATATACTATCCAAGGCTATACTATACCATACAAACCTATACTGAGCTATACGAGGCTAATCGAATTATAGCTGACTAACTATTCTATAATCTTCCAGTGTTAGGGCAACTGACGCAAGCCAAACTCCGCAAAGCGATCTTTTCGCTGCCGATGCGCACAAGCCGGAAAAACAGCTCCACCGAGCCGAGATCAGAGCAGTACTGCTGATGGACAAAATCCTGCATGACCCTAAGGACTCTAAACTATGGGAACTATGGTATATTCCTTTTGAAGGGAGATGCAGGATTTATATCAGTTACATCAACAGTACCACGGAGGCATGTTCGTCTCACGTAGACCGATCGAAGAGCGACAGCAAGAGCTACTTAAGGGTGTGATACAGGTTCCCACGGCTGTTACAGTAGGCTACTGTCAGAGCTGCTATAAGGGTTGCGATTAGCAGGGTTCCCCAGCTTGGGGATGCTATATACGTGCTCACGGTAGTTCCGAAGCTTTATCAGGCTAATGTGGAGCTACATATAGCTGAGGCCGAAGAGTCTCTTGCGAAGCTGCTCGACAATGGGCATCTGCACAGCCATGACCTTGGAGCAGGGCCAGTGCAGAGCCATTCTGTATCATGTGGATGGGTCGTGGACATGGGGAGAACGATACAGATGGTCGCCCCAAGGCGAAGACAGCAACGCGCTCCCGCTGCAACCGCCAGCTCGTAATGCATATTTCCAGCCGACAGATAAGAGCCCCCTCGCTATACCAGTTCCGGTTGGCACAACTCCTGAGCCCAGGCGGCAGGGACTTGGCGCGCCGCCGCCGGAGCGAAGCCCCGGTAGAAGCCCCGGGGTCCCTCCTGGCCACGTGCATCCGGAGTTGCGGAAAGCTCTGTGATGCAGGAAAGAGCCTTTCGGGCCTCGGAAGGACCTTTATGTCCGTCAACTTGAAGCAGCTTGTGCACAAGCGTTCTTCTTCACAGAAAGCTGGATTTGCGATGCCGCTGATTTTGGTGGTCACGCAGTCTCCTTCTCCGCTTGCATTTCTGCGTGTGACACGAGATGACTTCTGAGCTCCAAATGGGCATTCCCGTCCTCACGGAGTATGTAGGCGGCACATTGCAGAGGGCTTTGGAACACTCCTGCCCCGCACCTCCAGAGAAGTGACGATTAACGGCATGTGTTGATGGCTCCTACACACTGCGTGTGAAGTTTTAGTGGCCGAATGCTGCTGCGGAAACACATCCTAAGCACAATACAGGCAAAGATTTGATCGCAGGAAGAACCCGCAAAACAATATACTAATACATCGTTTTACTACACATACGAGTATGTATCATAAACCCAGTGTCGCCACAGCTCGTAAATCTGTGAGCTCCGAGTGGCTGTACACGAGTTTTCACAACATCCGCGGGCATGCAGGCAATCTGGGCGACGAAGCCTCCAGCTTCAAGCTCTGCAGTGCGCTTCAGTGGGCACTGAGGGTTTCGAGGCTACCGTCCGGTTGGTGAGTTGCTGGCGGGGCTTCTGACGTGGCATCAACTTGCTGCGAGGTGTCTCAGCCCTGCAACACGGAGAACATTCCACCATGGTAGATGCATGCGCACACTGCAAACCGCCAACTTGTTACGGTGCAAGTAGATGTGCTTGAAGATGCGCGCGTATGAAGCATTTGGATCACCTTCGGGAGGGGGTTGCGTGGACTGAATCACAAGTTGCATGGTGTACCAAGCTGAGCGACTTTAGCCCCGCTGGCAAAGTGTGGATGTCACAAGGTTGAATCGCTCTTCTACCACGCCTGAAAGGCAGGAGCTGCACAGGTGCAGTCTTGGACCATCCACCCAGCCCGCGCGAACGGCCACCTGCTTGCACCTGGTCTCTGGCTTTACAAAGCACGTCAGGCTACGTTGCCGAGTGGGTAGATGACTGCCGTCGCTTATTGTTTTGAAGCCGCAGCAGCATACTCCAACGGTGTCACGGCTATGTTCACGGAAACTCCAAACCCCCAGGTGCCATCTCAGAACCACCATCATCCGCAACATCAACATCACCGTTGTTACGCTTCGCGGCTTCGACAGGAGAATCTCTCAGTTTGGGCTTGTCATCCTTGCATAGGAGACGTGCGTTTCGTTTGTGATTTTATGCCCGATGAGGTTATGGGACTGCCCTTAGTTTCCTCAGGAGGGGCACTCGGAACAATAACAACACAAACACTCCTACTGCTACAGGTAGTACTCACCACTACACTTACCACTCGCGGCTACTACGGAGCTAACGCATCGATACCATGCATGAGAACCGCACTGTCACTACGAACTCCCAGAACTCCGAAGATCCAAGCAAGCCTAGCCACTGGTCATAGGTGGTCAGCTGCGCACTCGACAGCAGTGAGGCACGAGCCACATTGGCTGAGACGCCGCGCCAGAGACCGCCGAGACCTTCCCAGCCGGGGCATCTAGTGAATCTAGATCTTCTTAAGCTGCATACGCATCTATGTCTATGTGCGCTACAAGCAGAGAGAGACAGAGAGACACAAAGTCTTGATCGTGCATGTAGTTACTCCATTGAGTCTGTCTCCGGCCTTTCTGCTGGTTTCTTTTCGACACTCACACTCGAACAAGCCTGGCAAGGTCTGCAGGTTTTAGATTTTTTCTGTTCTGCTAATGATTCCACCAGTACCTGTTTACCATCCATACTCCAATCTGTCTCGTGCTCCTGGCAATCCCACCTGCGAATACATTCTAGTCTCCGTTGCTGATGCTGTGGTTGTTGCCACAGCCCTGTCCATCTCTTCACTCTTCTTGTTGCATTCCTTCGCATCTCCGTTATTGCTGTGCTTGGGTAGTTCTCCGTCTTCGTGCAGGTCGCTAGACAATGCGCTTCCGATGGCAATTCTGGAAGGACCCGGGCCGCCCGATACTTGATGATGGCAACTATCCATCCGTCCATCCGTAGGTACAGCTCCCGCGCTCGTCGCAAGGTTCGAATCCAACCTGCCGTTCATCTGCTAGTCTGTGCTGCGCAGCTGCCTGTTGTCTGTGACTAAATGCACAGATATGTAAGTTTTACCCCAGGCTTCATCATATGTCCTTACTTACGTACATTGGCAACGAAGATATGAGTGTACCAAGATGAAACGGACGAAGTTTAAGATGGCTTGATCACCGGGCCTTCTTGCTGGAAAATGTCTACCTCGGCTAACGGCAAGCATGCGCTCATCATGTCTTCTCTCAGCCTGCACTGAGCTAGCTTCGAGAAAAGAATGAACACGATCCCCTGACATTTAATCTGACCGTCACATGAAGGAAGAGCTGCGAATGCGCGCACTGTATGAGCATGCCGGGGACCATGCCCTGCATGAAGTCCCGTGGTGTAAACCTTGGATAGGGAGAAGACGACATTCATCTGGAGGTTTCGGGCATTCAGGACGGACAGATAACCTTTCGATGAAGTTTTTGAGATAGACATTCCTTGTACATTGTACATCTTGCGGGCCGCTGAACACTGCATGTTGCTGGGTGCATGTAATGCTCCCGCCCTTGGTGACAGCACAGGGTGGACTGTTGCTACTGATGTAATGATGCCTACTCCTAAGCCGGTAGCAAGAACGCCGATGGTTCGTTACGACTGCTTTGGGTAGACCGGCTGTGATTTGTAGCATTGTTCCCAGCATTATAAGACTTCGCTTGGTAGCATTGGCTACAGCAGGCGCGAAACAGCCCCAATGCCACGCAAAGACAGAAGCCAGCTAGAATCATCATTCCTACCGCAGCGGCTATTGCACAGTCATCCTTGGGTCGTGATTTGTACTGGGCCTACATATAATATGTATATGTATGTGTATGTGTGTATGTGTGCATATACATATATATATATAGATATAGATATAGATAGATAGACGAGATGCACACATGCACATACCATATATGAGATAGCGAGTTCATGCTTTATTATATATATATATATACACACATATATATACACATACAGACAGTCATACTAATCTAAATAAACGAGCCCAGCAGCCCCATTTCTCAGCAGTCCAGCTTCACCCTTTGGAAGGATAGCGTGATGTGCACTGTTGAAGGCCGGGTTTGCCAAGATCTGTGCTAGATTGCGGGAGTCGACTATCTTTCTCCGAGTCAAGACGAGTGCGAGATAACATTCACAAGTGCATGAGCACCCGACATGCAACTGACCCCTGAACTCCGAGGCGGCGGAGGCCCTTGTCGATCCCTTTCTTGAAGCACGCCTCTACAGCTATCTCCACACCAGAGCATCGCATCGGTAGGCATTAGAAAAGCCATGAAGCTTACGCAAACGTGTCATCGCCCAGTACGAGCTGTCCCTCAAGTGCGACCACTGCAGGCGGTCCTGGAGGCGCACGCGGACCAGATCGATAGGATTCGCAAGAGCCGCCCCAAAGCTGCCGGTTGTGGCACCTCGGCGCTTCTGGTTGAGTTCCCTGTCTTCAGGCCTGCGGTTTCTGCATCTTGCCTATGGTATGTCTGCACATGCATGGCAAAAGACATACATATGAGTCAGGACACCAGAGCAAATTTTGACGGCAAGAGTGTCGTTGCCAAGACCAGCTCTTTGATAGAGGCGCCTTGCAAGCGTTTTTGATGGCAACAAGGTGACGTCCATCATGTGCTCTAGCAGCAGTGTTGCATGGACTGCGACTAGTCTGGCTGCATGGGTTCGAGGTCCGAGAGGCTTGATGCTAGGGTAGAGGCCCAACCGCAGACCAGTTTGCGTGAAGGCCCTCCTTGGCTATGGCCAGAAGTTTCAGAAAGCATGGGCCTGCCAGCGCACTGGGCTGCAGCAGTGTTGCTTTTTCACGAAGGCAATCGAAAACTCACGACGTAATAGCCATGACGTGGGCGGGTGCGAAGATGATCGTCGGAGCGCTCCATGGCATAATGGCACGGTACTTACACCGTATTACTACTGTATCTCCAAGCTTAATATTCACACTGGCACTTTCTTCGTTCATACCAACATCTCCTGTCATCTTTTGAACTAGTGTACGTATTCTCTGGCAGTACTACTACTGCTACTACTACTACGACGACTACTACTACTACTACTACTCCTGCTACTACTACTACTACTACTACTACTACTACTACTACTACTACTACTACTACTACTACTACTACTACTACTACTAATACGACTACGACTACGACTACGACAGCGACTACTACCTACTCTACTTCTGCTACTATCGGAGAAGTAGGAGGAGCAGCAGCAGCAACAAGCGTTGGAACCTTGTGCGCAAGCTACAAGTTGGTGCGCCTGTTTGATTACTTCTGCGTATCAGAAACTCATTTGGTGTTCGTACATCAGCGTTTGTAAGTCAAGTTGTGGTTACAAGTGTATGATTTGACGCCGTTTCGGTCCCGGATTCATCCATGTGGCCACGAGCCCGGGCAGCCAAAGACCAAGCCTTGGAAGAGCGTTTGTTATTCGGTTGACCGCTGCGGGCTTAGGCGATTCGGAAACTCAAACGAGATTGTGCACAAGCGAAAATTCAAGCGCAGCCTCGGGACACACCTTCTTCACGGAAGATGCGTACTGCAGATTGACGAAATCCTCGATAAAGGGTACCGCCACTGTCTACCTCAGGACGCGCAACAGGTGCGGCCCTGCATTGCCACAGCGAAGAAAATAACTTACTGAGGTGGGCCTTCATAGTTGACATTCACAAAAAAGTAGCAGCAAGTAAAACATCATACCTATAAGTAACGATAACCATAAGAAGAATAACAACAATGACGGGCAAAGAGTCCCGTGAGTAAAAAGCCGTAGTGCCGTGCCGCCAAAGCGACCTGCAGTCTCACCGTGATCATCGCCAAAGGGTTGAAGATGGTGTCCTGCTCTGTGCGCGAACATGTGTACATGTGCGCGTGTATATGTACATGACTATGTGACAATGCATGCATGCATGGATGTGCGTGTGTATCCGTGTACGAACTGGCGATCGTGTCGCTTTCTGTTGATCTGAAGTTACAACCCTTTCACAACTTAATTCATTTTCTAATCTTATTTGTTTACCAGTGCACGAATCTTGTTGTCTGGTTGTTCATGACTTTTTCCTTATGCCTTACATGTAGATGTGCAAGCACCTGACGATCAACGTCTTGTATGCATCGACCTGTACTATTGCAGCAACCACCTAGCTATATGGCATGCTTGATATACATGGCCGGCTCCGTCACAGCTGCCCCCAGCCCTGCAGCCCCGACGTCAGCCAAGAAAGCCATGGTCAGCTTGGGAGCAAGCTAACTTCTTCGAAGTTTGAGATACTAAGCTGAGCGCGTACTTGTAGCGGCGAAGCTGTCCATGAAGGAGGCGCAGTGTTTGCTTGGCTAGACTTTAGCAGTGGTGCAGGCGTGCATTTTACCAAGTGCAGATGATCACCTGCTCCTCCGAAATTCACATATCCCGTCTTGCTCGACTTGTCATATGCCTGCATTCGAAGGGCCAAATGTCAGCAGGCAACCAGAGAAGGGCGACACAAAAAGACAGATGGGGAGTCTACAGGTAGCTTCTGACCTTGTTTCGGAGCATACCCTATCCTGTAGAACAGTGCGACCGCCGCCAGGCTTTTGCTGCATCTGTGCCCTCTGTCCTCCGCATGGAACCCGACAAATTCACAAAGATTGAAACAAATTCAGGTCCTCTGAGTTATGAAATTCCAAGCAGATATTCCGGAAAGGATGTTGCCGGCCACGAGGTGCTGCGCCTGGCAACCGCCTGGGCCTGCGTCAGTTCCACTCCTCGATAAAGAGGTCAATTGCACGGTCGACACCGACACTCTCAATGTCGTCACGAAGCTTCTCCAACGTTTGCTCCAGTTCGCCATCGATCTCCTCGAGGGGATCAGCGGCGGAACTCCCTCTCGTGGCCACCGGCTGCGAGAGTCCGCGGAGAACTTCAATCGCTCGTGCGAAACCCGCAGCAGCAACAAAGATGTTTACCTCACTGTTTCAATCGGATCCGAAAGCTCCTCTACGCATGAAATCTTGGCCGGAACGCATGGAAGCCTGGAGGCCCAATCACTTCCTAGATCGCCCATCCCAGCAAACCGGAGAACTGCAGCCGTAGCTGACATCAATCCAAACCGTGACAGGCTTGGAGCGGTTGCAATCTACTCCGAAAAAACTGCATTATTCGTATCATTTATCGTTACTATTCTTGTAGGAGTAGTAGTCGTCGTCGTACACTGTCATCTTGTGACATTAGTGTTACTATTCTATCTTCCGAAAAAGTAATTTTTTCCGTCATCAGAAGCATTTCAATGCCGGCTCTCACTATGAGATATCCGAGTTGCGCTCAAGAGCTGCAAGAGAATCAGCTTGGCTCTGGGTAGTCTCTCGAACTGCTGGAGCAACTCCGCCGAACCCTTGACCTCCGGGAAGGCAGTACTACCTGGCGCGGGCTCGACATGTCTCTCCGGTGTTCGAGGTTCGAGGGCCTGGCATCTTCGGCTAACTTATTCTTTCGATCCCAGATGCTGCCAGATGCTTCCAGCGGTGAGGCACGGCACCTAAGAGTGACTGGATCACAATCCTGGCTGATCCTAAACTGAGCTTCTGCATACAGCAGATGAAGAGTGCACCCTATGAGTTGTAAATGGTGCGGTTGGGAGTGCCGAAATTCTTGCAAACAGGCGGCTCCGGTGCTGGTGGGATGGGGCTAGCGAAGATCTCCTGGAAATCAACTCGCAACTGCTCGTGAGCAGCAGCAGCTTCAGCACCAGCAACAGTAGCAGACGCGGCTGTAGTGGTTGGAGTAGTGGTGGCAGCGATAGTTGTAGTAATAGCAGCGGCAGCAGTAGCAGAGTAGCAGCAGTAGAAGTAGCTAAGTAGCAGCAACAGTGGCAGCAGCTGCGGCAGTACGAAGGATGCTATTATGACATGAGGAACAACGGTACCAGTAGTTTGAGCCACGGTAGTCGTCGCTACTAACTGGGAGGAGGCATAACTTCAAGTACACATGTTCCGAAAGCCCACTCCTTCCAGAAATGAATCTCCATGTCCTGGGGAGTCTGGCACGTGGATGCCTCCGCTCCTGTGTACGCGGGCAGACAGGCAGGCAGGCAGGCAGGTATCACATATATTTATACATATATATGCATGCATGCATGCAGGGAGGGAGAGATGTGGGTATTAATCTGCTCATGTGTATTAGTGTGCGCGGTGTGTACATGCACATGTATATGTAAAGCTATGTGTGCATGTGTACGTGTATGTGTATGTGTATGTTTATGTGGGTCTGTCTGGTCTGTCTGTGTGGGTCTGGTCTGGAATGGTGTGCCTGTCTGTCTGTCTATATGTGTGTCTGCGTGTCTGTGTCTGTGTCTGCGTGTGTGTGTGTGCGTAAGTAAGTGTAAGTGTGTGTGTGTGTGTGAATGCAAGTGTAACTGTAAGTGTAAGTGCAAGTGTAAGTGCAAGTATAAGTACAAGTGCAAGTGCACGTGTAAGTGCAAGTGTAAGTGCGCGTGCGTGCACGCATTCTGTTCGCACATCTATCTATCTATCTATCTATCTATTATCGACCTGTCTGTTTATACAGTCGCCCAGCCCGATTCTTCGGCCTCGAAGTACCCGCAACACCAGCTCGTGGAGCTCAGGCCCTTCGGCGGCCAGCGAGGAGCTCCTCAGCCGGAGTTGTGGTGGTAGTACCCAGAGGCCGCATAGTAGTTCCTTTTTGGGATTACCTTATAGGATTCTATATATGAACCCCAAAAAGGAACTACTTTGGGGCCTCTGGGTAGCAGTAGTAGTCGTCGTTGCAGCAGTAGTAGTAGCAGCAGTAAGTAGCAATAGCCGATAACAGCCACAGCAGCCGTGATCTTGACCATACTTCAAGGTTGGCCTACTGGGCATGCTTGGCGAATGTTCGAACTGCTCCGTGTGTCGCTGAGCACATACCCAGGGCGCAAAACACAGGCCTGAAGAGGCAGCGCAACTGCAGAAAGCACTAGCATATTGCGATGATACAACAGTATATAGTAGACCGATGCCGATGTAATGTATACATTTTCGTACCTCATCATACCTTCGTTATGCTTGCATGTACGTGCGCCGGGGCCAAAAAAGGCCAAAAAGTGGCCCATGAATCTGGCTTCCCGGGCCCACGTGGGTCGTTTCGTGAGCGCGAAGAAGCGCTTTGCTGCACTCGCGCCCGTGCGCCCATGCGGCCACGCTACACAGTCTCTGACTGCTTCAACCACGCAGCACTGCCAAAGTGCTCGGGTATCGCAAATAAATGCAGCTTGGCGTCGCAAGCACCAAGTCCATGAAGGCTTCATCGTCGGCCCAGGAATGTCCATCGAGTGCTTTTGTCGACAGTTTACGTATCAGTCCTGCGACATACCAGCCCCCACGGCTCCGCTGAAGCGCAATGAAACTACGGTTACAATCTGCTCGAAGAATTTTAGGTGCACCGATTGATCAATACTCCCGGCCCCCACCCGTTAGAGCGCGTGCGCCTGTCATCTCCGCACCCAACGCCTCAAACTTTGGGTGTTGGGTCCAGAATCGCCACGTGGGCTCGACCACAACTTGCAGATTGGAGGCGCCCCTTCGCAATGCGACCCGCTACTTGATTTAGGCAATGCATCAGACATCTCAGCAGTGGGCCATGCAATCTGTCAAAGCATTGAAACCCAAAATCCTGCACCCTGTCACACAACTCAACAGCCAGGAAATGCCGCAGACGGCGGCCTCAACCACTCGCGATCAGCAAGTTCCACTCCGCCGTAGATGAGACGGAGCCGCCAGTCGTCGGATTTGCTGCCCTCCTCCCAGTTGCCCTGATCAATCCACGTCCTCAGTCTGCTGCATGTTTCAGACAACAGTCGGCTCTCCTGATACTAGGAACAGAAGGTAAATAAAGTCTGAAGAATCTCAAGTCGAAAGCTCAACTGTGGAAAGTAGCAATAGGCTATTATGCAACCAAGTCGCTCCACCAAGTCCTTGAATCCACGTACCTTCGTGGTTTGCACCGAGTTCCCTATACACTTGCAACATTGGGCCACGCATGGCCACACACGCGCGAGCAAAATGGACCGTTACCCTGTTGGGGCCTGTTGCAGGTGGGTGATGCCTGCCCCTTACCGGCAATACACCTCGCGGAAAAAACAAGAGATAGCTCCGAAGTCCCACGAAGTGTGCTGTGACCGCACTGCCAAGCAGCAGCAGCATGCGACCGAAACTGCTATGTGTGTCGCTATTTTCTCGAAGTCTGCCGGAAAAGGGAGCTCCTGGGAATGTATCCAAGCCACATGTAGACAGCAAGATGTAGGAGCAGGATCCAGCTGGCCTCGAAAGTGTTCGGCAAGGCTGACCTCATCAAAGGAAACACGGATTCGAACTCAGAGCCGTGTGCCTTCAGGGCTGGGTTCATGCCCGGCACTATCCCTACCGACTCGACACTGTGCCAGCAACTCTTTCGACACCGCGACATCCTGCGATTGCGGCCGAGTGGCGAGGTTGGTCAAGCGGACCGGCACGTCAGCAGGTAGCTGGAAGGCGGGAGTCCGTGCAAATGACAATGCACAGGACCAGTCCTGTACGGAGAAACTGGGCTGCATCTTCCGCACAAACATGGCGGGCTGAGCAGCAGCTGAGTAATTCACAGCGCTATGTCCCAGACCAACCCCGAGGAAGACGAACGGTCTCCTACACCCACCAACAGCCCAACCTTCACCACCGTACAGGCAAGTCCTTGAGGCGATCGGGTTGTCGGAGTCTTTCCTGCAGCCTCTGGCAAAATAGCTGCTTCTGGCCGTCGGGTATTGCGCCGGTCAGGCTGAAGATGTAAAGGCTCCCGTAAAGGATATAGTTGGGATCCATGTCGTCAATACCCATCTCCTTGCACACAGAGTACCACTCTTCGATGAAGTTGATGTGGTCTTGGTGAGCCATGTTGTTAGCTTCCACGCCGGGCACCCGCATAGCTTCCTCGTTGCGAATTTCTCGGGCACCGGCTGGTGGTGAAATCTCACGGCAGGATCTGGCCAAGATGGTCAAAAGCCTCCGCACACCAATGCCCAACTTGCGCCTGTCTGATCCCAGCCGGGTCGCATCTGCGCAAAGTGCTTTAACAAATCTAGTCATGGTTTCCTTGCGAATCTTGCCCCAGCTTTTGATCTCTGCCTCTGCAACGCGTCTCGGTGGACTCGGTGGTAATCCCTGAAGATACTCGGTCAAGACAGATCTGATGCCAAGTAGTTGGTCAGTCGCTAGAACCTGCAACTGCAACTCTATGTCACAAAGCCACCACTTGCCGTCGGGTAGCACGAGCTGCCCTCGTTTCACGACCGATGCTGCTGCCTTCAAATGTTCCCGAGTAGCTGCATAGTTTGACATTGACATCTCAGCACTTATTGCGTCCACAAGGTGCTGCCACAACAAGACGGCATTGCGGAAGCAGCCAAGCACTGAGTCAGTCATGATTGCATCAGTCGTCGAGGAGCTCGTCGCACCACCAACATACAAGTGAATCACTCGCGGCGGAGGATCGCCTCCGCGCTCGGGGTCCAGTTCGCCCAAGGAGATGTACTTGATCTCGTCTTTCAAACTGGACATAAGTGTTTCGAAGGTGTCCGGCCGAGCACGCAGGAAACTCGCCAAAGCGAATCCAAGAAAGGGATAGTCCATGATGGGATGGCGTTGGGGACAAGCGTAGAACCTGGCAGGCTCCATGCGCGTACCGTCTTAGCCAATGTTTGCTGCGTGCCTGTGACCTGTCTTCCATCACTCAGTGAAGCAACTATCGGAAAAAGCAGCAGCCAGCCTCTGAACGGTATCGTCATCGCTCCACACAGGCGAATCTGGATGCACTCGGGTGCCTTTCAGTGGGCTTTGCTCCCACCCTGTTCGACAGCTGGAGAAAATGAAGCAGAGATCGAGGCAGAACCCGCTCTTCTGCTGTCTGCACACCTGAGGCACCGCATTGACGAGGCCCAGAGACTACTTACTCCTAACGTGCATGAATAGACATGGTAAGCTGAAGAGACAGGCGCCTCTGCCTTAACTTCACCCTCCAGCAGAACACAGTTGTTCCATTTCAGACCGCACGACGGGACTATCCAGGTAAAGCCACCTGGGCCACAGTGGCTGTGTCCCATGTAAACCACTAGCAGCTTGGAGTCACGACCCAGCTTCTGCACGGCACTCTTTACTTCCGCCTTGATCTGCTCAAAGGTAGCGTGCTCAGTTACGCAATGAACTTCCTGGCAAAGCCCTGATTCAATCAAAGCTCGATGCACTTCCGTCGCTTCTTCCTCAACGTGCTCCAAACTGGAAAATCCGCCCGCTTTGTCATACTGCCAAATGGCGATGAGAAGGCAAACCCAGTGCGGCGAGTTCGCATCTGTCTGTTTCTCCATACCGAGCGGCTTCGAAATGCTTGGGATGCTGTGACCATCATTTCATATTAAAGGGTTACATGTATATCTGTCACTGGAGTGCAAACATTATAGCTAGACATAGATGCATATGTATACATATACATATACATACACATATACATATACATATACATACACATACACATATACATACATATAACATATATGTTTATATAAAGATATAGATATGCCCACATATGTACGTGTTTGTATTCAGTTGTTTACCTATTTAGTTACATGTTCATGTACATAGCGACACAAACACACGTGCACGCACTTCTGCAAAGGTCTCCTCTTGAGCACAAAGGTTGCTCTTGACCCGCAGCCCTGAAGCCTCAGATCAGAGTCTCGGCAATGGAATACTCAACCTAAAGTGTATATAAGTATGTAGAATCGACCTTCAAGCAACCCACTCCACAACACCTGAAAAACTGAAGCAGTTACCCTAAGCCCGAAATCTAAACGGTAGCCGCCCCCTAGAAGCACGGCCTGCGGAACTGCCATCCTAAACCATCCTAAACCCTAGACGCGGACTAAAAGATGGAAATAATATCACATTGGCTCCATAACTTGCGAAAGTCCTGTTGAGATGCAGCAGGTAAGGTGCCGGACGTTTGCCACGAGCCGCCGCAGCAAGGGCCATCCTCAAGCATGCAGCAACAAGGCAAGGGGCGTCAACAATCGGATTGCTTTGCCCGTAGGGTTCAGTCTCTCCGCCATCTGCCTCAGGTCACACTGAGGCTCTTCCCTGTTCAATGCAAGCGCTTCCCTGTGCCCCCACACGACTTCAAGGCTCAATAATGGACTATGTCCGTGGCCGATTCCGAGCCCCAAGCCGTGCGCAACGATGTTCGAACATGAAGCTTCTCTTTTCCCCAGTCTTCTCCATTGACAGCTGAAGGAAACCGACGTTTTGCAAAATCAAGTCTTGGCGCCAGACTCTTCTCTTCCATGGGATCACCTTTCGCCTGGTGTCTGTGCACTGCCGACCGCGGGCCAGATGCAAGAAAGGGTGCTATAGGGGCCTAAATATTTCCCAATACAATTTTGCGGGTTCCTTGCTATAGTTGTAGTATTAAGGCCCCCTTTCTTAAAGTCTAGAGAAAGACAAGCAGGGGGTGAATGGAGCTCACGTGCCTCGCACATCCCTTCAACCCTCCATTCATAACGCAGCATTCCGACAGGTCCATCAGTTACATAACCCCACGCACACAGCTCCCTCCCCCACGGCTTTTTGCAAAACGCGTATTGCATGGTTCAAGTTGCAAGTGTCTCAGCCATCCTAGCTCTGGATATGTGATCACTTTGATCACAGCCTTGCAATCGGGGCGTCGTCCAATTGGTGACCGGCCCACGAAGGTGTGGAGAGGCGGCTTGGGTGCGCTGTCAACGGCATAGATCTATATAACTATATAACCATTCGAAAATATTTAACAGTATAACTTTATTTTATTGTGTAATATGAACTGAAATGGGATAGTAGCAGCTGAACATCAGGAATGGGGGTATTCCATTTCGACGTCAAGAGGAGCGGGCCTTGGAGGTTTTTATTCTGGCGAGCTTTGACTGACAAATTTAGCCTTGCTAGTACATAGACTAGGGTTTGGGCTTGGGGGTATGCTATACCATAATTCTTACAAGGAGCCTCCAACGTAGCATTGATTCAGAGGCTCTTGCTCCGTAAATGTCAGGCTCTGTATGGGATCGTTGGGGCTTCCAGGGCACTCCGAAAATCGCTTGCTCAGCTCTGCCCTGCACGACCCTTGCAAGTGCTTCACGTGCTCTGAAGTATCTGAAGTCTGTAGGGCTGTGACACCCACACTCGGAGACGTCAAACCAAGGTCTGAGGACGATTACTGACAGGAGACACCCGGCTCGACTCCCCAAGCCTGTAGGGTGTTAACGCTCACACTCGGCAATACCAGGCGAGGTCCGCACACGACTAGAGGTTCAAACAGATAGGGTTCTCACTTCACAATTTGGACATGCCGCGCGGCGGCAATGAGGAAAGATGCCACACGGTTTTAAGGGTTAGTCCGCAGCCAGGTGTATGATGCTAGCCCCTCCCCCTGCGATGGACAAATCCTAGCAGCGCCTTCAGCGATATGCACGCCCAAGCCGACACTAACGGCTCTGCCGTCCAAGGGGGCATCGGGAGGAAGGCAGGCAGGCTTTGGGATTCATTGAGGGGTTCATGTGAAACCGGTGGGAGCAGCTGGCCGTCTGCCTTTGCAAGCAACCTCCTCGTGATATGACTCCCCCGGGTGAAACTACACAGCCGCGATGAAACCCGGTCTCGAGCTGGAGGTGCAGAGATCAAGCTGCCAAGGTTTGCAACCAAAGCATCGGTCACGAAGGCTTCAGAGATCTAGCAAAGGCCCAAACGCCGAAAATTCGTCCGGACTAGAGATGCCTACTTTTTTTCGCCGGGCCTTTGGGCCCTCTGCTTCTATGCGAGATGATGTGTTTCTACTCATGTGTGGATGGCACTCCAGAGCTCCGACCGTGCTCGACGGCCCGCCGCACACTCATCCGGCCATTACGCGGATGGTAGCAGAAATGCACTCCTGACAGTGAGACCTTCGCTTTGAAGTCTGTTCCCGTTTACTGTGAGGCCTACATGGCCCTTCCCGGTGGCAGTTCATTGCGAGTTTTGTTGTAGTAGGTGCAGTCGCAGAATGTCGCAGACTTCGCGAACCTAGTTGTCCAGGCCCGTGGTTCGAAGGCACATGAAGCTGAATTGGAATCAATGAGGGCACTTGCTCTAAAGTGTATGCGGGCGGCCCGTGGGTAAGCCTAGAAGGTGTAGGTTTCGAAGGACTTTGTAAGCCCTCGCGGAGCCGCCCGGTACACGTTCACCGCTTAGCGTCTTGCCGGCTGCAGCGCCAAACCCAGAGCATTGCACATGGAAAACTCAAAGCCTTCCCAAACTTGTCACACTGCGTCTCTATAGGCAAGGCGAGGCCGTTGCAAGAAGCTCGAGTTCACTGAGGTCAGTGCACTTATGCGCACGCCGCGTAAGCTGATGCTGGGCTGGGCTTACTACATCCCAGTCAGTATCGCTCAGTACTAGTAGCAGGGAGAGCTGCAGGAAAGATAAGACTGGTCTTCGTTCCAGGCTCAACAGCTTCGCAGGGCGCCTTTCAGCGGCTTTTCTCCGCACCGAGGTAGGGCAAGCTGCCAGTTTGCAGTCTGCAAAGCCTCGCCCCGATGGGGACACGAAGCCCTGAACGCTGAGTTCTCAAGGAGCCCCACAACGAGGGGCTGAAAGATCTCCTGCTTTGTAATGATGAACTGGAAGTCTAGCAGTCCCCCGCCATGGGAACTCCACAGGATCTTGGTAGATCTCCATCAAGGAGAAAGAATCAAACATTCACTGGGGTCCGTGTCTGTTCACCTCCTCAATGTGATTCCCTGCCTTCTAGCAACGTCTGCGCATTTATATAAGGTGACAAGCCGAACCAACAAGTATTGGGCGGCATGACTTCTGGCACTACCACTAAGCTGAAACATCGAGCACGCTGTAAACTGATTGTGACTTATTAGGCCTGAGTCCCACAATGACCTGCGGTCTGTTGGCCCTGAACGCAGCTGGATGACTTCACCTGAGGAAGGTGCAGGGTGACTCGCCAGCAGTGAGACGTACCGGTGTTCCTTGCTCGGTGTATTATCGGGCCGATGCGCGAGCTGTCGCAGAGGGAATCCTAGCAGAAGATCCACCAACCCTCATCCTCGATTCGATAGCATGCATCCAAGAGTCGCTCGACTTGTTTCTAGCACAAGGGGTGTGAATACTCAGTACCACCACCCCCTTGAAATTACTATAGGTCCCTGCACAAGCATACAATAACATACCCCAGAAGCCGACATCTGAGAGGACCTTGATCTGGCAACTGTAATCTATGCGCATCGCCCGCCGAGCTTCAACTGCCGTCTCAGGGGTTTGCTTCAAAGACTGAATGTGGGTCCCTTCTCGGGGGCTACCGGTGACTTGTGACTATGGAGGGTCCTACTACATACGATCGACATTTTCTACAAAATCCGTTTCATCTAGCCAGACCAGACTGGGTAGTGTCGCAACTCAGGAACACTTACCGAGAAACTGCCAGAAGCTAACCAGCCACCACAACAGTCGCCTCTATTTCCAAGACTTACCTGACCCCACGGGATGCTCCAAAACTTTGTAAACAATAACAACAAGAAGTGCAATCATGCATTACCTTTCTCTTGCTTCTCCCCATCACTACCACCACCAGCATCAGTGTTTTCGTAGGCAGCAGTCGTGACCACAGCCACATTGCAGTACGATGCCGAAAAAACACATTTAACTAATCATGGTCACAACAACGTCTGGGTCACACAAAATTCCAAACCATATGCAACACATCAAACAGGTCCGATTAACTGTCATGAGAAGGAAGAGCTTACGATGGACATGTACATATGTATATTTGCATATACATACATATGTGTGCATGACTGCTTTTCGGAGTGCCAAGCTGCGACTTGATACGATGCAACTGCTACAATACCATCAAATGCGATCGTATAATCAAACATGATATCATGGGTCTTCAAGAGATCTAAGACGCTATGCGTTCAAACCCCCTCGGGGCAGTCTGCGTCGAAGCCAGGCTTAGCCAAGCTCATTGTCATCACTGAGGGCGACGTCGAGCTCCGACGGCTCGCAATACGTCTCACCCTGGCAAGAGCCAACTTATAACGACTGCTTCATGGATGCAGAATCAACACCTGTATATACTACACGCAGGCGCGAGCGTGTCCGCGCGTGCGTGTGTGTGTGTGTGCATACGTTTGTACACATGTACTGACGAAGGTATGTGGGAGGTCTGTATTGTATGTAAAATTGTCCTCTGCGGGCAGTTGTAAACATCCAGACCAGCGTTGACCCTCATAAACAAGAACTGCCTACATCATGAGTCGTCAGCCATACGTTGCACCTTGAAACTCACGCAGAACCGACATAGCATCTCTTTGTCATGAAGAGCTCCCTATTTGAGGCTACATGTCCAGCTTCACGAACTTACTGTGGACAATCTGTGTGTCATACTATGCACGGAGCCCACGCATCAAGCCTTTGGCACCACAGGTGCTTCCAATTCTCGGCCCATGATCTTGTCAAACCTTGGGGACGTGAAGGGTCTCGGGTCGGTCTTTAATCATATCATACTGCTGATGGACAAAATCCTGCATGACCTTAAGGACCCTAAACTATGGGAACGATGGAATATTCCTTATAATGGGTCATGCAGGATTTTGTCCATCAACAGTGTCATATCATCCTCAACATTAACTGAAGCTCAAGTACAGCACCCCCAACATCAGTGCAAGATCTTTGAGGTTGTGCATCGTCCGTGCCCTGAGAGGAAATCGGAAACAATCTTCTGCATCCCAGCTCTTGCACGAGTGAGGGTGAGCAACAATGTTGATGATGATGGTTCAAGACGGTGGCGATGATGAAGCAGAAGATGGTGGTGGTGAGATGTCACAGGCTGGTACGCAGCGTCGTGATGATCAGTTTTGAGCCATAGGTTTCATCAGCCATGGAGCAGGGTCGTGGAAGTGTGGCCTTGGGTGAAGAATTCCGAACTCCTCAGGGCACGATGACAAATTTGCCAGAGAAGTACAGTCTGCTCGTTTCCGGTCGCTCGCGGTCGCTCGCTCATGTATGGATGATGAGCGAAGAGGTTTTGCGGCCTAAACTAGAAAACCTCGCAACAAATTCATGCCAAGCCGAACTTGCTGAAAACTCTCTGCACGGACCCACATTGCCGCCTCCAAGGTCACTGAGCCTCTCCCCGAACACACCCGTCCTGATGTCTTCCCAACCATTGAGACCTCCGGGCTGGTCGAACAGACTGAAAAGACTGGACCCGAGTAACTGCGATGGCCATAGCCCTAACGATAAAGAAACCCTGGGCCTATAACCCCAAAGTAGTAGGGCTCATATAAGTCATATAAGGAACCCTACTGAAGGCCCAAGGTTTCTGAATCAGGTTCCTACATTAGGTTGCAATCTGGAGGCAATTCAAGTGCGGCTACTCCGCCGACGACGGGGGTCGTTGTGAGGAATAGCCGAAGACCAACAGAGCCTAGCTGAAGGATTCGACTCCAGTGCCCGTTCTGCAAAGTGCCTGCTCCCAGCCGCTTCTTCGGCTGCCGGTTGAGCATGCCTTGTATCACTGTCTTGCACTGCGCGTCCTGTCAGTTGCTTCGGTTGACACTACAAGGATCAACATCCCTTAATTGCGGCATATGCCTTAAACCATCTTGGGGATCCTACTTTTATTTTTAGACGACCCTTTTCCATCTGCATGAACGTCCAGAAAGCGGGCTTCCGCTGGGTGTGTCTCGCGACCAACTGCGCATGTACAAGCGGATAATGGGGCCCACTACTTCGTATGCCTGTCGAGCGCCTTTCAGCTGGCTATCTTTCGAAACTCCCAAACCGACCAACATACCTACAACCAAGACCTGCCGAATGATCGCACGTAGATACCACACCGAAACACAGAGACACATGCACCACCTCATGCCACCCATAGGCAAACTGCTCGGCAGCCGGAGCTATGCAGTCACATCCGTAGGCAAGCACAACTCACACCGCACCTTACGGGATCCTACTTTGATTTTAAGGCGTCTTCGCCCAAGGCGACACAGCAAAGATACCCAGAGCGAGAGCGCACCCGGTCCTTGAAGCGAGCAGGAAAATCCAACGGGTCCTTGAGCCTCGGTCGCACTGCCAGGAAAATCTAGGGGCCTTAATGATTGCCTATACTACTTTGGGGGTTCCTTTAAAGAGTTCCTTAAAGGGATCGATGATAGGGTTCTACATTGAGGGGCCTTAATGATTACCTATACTATTTTCGGGGGTTCCTTTAAAGGGTTCCTGAAAGGGATCGATAATAGGGTTCTATATTGGGGGGCCTTCATAATTACCTATACTGTTTCGAGGGGTTCCTTTAAAGGGTTCCTTAAAAGGATCTATTGAGGGGCCTTAATGATTACCTATACTATTTTGGGGGTTCCTGTAAAGGGTTCCTTAAAGGGATCGATAATAGGGTTCTATATTGGGGGGCCTTAATAATTACCTATACTATTTTCGGGGGGGTCCCTTTAAAGGGTTCCTTAAAGGGATCGATAATAGGGTTCTATATTGGGGGGCCTTAATAATTACCTATACTATTTTCGGGGGGGTCCCTTTAAAGGGTTCCTTAAAGGGATCGATAATAGGGTTCTATATTGGGGGGCCTTAATAATTACCTATACTATTTTGGGGATGCCTTTAAAGGGTTCCTTAAAGGGATCTATAATAGGGTTCTGTATTGAGGGGCCTTAATGATTACCTATACTATTTTGGTGGTTCCTTGAAAGAGTTCCTTAAAGGGATCTATAATTGGGTTCTATATTGAGGGGCCTTAATAATTACCTATACTTTACAACTATATGGGCTTCTATAAGGGATCTATAAGGGTACCATAGTATAAGGGCCTTAATGATTACCTATACTATTTTCGGGGGGTTCCTTTAAAGGGTTGCTATAAGGGCTAGTAGGAGGGTTCTGTAAGAAAGGGACCCCTAATAATTACCTATACTATTTGCGGGGGGCTCCCTGTTACAATTACAATGCAATGGGCCCCATAGCCCTATTCTAACTATGAAGACCCCTACATCAAACTGAAATCAGCAACCTTTGTGTTTCAGTGGTTACTGGGGCAGGGTTGCAGCTTTCCTGCATGAGCTGCAGGGATTCTGTACTCTACACAACACTCTCTTCGAGACGGTTTCAGGGCAGCTCCGATGCTCCGAAGCTACCATTGCCGACACCTCATCCTTCTGGAAACTTCAGCTCCCTTTCAACAGAATCTATTTCACATTCGTTGGGCTTCATGGAGCTCCGTAGCCCACGACTTCCTTTTAGACGGTCTCCCAGGCCAAGGAACACAGCGGTGCACACCTCCGTGGGATCGTCGAGCTCATCAGCGAAGGGCAAGTAGCCTGTGTTAGTATTAGTGGGTGGTTGGAAACCTTCCTTCATCACAGTTTGGCATGAACCCAAATTTTTGCAAATCAGGGGATCAGCATCGGCCTCCAGCGGAAGAGATGGCTCCAAACAGCAACAAGCGTCACTTTGTTGAGGCAGCGCCTGTGCCCTTCCCCTAGTGCGCACGTCGACACTTGCTTTGGGGACTCGGTAAAGCCAAGCAGCCGCAGACGAACTCAAAAAGGATGACGCCGAGGGACCACAAATCTACCTGCGGCCGGTTCAGAACGTAGGTGGCCAGTTTAATGAATCAACGCCCATAAAGACGGGTTGGGATTAAGATCCCGCAGATGCACTCCAGAATTTTGCCTGTTGTTTGGAGCATGAGACGGGAGTAAAGAAGGCCGTGAGGTCTAGCTCTAGAGCAACAAGCCCTCCCAGCCACCCTGATCCCCTCCAGGCTCATCCCGAAACCCACGTTCGTAAGACCCGCAGTGAACTTCCGAAGCGGGTGTAGCTTTCGAGGAAGACACCTAAATGCACGGCCAGGAAGTTACGCCCGATGCCTCTGTGCCGTAGCCGTGTCCTCGCATGATCTCCGGGGCCATGTAATGTGGAGTCCCGATCCTGGGCAGTCAGGCAGTCAACCCTTTGTCTGTAGTTCTCAACAGAATGAACAGATGAAGACATGAAGACACATCAACAACTGCCAGTCCTGCAAGAAGAGTGTTTGCAGCAGCAGTGATTAAAACTGCGCCGGAGGTAGTGACAATAGTACTCACATTAGCAGTTGCAGAAGTAGTAGCTCAGCCACCCACCTGGCAGTGGTAATAGTTGTCGTCGCAGTCGCAGTCGCAGGAGTAGTAGTAGTTGTAGTAGCAGCAGTAGTAGCAGCAGTAGCAGGAGCAGATAGCAGTCGCTGTAGCAGCAGCAGCATCCGGAGTAGGAGAAGGAGGAGGAAGAGGAGTGTTAGGAGGCACCCCGCTACAAACTACACTGGCTCTGAACCATCTGAAGGAGCACATCCAGTTTACCCAATATTTACAATGCTTCTGTCCTACCACTTCTTGTTGCCTCAAAATACACTTGCCGACTTTGCACACTCCAGCTTCGGATTTCGCAAGGGTTCGTGCGTGGCGAGGGGGTGGGAGTAATGGTAATGACAAGACTTCAGTGCGCAACTGAGCTTTACGCAGTATTTTACAGCACTTTCGTAATATCCTACCACTTCTTGTTGCCTCAAATATCCACTTGTTAACGTTGCAAACTGAAGCTTCGAGAACCCTGGTTTGACAAGCGTAGTTGGCTGTCGTAGTAGTAGTCGTCGTAGCAGCAGCAGTTTTGTAGCAGCAGGACTCGTAATAGTACTAGTACTCGTAGCCGTAGCAGTAGTAGTAGAGCAGTAGCAGCAGTAGCAGAAGCAGGAGCAGGAGCAGGAGCAGGAGCAGGAGCAGGAGCGGGAGTAGGAGTAGGAGTAAGAGTGGGAGTAGGAGTAGGAGTAGGAGTAGGAGTAGTAGTAGTAGTAGCAGCAGCAGCAGCATTAGCAGTAGCAGCAGCAGCAGCAGCAGCAGTAGCACGAGAAGCAGCAGCAGCAGCCGCAGTAGTAGTAGTAGTAGTAGTAGTAGTAGCAGTAGTAGTAGTTGTAGCAGTAGCAGTGGCAGTGGTAGTGGTAGTCGTGGAGGAGGAGAAGGAGGAGGAAGGGCATGAGTAGGAGTCCTGTGATGGGATAGCTGAACAGAAGTAGTCGCAGCGGGAATAGCAGTGACAATTGCAGCAGGGGGCGTAATAAACCGTAGCTGGGCCAGACTCCTCAAGGGTTTTGATGCTTGCCAACAAGGTGATGTCAAATAACCTACAGCTCCAAAAGACCCAGCCCAGTGGCATGGTGAAGGTTCGAGTCTTTCCCTCCTCAAGCTTCTTGGCAATGCCGAAATCGATAAGTTTGAGGTATCCTGATGCAGGTCGGCATCTCTCTCATCGCCATACTCCGCGAAACGCGCCTAGAAAAGGAGATTACAGCAGCTGCGTCGCTTTACCGCTTCCCTGGAAAAAAGGTCAGTGCACAAAACGTCAAACCAGCCTTGAGCATCAAGCATCACGTTCTCGGGCTTCAAATCCTTGCGAAGCAGAAGTTAGGAGCAGCCAAATGACGTTAGGAAGTTCCTGCACGTCTTTGCGCTTGCAGAATAATCGAATCACCGTGGACCCTGACCCTTGCCTTTTCTGGCGGAAGAACAACAACCTGAGGATTGCAAAGGCCAAGGGGCTCTGTACACGATGTTCTTCTCACAGAGCTCCTGGCCATCAATGCCAAGACTACTGGAACAAAGGCTGGCATCGTTCCTGAAGCGTTCTGCACTGTGAACTGTAATCTCCATGCCGCATGCCTCGCTTTTAAAGGTGATCCTGAGATTTCCTGAACGAATTCGCCGATGGAAGTTGTGGAATATCTTAGAACCCTGACTAAGCAAGCCACCTCCCTGAAAAGGGACTATGACCACTATGGTCAGCATCCTCTTGTCCAGGCCCCCTAAACAGAGGTTATCCGACGCTTCCGGGGAAACCTCGCTCGCAAGATGGGCGGGTAAATGGCGCGGAGCCTCGAGCACGATGACCAGGCAGCCGGTGTAGAACTGCGCTTGGGCCCTGACGGAGACTATTCTGGGGCCTTAATAACTAGAATGGGGTGTTGGGGTCCAGTATACTATATTCGTATTTAATCAGGAACCCCCAAAATAGTATAGGTAACTAAGTTTCCTATACTATTAGGTAACTAAGTTACCTATACTATGTTGGGGGTCGGTAACTAGTCATCTAAGGCCCCTACATCAGGAGATATTCATACTACTTTCATTGCTACTATCGGTTAACCGGCTTCGTGTCTCGTTCTTATGTTGTCACTATTGTCAACACGAACTACCTCAATATTAATATTGCCGCTACTGCTAGTATTTACCACACATAGTGCTTGCATAACTGTTCTTGTTATGTCTCAGGGCCGCTGGCGGCACCTGAGAAGTCCTGCAACCCGAGGGGGTAATGCAACAAGCGCGCGCGTTATACCAGACTCTGACAGCGATTGGCTCCCGGCCTTGAGAGCACAGTGGGAATCTCGCGGATCGCGCCATGGAGCTCGCCGCCAGTGATGAGCTCGGTTAGGATGTAGACCTGAGCTACTCCTTCACTTTCTTAAGCCTGCCAACCGACACCCGCCCGGGGACAAGGGCCTGGCAGTTTAGGGAACCGGGTACAAACATCACCTTCAAACTGCTCCTGAGGTCACCCAAAGTCGGATTTTGCACCAACCTCTTGCAATGGAGCTGCGCTCTTGCTCGTCTCGAACGTTTGCACGAGTCTCCTAAGTCAAACCAAGCGCTCAGGTCGGGAACGATGCCTACCATAAGCCGCTCGTTTGCAGCCTCTCTACCTCGCCTCCCTCGGCTTCCCTAACTCGGCCCGTCGTTGAACACAGACCGCTGAACAAGTCAATGCCTCTGCCAGCTTCTCGCCCGGGCTCAACTGAGAGCTCCAATCCCAACCACAAAACAGCCCAACATGCAGATCTCCCAGAAGCGGCATCCATGCAAGCTGTGCCGGGTCGCATGATGAAGGGATGCTCTTGAGCCTTGAGAAGCTCGCACTCACCTGCAGCTTGCATGTGCAGGGTGCAAAAACAAAAAAATCCTTTGCCTACAAGGTAGCCACCGCTAGGCGGGCTCTGGACAGGAAACTCCTAAGCAAAGCGGCCGAAACCTGGAACCACGAAACTTCAAGCCGTTGCAATGAACCAACACCGCCAAGGGGCGCTTAACTTCCACGGGGATTTTCCCGCCATTCTTCTTGACGCGCTTCAGCGCATACCTCGTCGTTTCTTGGACTGCATGTACTGATGTAGTCTTACTTGTGCTCGCCTTTCTTACGATGGCTCTATGACGCTATGTTTTCCGGATATGGATATTCTGAGTGCTCTCGCTATAACTACTACCGCTACCTACGACTTACCCGACAGCTCCCATTGCACGGTGCACTCCATAGGGGCTGTTCGAAGCTCTTGATGCAGACGGTCCGAAAGATCAGAGGGGGGGTAGAGACAGAATCAAGATAGTATATAAACAGAATGCGTATAGCAGATAGGTATACAAACACCCACACACAGTTCTATACGCACACTACATAAGAGTATGTATGTCCACATACACATACAAATACATATAGAGATACGGGTTACCGAGACATATACATGCACATGCAGACATACACATAGACCTAGACTTAAACACACAGACGTTGACATACCAACAAAAACCTGTAGACATACATACATCATGTGCACAGAGACGGACAGACATACATAAATACCATCCTATCATCTGGTTTTAAGATATCACAGATGGAGATCCTCCCGCCAAAGCCGCAAGCAGCCGGCAAGTGCAGGCAAGCTGCCTCATGCCTGGCAAAGAATCTCTTAGCTGCGAGGCTTCAGGTCTAATATAGGGGCCCTAATCCGTAGAATGGGGTTCTGGCGCCACTACTTTGTAATTATGACAAAGAACCCCAAAAAAGAGCATTGGTAATCAGTTCGGCCCCTATGTTAGCCTCTGGCTTTGGCCACTGGCTTCAGAGCTCGAAAGGCCCGCAAAAGTAGCTTTAGTTGCCCGCGACTGATGCTCTCCCAAGCTGCGAGCAACCAGCCTTGCCTGCTCAACTCTGCCTGCTATAGCAACCCCGAGCTATGGTCTTTGGCAGCATCAACCACGACGAGCGCCGAAATCTGAGACCCTGAAGCACCAGAAGACCCTGAACAGGGCCTGTCTTCTTGTTCATCACTAGGCGGACCACCCCGGCGGCGCCGGCGCCGATAACCCTCACGGTCTTCAGGTCCTCCGGCGTGAAGTTTCCGCCACCGAGTGGGGGGAGGCTGTTCGGGGCGGCTCGGGGCAGTTGAGCCTTTTCGGACGTACGCAACTGGACATCGGCGCACATTTGTCAAATTTAACCCAGTCAAGCTGAAACGGCGATCACCACGCACACCCAATGCAGGGTGTCTCGTAGGGGAAACAAAACGACAAGTAAGACTGATCGGGAAAGCAGAAGCGAGGAGGAGGACAACAAGAAGAAGCAGAACAAGAACAAGCACAACAAGAACAATAATAACTGTGGCGGCGGCAGCCGTAGCCAGCAACAATGACCACAGCCACGACTATGATAATGCTGGCGATAAGTGGTGATGGTTATGCCGGCGGCGACAGCGACAGCAACTGGGAGTCACCTTTCGGGGGTTTCTCTCTGTGCACAGAGCAGATCTACAAGAACGTCAATCGATGGAGCAAGGGCAAAAAGCCATTGGAACAGCCTTGTACCACGGGCATGCGATACGTAGCTACGAGTCTTCAGGGTGTAGCTAAGTTGATCCGCCTCACAGCTCACGATGTGGTGCTACACTCCCAGCATCTCCAAGGCCTGGCCTTCATGCCAAAGTTTGTGTCTTGCCTCAGCTTCGAAACTTTTTGCAAACGCAGAGGATCGACTCAACCACAAAGTGAAAGGACCCTCCTGCGAGCACCAAGACCTGCCTCACGTAAACTCACCATCACAGCCAACCGAGACCGGCTGACTTCATGCTTCACTTTCCCGGCTCCTTCTTTTCCTGCACCAGTTGGGCAAACTCTCAGAAGAGGCGGACGTGTGAAATTGAAAAGGACAGACTGCCGGGAGAACCTGCTTCATTGGCCTTCATCTGGGCTGCTGTTGTTGGGCCCTGCTCAAGCTTGTCGGCGAGTCCACCCCACCGGACCGGACATCCGTCAGATTTTGTGAGGATCTTGTGCTTGAGCAGGGAGCTCACAAGGACCCAGTCATGTTTATCGCCACTTGGCTTTGCCGCTTGCCGGATCCAAACCCGGTGATGCTGTGAGAACAGTGAAAGGCTGAGGAGCCGCACTAGTTTAGGGCTTTTCCTTCCTACTTGGCAAGGACGAAGCCCGCATTGCAGGGTAACTCCGAAGCAACAGTTGAAAGCGACTTCACATCTAACTAGGGTTTATGGATTAGGGTTTAGCTTCCTACTACTATTCCTGAAATCCTGGGTTCACTGCCTTCGCGGGCAAGGCCTCAACATGGCAGGTGGCAGGCAGGTTTCATGTCTAGCGGCCAGAAATGGCTGTCCTCCGCGCCCTGTGACACCAACATGCCCAGGGATACGACTACAGAACGTAACGTACAGTCTAGTGAATCTACTTCAATTGTTGCTGCAAGTTCAACAATTACTGCTTCCTCCCATCCATTCTGCAGCAATGCATGCACGCTACACCTGCTATACTCCCCTACTGCTACTGCTACTGGCCTCTGCCTTTACCACTGCGGCAGCGACTGCTACTGCTACTGCCGCTACTGCTACCACCACCACCACCACCACCACCACCACCACCACCACGACCACCAACCACTATTACTGCTCAAGTCCTGCTAAACTTCTACAGCTGCTACCTCTGCTGTTGAATCTTTCCCGACGACTACTTTGACAAGCATTGCTGATTTCAGAGAAATCGCTTTGGCATCAGCACTTGCAAAGGGTAGTCGCCGCTGGAGGACGGAACCATCTAGCAAGAGCGTGCCAGGATCTCAAATCGACCTTCACCAGAGGTAATTGCTATGATGGCCGCCTGCCCCACCCTAAGAAAAGGCGGATGACCTTTGAAACCCGTCTGGTGGGTCCTTGAGTTCCTGCCACCGTCGGCTCCACAACAGTGCAGTGACAGGGGGACAGCCCTAGCTGACCCGAATTTCCACAAATGAATTGTAAACCTCCGCTGCTCTATCCGCAACCGTACCATCAGCCATCTATGTGGCCCATGGCATCAGCTCCGATACGAGCGGATCAAGCTGAGTTGATTCCTGTTCAGCACGCCGGGTCCTGCTTCATGACTAGACTCCCATTGGCACAAAAATCTGCCGACGGTGGTGGATAAATGTTACTCGCCACCGAGATTCATTAATCAGTATCCTACGAATCAATCGAAGAACAGCGCTCATCACAGCCAGCATCTTCCTGAACCGCTGCTTGCCCCAACGTTCAAGACATTCAAGGCTTCTTTCTGATAGCTGCGCCACGACGATCAGATCGCCTCCCCACCCACCCGAACCGGACATCAGGTTCAGCGGAAAGGCGATTCAACTTGGAAGATGGACTGTTGAGCATCTGAGGTGAAAAGAAACAGAAAGGATCGGCTAGTGTCAAACAGCAAGCCGAGAACTCACGCAGCCTCAAATCGATGTCGGGGCAAGTTCACCAGACTCAGCCCAGGAAGATGTTCAATGCATCTGCTGCCTGGGCATGTCATGATTGGCAAACGTAAACTGACTGGCCACTTACACACTCAGACACAATGCTGTACAAGACGAAGCGCCACCTCCCGAGTCGAAGCATTGCCTCCTAAACACCCAGGCCCAAGCGACTTTGCAAGTTGGATTTCCGACCGACAGCTAATTCCCTGCGCCTCGGGAAGCAGCATACACACCTCCTCCGAAAGGATCTTGCTCAAGCCGGGCACGTCAAAACCCAAGTCGGGAGCAACGTCCTCAGCACTGGCCGCCCTTTCAATCCCACGTCGACTCTGCACTTCCTTTGGCAGTAGCCAGTGTCAGCAGTTGATCTCATGCGCTGCAAGCACAACTGTCCTTGACAAACAGGCCAGCACCCTGTGCAAGCGCATCTTTCTTCCAGCCTTGGAATGGCGTGTGACCCATGCACCAGAGTCTGATGCAAGGCGCCACAACACCAAATTCCATACACACGGACGCCGATCAACCCTAGGCAGCTCGCAAGTGATGACCTTCGTCAAACCGCATCAGCTTCGATAGTTGTGCTACCTCGACATAGCAACAGTAAAGGCAGTAGCCACACCAATGACAAAGAAACCTATGCAGAAATGGAAGTGACGATCATTGCTACCGAGCTGCTTTTCTCGACAACAGCACGCAGAGCCTTGAGATCCAACTCACGGACGGAGGCCGCGCCCTCCTTCCAGAATCAGGGGCTCCAGGAAGTCCCGTTCTCATTGTTTTTCAGGTGCAGGGCAGCTCCCAAGGCACTCGAAACACTTCACTACTCAATTCTCAGTCCATCCAAGGGTCTCCCGTAATGCACCAAAAGAAGCACCTCACACCCTCGACACGCCCAGTAGAGTCCCCCAGCAGAGCCCTAGCACTTGGCCTGCACCGTGAAGCAGAGGATCTCGGAGATCTCCATGGCCTGGTCCTTCTCCGGCGGCACACCCAGGGCCTGGTGTAGAGTATCTAAGAGTAGAGTAGCAGAGCAAATTGGGTTACAGTGTAGTCTAGGTGCAACGAGGGAACTGGGATTCTGGCAAGCTACCAGCTACCATCTCGCAACTAACTGTCTGCACGCAGGCGCGCGTGTACGCATGGTATACTAACATATACTAACCACGTGTGTGCAAGTCTATCTATCTGCCTGCAGTATGTTTGCCTTTGCATCTGTAGTGGACAAGCTTGAAATGTTCGGAACTTCATGGAAGTCGTGGAATAAAAAGCTCCCGAGCTTCTGCTGCCCGCAGCCTTCATGCGGTTGACTGCCTCCTCGACGCATCCGCTGTGGCGCAGTTCGACCAATGCCTCCCGAACGAGAAGGAGACGACTGACCTCATGCCTGCCTCATGTATACATGCATTCATGCATGGATTCCTTGAGCCAGGCATGAAGGAAGCATGCCCCAGCTGGCAAGAAACCAACCAACCAGGAAAAGGCAATGGGGACCTCCCTGTCCTCTAGTGCAGGCAGCGTCGAGTGCCTCTTTCGCCGGCAAACCTCCCCTGTGCGGCTCCGCGAACTCGACACCAGCAACGCAACACCGGGCCTTTCGGGTGCCCTCGCGGAACTTGTCTTGCTCGAAAGCCGGCACCGGGGCCGGCATTGAGGCCACTTTGCGAATCAGGCGCTCCTGGACAGAATGCTGGAATAGTTGTGTTTGGGTGAAACTTTCAAGTTGCTCTTGTGATCATCTAACAGTAATAAAAGAGGAATCATGGTGGTCGCCGAGTTGGTTGCAGCATCAGGAAATCTTGGAGCGGTACAAGACGAACAGAACAGTAGTGGGAGTAGGAACAGGAGAAGGAGGGGGAGCAGTGGTGGCACGAACATGATGGTAAACTGAACGAGAGGACGCGTTTGTTGATATCGATGTTGGTATTGATGGTTGAGCTTTTTCTTCTGGTGATGGCAAGAGTAGGATGACCATGCATGAATAAAGACAAAAAATATCGTTATGCCGCTGATGCCTTCCATTCTGTATGTTTTGTTTCTGCGCTGGTGCTCGAGTGTCTGCACTAGCTGAAGGTCCTCCACTTTGCGGCCTGCGGCGCTGTCGGCCACCTGACCATTGCAACACCAACTACCGGTAATGCCTGCGACCTCGCCCGTGTGGTGGCCGAGACCGGAAGAAGGAGGGGAGACTTGCTTTTCGGTACAGAGAACATCCAAAACACTCCCCCGTCTAGATCTCTCGAACTCAAATCGACTCAAATCAGTACCTCAAGCCGTCCAGGCTTTGCAGATCTAGATCCCGATTGCTGCAGACCCACTTCCTCAATCTTCTTCCCTGATTCCTTTCCTTTTTCGTGGACCCTCTCCACCTGGGCCAGCGTCATCGCCCGTTCGATCTTCTTCGGCCGCTTGTCCACCCAGCGCGCGCTTCGAAGGTCCAACAGATCCTCCCAGATCATGACTTCATTCCATAAAAGTACAGAGATGGATTGGGATTGTCCTCTGTTGCAACCTGCATTGAACCCGATAGCTGCAAAGCACAGCACTCCTTCAAGAGGAAGCGCTCGCGAGCAGGGCACTTCTTGCCTTTGACGATGGTGGAGATCCTCGTGAGCCGAGAGGCATGATACACGCATGCCAACAATCAATCAAGCTGTCGGGGTGCAGTCTTTGCCACAATGGAAAACATACAGCGCTCGTGACACCGCTAGACCTCGACCTCGAAATGCTCATGTTTAGGGAGCGAACAAACACAGTGGCCGGGAAAGGGGACGCGGTGTCTCAAACCAGACCAAGGCTCTGATCGAAGATGGCATTCAGAGCCGTGTACTGCGGCCAATCCTTGAGAGAAAGTCATGCCAGCGTGGCAGCAATCCTGTTCTCTTGGCATCGGATGCACGCAAAGCCTGAGCCCCAAACAACCGTCAGGGTAACAGTAGCAGTAGTTATAGTAGTAGCAGTAGTAGTAGTAGTCGTCGTCGTCGTCGTACCAACACTAGAAGTAGCTAGTAGTAGTTATAGTAGTAGTTAGTAATTATAGTAGTAGTCGTAGTAGTCTGCCTTGTTGTCGGCCGTTGGGCCCAGGACCGTCAGCATCGCGGCGATAGACTCCAGGGCCTCCCCACAAACCGAAGACAAAGATTCGGTTCAAACCGCCTGAGAGTGCCTGGAGGTTTAGGGTTCCCACCTGAGAGTGCCTGGAAGTTTCGGAAGGTACAAAGCAGCTAGTATTCATAGGACTGGGCCTTTCAGCACAAAATTGAGTTGTAACCTGCAGCAAAAAATGGCGACTGCAGAGCTCGCACGGAATCCTACCGTGAGTCGGAGCTGCCTCCGGAGTAGGATTTGACAGGAGCTCCTGGCCAAAAACGGCACAACAAGACTCTTTGAAGGGTTACTGCAAAGGTTACTGCAAGGGCCTTTACAAGGATACCTAAACGGATACCGGCTACTTTCAAGATTTCTGACTTCCGCGGATACTGTAAAGTGTCGAAAGGCAGGGAATCGGGTTTCACCGCAGACAATGGAAGTACCGGGAGTGTAGTTGTGAAGACGACTACTAGCATCGCAGTCGCCATGAAAGTCTTGCTGCTCAGCGAGGAAGCGTCAGCGAAAAGACGCTTGTCAGATCCAAACTGGCTCTTTTTTGCAAGTAGCACCTTTCGCTCCGAAGGACACCCCATTCCAGGAAATGCCCCCCTGCCAGTCATCCGCAGATTTCTTCCACGTGAGTCTGGTACAAGCCACGCATGAGTCACGAACCAGATGACAGGCAGCAGACGTAAGACGTTGAATTGGCAAGCAGACGGAAGCAATTGCAATGAGGATGGTGCCAATCAACAACAAGTAGTGGTCAGGAATATGTCGTCGTTGGGACTGTAGTGATTTGTGTTAGGAGGACGGTGAGAAGGAATGATAATAGCAATATCATGAAGGATGTGTTTTCACGCACAACCTGGAAGAAGCGAGCAAGGGCAAAAGACCTCAACTGCTCGAATATTGGCAATATGTGAGTGACTTATCCCAACCATATGCCAATAAACGCCGGCTTTGAGGCCATTGTCTGCACATGGGCCGACGTCTTGCAGGACATTCAAGAGCTTGGGGGGCTCACACTCAGGGGTGTCGGAATCACCTAGCTTGATGTGCGGCTGACGCACTAACTGAAACCAGGAGTAAGCTTGACGCCTTGCTTCATCGTTAAGACCCATGAAACGAGCTACACGTCAACAATCCCGCATCCACGACTTGCTGCTCCGAGTGTCCTCAAGGATGGCGATGCCGACCTAACATACTCATGCGTGTGCGTGTGTGCATGTAGAGAAGATGCAGATGCATCTAACTGCCGACTCTCCGACAGGCCTTACCGGTTGCATGCACTGAGACGCGGCCAGAAACCGACCGTTTAACTAGAACATGGCTCCCCGTTCGGAAGCAGACACACTCCCGAGTGTGCATAGCTGGTGGATGCCGAATCTACGAGCGACCCCTCAATCTTTAACATGCGGGACCAACGCATCAGTGCTGCCAAAAGGCCCGGCTAGCAAGCATGCCGCGGGAAAGGAGACCACCCACCAGGCGGATGTTGCCCAGCATGCTTGTTTTATAGCGGACCTGGCAAACCAGGTATGTGCGCCATGAGTTCTACCACGAGACTCCAGCAAACCCAAACGATGCGGTCGAAAGCTGGCCCGCAGCCTCCCCAGCACATCCCACACGGATGTAACGTACTAGATTATACTGTACTGTACTATACTCAATCCCCGAACGCAACCAGCAGTTGGTATTCGGCCTTGCCTCGGCTGCCGTGCGGTCCTCACACCATGCAGAGCCACACAAAACAACTACTATAATATAGTAGGTTACTATACTAGTATATATTAGTCGTAGTAGAATACTCTTGTACTCTACGTTCTTGGAAACTCCAGAAAACATCGGCACTTGGGTGGGTCAGAGATGGCCGCCGGTTCCGCTCTGCCCCGTGCAAGCAGCATCGCCTACATCCATGCCGCGACCACCCAGGACGAGATGCTTCGGGGAACCCCGATCAAGTAGATCCTGTTCTAGGCTGCCTTCCACACGTCTTACTTGATAGTCCCAAGGTGGAAATCTATGGGGCACACTATACCGCAACGCATACATGCAAAAGTGCATGATAAACCGACAACAACATCCTACGTTACTGCGAAGCTGTAAATCAGAACCCGGTCCTCTGCTGCCAGGAGCTCGAGGCCTTCCGGTGGCGACAGCAGGCGCTCGAAAGACATCCTCGGCAGTTCTTTTTGAGCAAGTGTTCCGCAAACATGGCCAGCTTGATCCACCCGCAACACTGTGAGAAGTCCATTCCACGACGGCTTGAACCACTCAACTAAACCTGCAGAGAAAGAAGCAGGCCTTTGAAGTAAGCTAGCCACTGGGTGAAATTTCGGTGCTGTGGATGCACGGGCCATTCTGTGTGTTAGAGCCCCTTTACTGGTTCTTAGGGCTGCATTCAAGGATGTAGGATTATGGGTGGCTCGTTAGTGCAAGGGCCCGCTGTCCGATGGTCCTCGACTCTCACTCCCGCACAACCGATGGTTTAGGGCTGCAGGGTTTCAACGGGCCTTGAGGCTTCTGTCAGGGCTTGCTCGACGGAACTTTAAGTGAAGCGCTGAGCACCTGAGACTCAGAATTTGGAAGTCGTGCTCAACCGTTTCAGCGGGCACGAGACTGTTGCCGGGAGACTGGCACTCATCCAGCAGCAGTCTCTTGAAGGTCATCTTACGCCCATCTGCCTGGCGTGACAGGCGGAGCAATAGAATCGGAGCTCGGAGCTTTCAACCTACTTTGCGCTGCAGATATTCATAGATACTTGCCTCCCTGTCTACATAAAAAACATCTTTACACAAACACCTTGTGGTGCATCTACATTTAAATGGACTATGCCGTTTTGCAGTGTAAACAGTTAGAATGTACCGTATTGCCACATACTCTACATACATACATGCATATACAGATACATACGCACGCACATACACATGTACATATACTTATACATGCACATACACATTTTTTGTACATGTACATGATATAGAGGTATGATCATTCATATATCTACATATATACAGTACGCAGAACGACCCATGCATATCCTGCAAGTGCAAGGCTCGGAGTTTTGCTCTGACCTTTCGGCTTCTGGGAGAAGCATTTCGAGGTTTCGGCGCTCACACTCGGACAATCCAGGCGAGGCATATGGTTCGGAGTCTGCGATGTGAAACAGCACTAGAAGACCACGTCATGACGAAAGCAAGTCCTCTAGCAACAAATATTTCGAGGTTTAGGGTTTGGGGCTTATGTAGGGTCTTGGCGAATCGAAGGAATCGAAGGCCCTGTATTGCCCGGCCTTGCCGGAGCAATCCTCGAACGGTTGCGCCGTAAAGTGCTCGTGCAGAAGCACGCAAAGATCCTCGGCGCTGGAGTTGCTTCCGGGGGTCACGTACATACATAAACATGCAGACAGACCAACAGACAGAGAGACTTGTCGTATCTGCAGATTCTGTGCTAGCTTATTGACCTCTTGCCGAGCTAGGGACTGTGTACATGTCGATGAAATGGTGCTGCATCGTTGCCTGGGCCAGAACCGAGGATCCCGTGGGAGGACCTATAGGCCAGAAACGAAGCGTCCTAGATCCCAACTTGAAACAGAAGCAAGAATCAGAACAAGACTATCAACATGGGCCAATGCTGCCAATCATACCCAAGATGAAATGATTAATACGGATAACACTGCCAGCAATAGTGATACTGGAAACCTGAACAGTGGCCAGCAACTCTGCCCCGGCCTTCTCGAAGACCTCGTGGATCAATACCTCCACGTGTGTGGAGGTACGGAGGCCGCCTGAGCACAAGTGCAGCTTTGGCAAGGCTGCGGGCCTGCAGAGGACACGCAGGGGTTGGGTTGGGAGAGGTTGATGCAAACCGAAGGCCGTGACAGCGGGCCCGTTCTGTGGCTCGCACATTGGAATGAGACTTACCCCAATCCGGCAAAGCTACGGCCAGCCCTGAGCACTTTTCTCCCCGAAAAGGAAGAAGTGATCAGCATGGGATGATTTAGTTTCTTAGATTCTTGAGAGGCCAGCTGGTACTTCGAGGTCTTCCGCTTAAAGCGTCAAGCATAAAGCACCTACTGATTACCGATGCGTGTCGCTTTGCGGACTATTGCCTTCAGTGTACTAGTAGTCGTCTGGCTGCCCTCGTCTCCGCAAGAGTGGGCGTAGTACGAGGGCAGAGGAGGCAAAGGAGGCAGAGGAGGACGAGGAGGAGGAGAGCTCAAGGCTTGCGCCGCGGCATCGCCAGCTCAAACAAGGGTTTGGACAGCCTTGCCTAAGGCCCAGGGTTGTTGTTCTTGTTCTCGGTGGGGTATTTAGTTCGTGGACGTTTCGGTAGAGTGGGGCTTTACAATCAGAGCCCCGGCGACCGTATTTCTGACAAGCAGTGCGGCCAGGGCACACTGAAGAAGTTGCTGCGAGAGGCCCGCAAACTTCTCGAGCGTCAGCTTGTTTCTAGGCTCGCAAGCTGTGCAACCCATTCAATCTGCAGCTGCAACTCGCTTCGGTGCTTGGATGGGTCAGCCATCAACCAACAGCAGAACTCTCACGCATCCAAGGTTCAAAATGGACTTGATCGTCCGTGCAACTTGCTCACAGGGGTCTTGGGACACCTCGTGCCGACAGGTGGGCACACAGCTGCAACCAAATTCTGCTCGCATGCGGTATTGGTTCGCGAACTTCTCCACAGAAAATTCCTAAGCACCCCAACTTGGAAAACGGTCGCGTTCTTCAAGTCAACAGCCTAAAGGAAAAGAACGGCCCCCCCAGGGTCCCAGGTGCCTCCGATTGCTTTAGCTTGCGCTGCTGGGCGGACCAAGAATTCTCCGAGACTTCCAGCTTTCCGGCCTCGTTTTCACTGCGGAGGAGAGCAAGCTGAGGGAGGTTTCGGGGTTCAGGGTTCAAGGGTTTCGTCTCTCACTCTCGCACAAGACAAGGGCTTCGGGTTTAGGGTTCCTGGCAAGGTTCGTCACTGTGATCACGACCGAATGTCCCTTTTCGGGACAAGCTGTTGGGTAGACCCGCGCTAGGAGCACAGTACCGGAAGCCGTGCAGCTGCAGAAGCCAGTGGCAACCCTCAGCAACCCAATCCATGTATGTAACAACTGCGACGAATCCCTTTCTCCGCACCTGAACCCAGGAAAATTCGATTCTGCGGTGCCTTGCTCTTGGAGGCCTTGCTCTTCGGAGTCTTGGTCACAACCTCCTGCGTGAAGGCTTGACTTGCTTAGGTTGTGGGTATGGCAAAAAGGGCATCTAAGGCCCCAAAAGCACTGTGAGTTGGGCCACCCCTCCACTGCAGGCCTTGACCGCAGGGGCCTTCTCTTCAAAGATCTGGGTACGGTAGAGGATCAGAGGCTCCTGATCTCCGTTTGGACAAGCTAGATGCGAGTCTTTCGCTGGGCGAACATGGAAGCTGAAATCCAGAAATCCTCCTCCGATTTCAACACGGCGTCACGCCACTTCAGCATCTGCCTCGCCCAGGGGGGCGTTTGCAGTTTCGGGGATCCAGGAACCATTGAAGGTGAAAGCACCACGCAGCAAACTTCGAAACTGTCGGGCCATACTGTTGCACGTCAAGCTGCTTCAGGCTGAAGACGGTCTCCGGATCTGAGACCACGTCTTCGCTGATCATGGGGCCAAGCTCCTCCTCTTCCTGTGCTTCAAGAAGAGGGGTTTTCGGTTTACGTGTAGACATCGGCTCTACGTCCCCAAAGCAAAAACCCTAAACCCCCATCCCGAAGCAAAAACCCGAAACACCACAGACTTTGCTACCTAAGGCCGCTACGTAAGTCCCCAAACACTGATGCCCTAATTGTGTACCGCTTCTGGCCGAAAGCTCTTGCCCTTATTCTAGAGTCCTCGTAGCACTCTTGAAAAACACTTTCGGCGCCCTCATGTTAAAACCAAACCCCAGTCATATCCTAAAGCCTGAGCCCCAATGTTCCAAAGCTTTTAAAGTCTTAAAGGAATCCTTTTCGTACCCCTCTCTAGGATCCTTCAAGGAACCTCCTTGAAAGGAAGCCCTCAACGGCAACCCTCAATCCTTGTGGGAACCCTTTTCGGGACCCTTTTCGGAACCCTTTTCGGGACCCTTGCAGGACCCCTTAACAGGAATCCTTAAACGCCACCCTCAAAGGTACTCTTTTTGGGGTTCTCCGAAGGGCTGGCTCGCAAGAACCGGAGCTGACCGAGAGCTCCGCCTCTGAGCCGGCGTCCTGAAGCAGTTTTTTTTATGGGCTCTTTTCCGCCTGCAGGTACAGTTAGAACTCCTATACTAGGAGGAGCCTTTGGTTGGGACCTTTGAAGCTGGAAGGATGGGGAGAATAGAGGTAAACTACCTGAAGCGTTTAGGGTTTAGGGTTTAGGTGTTTGCGCTCTCACAACTCGGACACAGCCAGACGAGGTTCTCAGGTGCGTAGTCGGTGTGAAATTGGAACAGGCGGATTCTCACTTGTGCCGTTTAGGTGTTTCGGCGCTCACACTCGGACAATCCAGGCGAGGCAAATAGGTCGGAGTCTGACAATGTGAAACTGAAAGATGGGTCAGTCATAGTACGAATCAGCCGGACATATCGAAACACATAAAGTGACTGTGCCTGCGGTGACTGCACCCCTCCCAAGGTCCTACGAAATGAAGCAGACAAGGGGTTTAGGATCAGAAGGGTTGACTCTTTTATTTCAGGTTTTCTTTATCCCGTCTTCTCCGTCAGCCGGTTATACAGGATTTCAGTTTCGAGTTCGAGGAGGGGTTTCAGGTTTCGTGGGTTTGCTCGAACTCCTAGTTCCGTCCGCCTAAGTTTCAAATGTTTAGGGCAAAGTTTGGGGTTCAGGTCGGGTAGCTTTTGCCACTCACACTCGCCGAAACGAGCTTTTTTGGTCAGGGGCATGTGAAGTTTCGACGCTGGGGATTTCACGGCGATTACAGTCAGACAGAGCCAGGCAAGGTCAAGGCTCAGGGTTTCTGGCACCAAATCGGGCTTCTGGGCCGCTTCAGCGGTGGGTTCACACAGGCGAACTGCCTCAAAAGCAGTCGGGGTTGAGGTAAACAGGGATAGTACCATATATGAACATCTGTACTAGCATCACCTGCGATAAGATATCTTTGCATTCGCAAATTGACAAACCCAGATAAACCATCAGCACGGGACCGGGCAGTGTCAGGTGTGCAGGTACCATGTATACAACAGCATGCAGCTCACGGCTAGAAGGAAAAGGTTTTTCCCGAAGACTGTACTTGGAGGTGCGATTGCGGAACATACCAAAATCTGAGCTGTAAGGGTGGTGCCACGGCATCTCACTCTAGCAGCGGCAACAAAGTAAAAGGCCTAAGCCTAAAGGCCAAAAGAGGGAACTTCTCTGGAATGCTGACCGTTCCCCAAAGATGCTCCTCTTCGCAGGAGGAGGGTGTGGAAGTCTTGCCCTGTCATGCACATCATCTGAATCAAGCGAGCGCTGTCGCTTGAAGCTCCCGTCTTAGTGGCATTGCGATACGAGAGGCGCCTCAGACAATCTGACCCAGGGGCTTGTAATCAGCATCTTACGGGCGACCTATAAAAGGAGTGACATAATAGGGTGTCGCCGCACCTCGAGCAAGCCCGCAGCCTCATCGGCAGCGCAGGGCGACGGTTCCTCTGCCGGCTCAGCATCCTGAAATCATGGATCTGGCCAGCAAGGAATTCAACCCTTGTCGCCTCAGACCCTCCTACTTGACAGCAACTGAATATGAAAACCTGTCAGCTCTTTCTACTGCAAAAAGCACAAGACAAGCGTCCTCGGAGATGGCTTCGCTGGAGGTCTCCAAAGCATCTGGCACCTTCTTCTCTTTCCTGAAAGATTTCGCTTCCATCTTCGGCACTGTAGGACCCTGAATCTAGGAGTGTCCAAAATGCCAACAACCGAAACCTCATCGAAAACTCCCTCTAGTTTTGCCGACCGGTCAGAACATGCCCTAGACACAATCATGCTTCAAACCGTATCTGCGAGCCGTGGTACGTGGCGGCGATTTTGGCGGGGATCTCCGCATCAGAATCCTTAGGCGCTGGATTGAACTGGATTCATAACTTGAGACATTCCTTCGTGCTTTTGAAAAACTGTTGCTCCTGGCAAAGTTGGGGCTCCACTGGCATCTCAACAGTCACGGTCTTACACAAAGGTTATATTAATTACATATTACATCAGACGAGTGTATCATCTTAGATAAGCGAGATTTCGTGATTTGACCCGGTCGCTGAATCGGAGATGTCAGAGAAATCGTCGAGATTGATTGCAGCCTCAGGTTCTTCAAGGTGTCGGGACGACTGAGTCCCTGAGCTTGAGGATTTGGGCTTCTGAAGCTCGGATGGCCCTCATCGCAGTGGCCAAGAAGCGGCCTCAAAAACCAGATCAAGTCTAGGAAGGGCTCTGAAACTCAATCGTAAACCCCTAAACTCTAAACTTGTTCAGAGTCTAAATCTGAAGCACTAGTCACTAGATCATCCTCGGGACTGCGCGAGGGTTGCGGGGGCGGCTGTTGTAAGCGCTCTTGGCATAGTGGCCAAAGCTGGAATTGGTGTATTGGCTGTCTCCATAGTAGCCCTGATTATAAGCATCACCACTGTAGGCTGCGTTGCTGTAGGCAACATCTTGGTAGCAGTCGTAGCCATACCCAGTGTTCGCATAGTAGCCACTCATGGCACCTTGCTGCATTTGCTCCTGGCCCTGGTACTGGCAGCACGTGGCCGAGGACGAATAATATTGATTCTGCATGGAGTGCACAGGAGAAGCACCACTTGGCTGGAACTCCCGCGCGAAGGAAGAGAGCGTAGATGGATTCGCAGACATGTCCGGTAGTTTCTTGGAGAGGCGAAGATCAGGCGCAGGAGACTGTTTGAACAGTTCGAGCGCCTTGCTACAGATATGTATCGGAATTTGGGATGACAAGGGTATGTCCAAGCCAAATAGCTGCAGCGATTGACATGCAGATCCCAAGCTTGCTCCACGGCATAGCTAAGGATTCATGAAGCGCGACGATTCCCCGGGGCTCTTTGCGCGACAGGCCACCCAGCCCGACGTTCGTCATGCTAATGAAATGAACATGCTCACGCGATCGGCTGCACTTGGTTTGCAAGCTACTATTAGTCATATTAATAGTGTTAATAACAGTAGCAATACTGATAGTCTGAATAATACTAATCATATTAATCATCTTAATCTTTTCCCTCTGCTTGCAGAGTTGGTTGCAGGCGGATGCGGTGCATCAACTCCTGCTGCATTTTTCCTTGGATGCTGTGTCGATGGGGGGTGGGGAGTGCCTGAAAGTACATGCACAAGTGTGAGTTCGACCAGCTGCGTCATTACATGCATCGAAGCCGCCAGCGACAATGGACGAGAATGTCGACTTCCTTGGATCCGCTGCAGACGTTAATAGTTAGAACTGAGGGCAAAGACTGGCCTTTGAGCCCCAGGGCCTGAGTAGAAACCGAAAACAGTGCACGAATACACCCCAACCAATGAAGATGCCGCCGAAGTGCTCGATAGACCAGAGCTCCGCTTCCGGGGAAGAAACCTTTCCGCGAGCTCAAGGCAGGTCGCGCTTGATCAAGGTAAGGGTGGACGTGGTGGGTTCAGTCCTTCTTGCTATAGTCTCCATTGTAGTTCCTTTTTTTGGTTTAGCCAATTATATATTAAGGATCCCGTAAGGTAACCCCCAGAATACGGTTCTCGATTGGCTTGGCATCGGCTCAGTCTCAAGGTCAGGGCTCGAAAACCACTTTGAGTCACAGCATGATCGTTTCTGGATCCTAGGGTGAAGTTTCACGTGGTTCTGGCTGTACCGCAGGCCTCTCCAGCACCAGCGGAACACATTTGCAACTCGGGTGTGTCATATCACCACCGTGCTTGGGTGAGTCTAGATTTCCGCCGACTTTCCCGGATTCCCAGGTCCAGACCTCCACGGTGGCTGTGCGCGGCTCATCGAATAGCAGAGCACGCTCGCCAAAGTAGGAGTTCTTCGTCATGGTGCCTTGGTTGCATGTGGCAGGATCTGAACTCCGTCTGAACGAGACGTGTCTCCATCCTGAGAGATCCTGAAATCCGACTCTCGGGTCCGGATTGCGAGCTCTGCAAGCGGCTCATTCAACAATAGCAAAGTGTCTGACGAGAATCCTTTCGGGGAAGGGTGAGGGTACACCAATAATTATGCAACTGAGTTGTTATGCAACTTGCTGGCGCTTGCATGCCAGGCTGCTGTGATGACTGAATGCTATACAGACATAACACGGTTTCACGAAAAGACGGCAACTGAACCCATGCAGTCAATTCCCACAGAACTGACTCCGAACAAAAGGAAGCGTACTCTCTCCGCAGACCCGCTAGTTGCACGTTGATTTGGCTGAGCGGGGGGCGGATGAATTTTCCATCGATCTCGACATTGACGTCGCCACTAGCGATGACGAAGAAGGAAGCACCAACTTCACCCTGCTTGATGACGTGGGCACCTGTCAGCGCTGTTGGTCAAGGTGCTGCCCCTGGGCTTGGCCAGAAGGGTGGGGCTTGGGGCTTGCAGAATCGGTTGCGGCACCTTTGCGGTAGCGCTGCAGCACGAACGACTGAACCAACCTTGGCTGCTCTCTGACTAGTCAAAAGTATATCTAGGATATCTGATTTTGTTTCTAGCATCCTACTATCTAGCGCGAACTTTACGATGTCTACGGGTCCCTTTGTTTCTGAAACTCCCATAAACCCTGCACTGTTCCCCTGAAAGTGCCGGTTTGTGGGAACGCATTGAGGGCTCGAAGCCAGTAGCAGATGCCTACCCCCTGAGCTCTTCTTGGTCGGCGCAGGGGAGCAAAACAACTCAACAAGTTTGGGAGCGCGACCTAAGGCTTCAGGCTTCAGCAATTCGTGCCAAGGAGGCTTGTTGATCTGCTCGCTTGAAAGGTGACGGAAGATGTGCACCTTGGCAGGATCATCCCATCATGTCATGTTCAGGCTGTTAAGGCTTGGTTCGTCTTTGTTGAGATCGACATACGAAGCCAAGCAAGATCAAGCACCCCCGTTGTGCCCAAAACACGGGACCCTGAAAAAGCATCCTAAACCGTAGGATCCTCATTATAAGGACCCCAACATAAAGGTACCCTAACCTACTGCTCCCAAGCGCCTTCTTTGCCACGATCAGCTTCCGGGTGAGATCCGAAGCCTGGGTTCCCAAGGACAGCAGGCCATGGTGCTGCTTAGTACGGTTGATGATATAGATCCCGCATTACCTTAGGGACCCTAAACTATGGGAAGAATGGTCTATTCCTTATTATGGGTAATGCAGGAGGTATATCATCAACAGTATGACTACAGCGACACCTTTGAGAGTTTCCGAGAATAGGGACCCTAATATAGTACCCGAAATGGGGGGATCCTTATTGTAAGGACCCCAAAATAAGGTACCCCTGATTTTCGGAAACTCCTAGTTAAACATATGACATATCGAATTGCAGGATGGAATGAATAGGTTATGGCACTGTAGGATCTGTAACTCGCCCACTCCGCAGAAGATTAGCCACTGGGTCCGAAGGCCAGCATGCCAACATCTCTTCAGCTCCCCCTCTCTCGGCCCCGCCACACATCCGAAACTCCGAAACCCGTGAATTGCCAAAAACAAACTCTACATGCAATGACACGAACACGCCGAAAGCAATCTAACAAAAAAAGACAGCACCGCTTCTCCCCCTGAACCACAACTCCACGCAAACCGCCCAAGAGCGCCTCCTCGGCGTTGCCGATGGCCGCCAGACCCAGCTCTTTCAGCGCACCCAGGAGCCCTTCCTGGCAACGCGAGAAGCTGAGCATCACAACCGTCACCCGCAGCATTGTAATTATGAAACTTGTAATAACAAGCAGGGACATGCTGATCATGCCGGTCATGACGGTGACTCATGTTGATTAGGTTTTCGTGTCAGGATGTCCATATTCCATAACTCAATATTGACATTGGTAGCAGGTACAAGTAAGAATTGTAATCGTCACACTAAGGCTACTCCGCTACTCCGATTGTGTGCATAAGAATGCCGTAGCACCGGGTTCAGTTGCTTTAGTTTGCTATTGCTAGCCTAGAGTTAGGAAACGTAACATGCCCTTGATGAGGCTAGAGGCTGTTGGGCGGTAAAGAGGTCAGCAAAGTTGAAGGTAGCGAGTGATGGTAGTGGTTGTGGTGGTGGTGGTGGTGGTGGTGGTGGTGGTGGCAAAGACCAGCTAAGATTTTGCAGTGTCGTGTGTCTTAACTCGAGCACAAGTCCAGGTCCAGGATCTCTTGCGGTCCTCACCTAGAGCTTGGAGTAGCTCTGTCCTGGGGTCCTATAGGAACATGTTACAGGTTGGCAATCGTCTCAGGGTGGAAAGCCGTTCTCCAACGTCAACATCAAACTCGCGCACACCCGCATCACCCACCTTTGGAAGAAGAGCCGACCTACTTTTCAAAGCTCACTCACGCCCTCATTGCCTTGGTCAGGTAGCCGACACGTGCACCGTTCCTCAGCTTTACTCCGATCAGTGCAGGTGTCCAAACAACGCTTCTCAAACGGTTAAGGATACCGTAGAGGCCGCTTCCTTGAAGCTGGCATGAGCCTGCTCTGTGAGTCTCCAGGCACCATGGACAAGTCATGCGCAGGCTACGGAGGGTAGCCGGAGCAGAGACGGTGATATCACGACATGCACCGCAAGATGCCACCCGTGTTCGTTCACGCTCGACGACGTGCTGTCGCACGTGTGCGGATTGTTGCAAGCAAGCAGCGATCCAGCCACGAAGTTCCTGTGCCCACCCCGGATCAAATGCTAATCTCCCAAGTGCCAATAAACCTGAGACCTGCGTGTCGGTGTTGAAAGCAGCTGTCACAGACTCATCCTAACTGCGGCTGCAAGCAAGAAGTCGTTGCTACTAGGAGTAGATCTTTACAGTGTTTTAAGAAGATGCCGTCTTCTTATCTTGCCATGACCATTTCTGGTGACTTGTTGAGCTGATCGCTGCTTCGATCATCCACCCCAATCTCCGACTCCCTAGGAACCTATAAACCTGAAGCCCGGACCCTAATTAATTGAACCCTTTTGCACAGGCTTGCGTGAATCGCGCGTGGATGTGTCGCACACCCCTTTTGCACAGACTTGTTGACCCTAAACTGTTACTTAATGTGACAAGGCCAACCAGCTCAGAGCAAACCCGAACTCCAGGGTCCTGATCTCCGACTTGGCCTGGCGTGGCCGGGAGCTTCCTCTAAACTCTTCTGCGATAGTAACCCCATCATGCATCATGACGATGACCCTTATTGTAATAAATAAGTATACTTAGTGGCTGTATACTAAACCTTTGATTCTGAAATCGTAATCCTATCATAACCCTTAGTATAGTTAGTTTTGGAAATAGCCCAATAATCAGCCTTGCAGTAACCCGATCATATCCCTTGCACTAGCCCTAACACGACCCTTGTGGCGACCCTGCCATCACCCTCTATGGTAAGCCTATGTTAACTGTTAACCATAACTCCAGGCTTGTTTAGAATGTCGAATCGTACTTTCGCACAAGTCCCGTAAAGCTTCACAGGAAGCCGACAAGACGTCTACTATAGGGGCCTTAATAAGTAGAATAGGGTTTTGGGGCCCATTATACTATAGTTATAATAAGGAGCCCCCAAAATAGTATTGGTAATTATTCAGGCCCCTATAGCACAATGATCACTACACTATAACCAGCCCCCCACGCAAGGGATGCAGAGCTTAGTTATTTGCTTCCTTTCCTCATCCGCCAAAGCCTCCAAGGAACGCCACCCTGTCTAGCACTCACAACATGTACCCGGCACCAAACTCGCCTGTTCGGGCGCTCACAACCCCAGACCTGTTTGGGGCGTTAGGGCTGTTAGAATTCATGGCCGGGATGTTGCAAGCATAAGGAGGAGGACGGCCTCGACAACCTTCAATAACATGGACATGCAGGTATATGGCAGCGATATGTCTGTCACAAAGACGTACCACGAAAAAACAAACACTCAGCCGTGTATGGGGCCCAAAACACCACACTCCAAAGCACTTCAACAATCCCTCAACATCAATGACAACGCCCATTGTACCCTTACATTACAAAAGCTAGCCCGAGGCCGAAGAAAGTTTCGGCCACCTCCGAGGCAGCGTTGCTTTCAAGCAGCCCGCCGTCCTGCCACAGGCGCTCAGGTCTTGGCGAACAGCGAATGAGGCTTTGGGGGGGTGTACAATCTTGCCAGGTTATGTACCCGTAGGGACTATAACTTACTTTCGCAGTAGCCTTCGGGAACAAAATGTTAAACTCTGGCGTTATATTGGGATTATACCTACTCGACTACTAAGGTAAGGAACGCAGCTACAAGTTGTTCAGACCTCGGAAACCCTCCTCTGCAAGCACAAAACTCTAGCCATGGACGGCCCTGGATGTTCACTAGACTCTAGACTATAGACTCTCAACCCAGCCTCCAGCCACTGTGCACGCTCCAAGGTGACCTGACCAGGCACAGCGACGAAGGTGCGAACCCCTGCTAATAAGACATATGACACGAAGCTTTGTTTGGGCCTGTGCCCGTGCGCGAACTCAACGATAGAGCAGACTTGCAAGCTCTTCGCATTTGGCAGCCTGCTACAAAGTACCGGGACCTTCACCTCTTGATTTCTCCAGCTGACGGGGCGTCAGAGCACGGAACGTCTGAAACGAAGGTCAGAATTCTGACCGAGTCTGGCTCCGCACATGTGCAGTTGCAACGCTACAGCTGCAGATACACGCACACCGGCACACAGTGAAATAGCATGCCGTAGCTACTGCCCCTGCTCCGTGGGCGAATTCATGCTCGGAAGAGCTCACAGCTTCCGGATGGACCCATAGCTGCGGCTATTTGCACACCAGGTCCCGGGTCCTCTCACTCACAGATCTCTGAACATTGTTGGATGTCGTGGCACAAATAGTTAAACAACACATACACAAACAAATAAAACTGTATACACATATCTGTATATGTATAATACGTATACCTACAACTCTAGAAAAAGTTGTACATGCATATATATATATATATATACACACACACACACACATATATGTTCACACCCCCCGCCCCGTTGACAGACCATGCATATATATATATATATATATATATATATATATATTTATATATAGGTACACGTATATGTGTATACTGTGCTATCTTTATATGCTCAAGACTCTCTAGAATATGTATAAACATATACACCGGTAAATAAATAAATATATATATATACATATATACATATAGATATTGCATGCTTTCCACATTTTGTTCGCATCATCAGTCTACTCCGAGAGCCCGGGGCCCACAACACTCCTCCACCAGGCATTGTAGATCTGCTGCAGCTCCGGTTGCGGCAAAGGGCACCGCTTCCTTGAAGAAGGCGCGTGGAAACTACAAGGTCACTTGCTGGTGAGGTCTTTGGAAGGAAGCCTTCTAAACCATAAAGCACGGAGGAGCAGGTAAAAGCTCACTGATCCTGGCCTAAACCGCTAGACTCGAAACCCTTTTTGAACCCAGACTGTTCTGATAAACTCGAAACCCTTTCTTTGCAACAGGCTTTCCACTTCGCCCTAAATCCTAAACCCCAAACGTCTTCCAGGCATCTGAAGGATGGTCGAGGGGGTGAAGCGCCAAGGTTTCCACTCGGCGATGAAGTGGATGAGCTGGCATCGCAACCGTCTTTGGAGCTCCAAACAACGGGGGACCCAAGACCCTTACTTTAGGCATGGTTAGGTCTTAAACGCCTTAGCTAGAGAACACTGATCTCTTGCATAGGCACTTTCATGCACGTGTGGGCAAAGTAGGTTTGGCTAGGTCTCTAGTTTTGCATACTGTATTTGCGCAGTTATTTCAGCCAATTGAGGCATGCGTGCGGCAAAGGTGAAAGTATGTGTGTAGGTACATGCACAACTGCGTGACAGCACGAATGTGGGCACAGAAGAATGAGTGTACACAGGTACGCAGGCAAGAACGGAACGCATGTGCTCCTGCGAAAAATGGACCCTGTTTTGATTACACAGGTACATACATGACAGAAGAGATGGTAATACTGGAAGTCAGTGGGGACTGGGATGGTTGATCCGATCTGGGGACCAATGCTATTGAATGCCAAGGATGTGACACCTCTGCTTGCACTGCTACCACCGGTGACAAGGATATGAATCATTGCAAGCAGGCATGCAATTATAGAAGTCTCACGACGAAAGCCCCGCACACGCAAGCAGCGTAGAACAATCACAGATAACCCCAAAGTCACACGTGAATATTCAAGAAGCAACGGCAACAGCTGAAGATTTGTATGTGGCTAGCTGTGTGTGGTTGCAGACACCTCCATAAATACGCGCATGCATACATCCATGCATGCATGCGAGCATGCATACATGCACACGTGACTACATGCATACATGCCCACATGCATACAGCATACATGCGTACCAACGTACGTACGTATGTACATACATCCATACTTACTTGCTTAAATACTTGCATACTACAGACAGGCGATGTGTGTATATATATATATATATGTATAATACACATGTGTGCATGAGCGTGTGTATGTACGCACGTACGTATGCACGCACATACATACATACACACACACATACATAGACACATAAGTTCGCACATACATACCTACTTACTTACATATTTACATACATACTGACATACATACATACATAGGTACGTGCAAACATACATACACACACATACCTACATACCTACATACATACATACCTACATACACACATACAACATTACATACAACAACATACATACAAAATACATTCAGACATACAGACATACGGACATACAGACATACATGCATACATACATACGTACTATGCATACATTTTTACAACGATACATTCGTACAGCATCGGACTAACATACATACAGCCGCGTACATCCACACCCAGACAAAAGACCGCATCGTAGGAATGATCTGGCATGACAACCAATCAACTTCGCAGAAAGCGGAGCAATGCGGCTGCTACTGCTACCGAACAATCTCGAACGGGATGGACATTAGGTATCCGGCACTTTAAACTGCCTGCCAGCTATCGCTGATTGTGCGAACACACATCCGCTTGTCCGAATAGGGAGTTCTCAAAGCCTCCCTGCTGTCCATTTAGGCGACTCCTTCCAATTATCCTCGACCGCATGGAACACGAAAAAGCCTCATTTCTGATCCAAGGCACTGTGGCGTGTTTTAGCACCCACTCGGCAGATTCCCCGAAGTACTTCTGCCAGTGCCTCGCACACACATGCGAGATTCAAGCCACAGAAAACACAACCATGCTGACACTGCAGCTTGCCTCAGACTTGAGCACTCCCGATGCCAAGGCCAGGACAAAAATCTGATTAGAATTTCAAACTGTTCACATCTTAGCTGTGGACTTCTTCAGACGGGATTCCTTCAGCAGCTGACGGGTCTATTCCTGTTTGCTTCTACTCAATCTCCTCCGCTCCTGAAACAGCTTTTTTGATTAGCCCGCAGGCTCCACAACCTTGTCCAGTACATCCGAGTCCGAGCACTCTCTCATCATCTTGCCGCACTAGCCTACTAGTACGCTTTGCGATCTCGTCCGGTGTTGTTTCTAGCTCATCCTAAAATGGCCCGGAGGTTTGTATCCTTGCACTATAATTTGCTAGCAGTTCGCTTGTGTGTCTTCTCACCGGTTGCAAGTTGCACAGTGCAACTGTAGTCGCTGGTGGCTGCTGGAAATTGCAACTCGTTGTGCTGAGCCCAACGGTGAACCAAAGTTTCGTTGCAGGCTTGAGAGATGAAAGATGCGATGCGAAGTTCTGAGGTGCATGGCTGTCGGTCTGCCTGTACTGTGCTGTATGTCTGTCTGTGGGTCTGTCTGTCTGACTGTCTGTCAGCCGGTCTGTCAGTCTCCGTCTCTCTACATGGGTCTCTCGCTCTCGCTCTGCCTCCTGGTCCTTGTTCAATCTCTTCAGCTTGTCACTGTAACATGCTGATGGGCTTCCTGTGTATCTTCCGTTGGTGGTATGAATCCTCAGCTGCGTATATGTACTATTCCTTCGTACCGCCATCCCATGGCCTGTACACAAATGGAGGCTTGTGCACCCCATCATCGCCGCAGAACTCGCCGATCAGCATCGTGTAGTATCCCGGCAACAGGGAGATGGTGTCTTCTCGGCGCAGTGAAGAAGCTTGAAACGCTACTGCGAGGGAAGACAGAAGGACAAAGCCATGTAAGTACCAATGCTGTTTTGGGGGCTCCTTATTATAACTATGGTACAACATTTTGGGGGCTCCTGACAATAATTATGGTATCTTGAGGGCTCGTTATTATAATTATGGTATAATATGAGCCAAAGGCACTGAAGCGCTTGTTGACCCAATCCATCTCTGATGCGAGGTGCAGGCTGGAGCTGGTGTCGAGAACACCTGAAAGGTCAGGCAGCATGAGCTGGTGTAGGAGCCGTAAATTTCTAGAACAGGGTTCCCCTTAAAGGGTTCCTTCAAGGGATCTATAGCAGGGTGCTATAGTATGCGGGCCTTAATAATTAGAATAGGGCTTGGGGACCAATTTTCTCCCAGTATAGCAACGAACCCGCCCCAATGGTATTGGTAATTATTTCTGCCCCTAGATTATGGAACAGTTCCTGCTTCCATCATGTGTCGCTGCGGCTACTTTACGAGGAAACCCTTCATCAAGATGGCAAACCACTGCTCTGCAACATCTTGGCTCAAAGCTTTCAACCACCAAATCTATCTATCGTAGTTTCGGTGAATAGTGAGAACACGGTACCCTTATATACAAGACCCTCCCACCCTTTCAACCCCGAAAACAGTACACAAACTTTCTGAATCTAGCATATCTCAAACTTCACCCCCTCCCAGGCGCTGCCGAAGTCCCGGTCGTAGAAGATACGCCGGGGATCGATGATCATCGGGCCACCACTCATCGCGCCATGCCCATCCCAGTAGGACTAAGCTGCTTTCTGTACTTCCACAGGAGCTGTGCAACCAAGAGTCGACTCAGTGATGCTATCGACAACCACTTGCTGACAAAAGGCGAACGGGGTCGCGATCTCCACCGGAAAGTTGGCCAAGTCAAACCTCGGTGCACATGCAAGAGGCACACTTCTGCTAGCGGCTACACCGACTTGCCTGAACCCAGTTCCCGAAACCGCCCCTCCACCTGGAAGCAGGCAACGCTGATAGATCAAAGCCCCTGAAGGGGTCACATGCCGAGCCAACACACTCTCGGCCTCCAAACTTCCATGGAGTGTGAGAATGAGTAGGGAGTGTAACCACGAGCTTAGCGGCAAGTTGTCCAGGCTGCCGATCGGAAAGCTGTCAGCATCCATGTAGATAATGCGGTCGTACTGATACAAGCTGGCCTCGGAGCACAGCTTGAAGAGCGCGCAAAATTTCCTTGCACTGCCGTTCAAGATGCCAGGTGTCTTACGCTTCCTTGGCCCTAGTTTAAGAACATTAGCAGTGCATTATTCACAGCCGTTGTCGGGATAAGGATCCTCATGCCAAAACCTCACACGTCTTCACCCCAGACATGGCCATAGACTAGGAAGGTCAAGTCCTAGGCCCGGCTACGCAGAAGTTCCGTTCCAAGCCGTGGACAGCGAGGCGAGACAAGCGGCCACTCGAAGTTTGAGATAAGACTGCACCCACTGGTGCATGCCTTTGCTTGTGGTCTGCTGCACCTTCTCAGTTGCACAAGGAAAGGAGAGTCTGTGGAACACTTTTCCGGGACTGTCGCGAGTCTCCGAACTAAGTCCTGGACGGAGGGGGTCATGATTGGAGGATTAGGGGCGTAGCCACAGGTTTGCAAAACGGGACATAGTCGCGCTAGAGTATGTGGGACCTCTTCCCTACATCCTGAAGCCGCCGATCCACCCAATCGAAGCAAGCCAATCCACCCTGCCTTGATAAGCTTGATGCCCAGCTTCTCAAAGCGAGCGCGACGCGGCACCTCCTCGAAATGAACTACAACCATATCCGCATTGGGCCTCAAGCCATTCCTGGGATGTGGTTGCCGGGGCTTTTATACCGGTTCAGCACTTGCTGGCACTCACATTTCGGCAGTGGGATTTAGGAAGTTTAGGACAGGATTTGATTTGGGCCCTACTGTAGCAGTGCAGCTTGTACTAAGAAAATCCTTTCCAAAACCTGCTTTGAGTGAGGAAGTCTAAGTCTCTGCTTGATAAACCAGGCATTGACAAGGATGGCGCAGGCATAATCCTCAAATTGCCTGGGCTCGCCGGCCAAATACCAGGCGTAGGCCACACGACCGGTGGGCGGAGGTGGCTTGCCCACAGGTATCGCGACTGTGTCATTCCAGCCATTGATGCCCCAACTTGGCCCTGAGACAAGGGCAGCCACGCTCGGGACATCGGGGTTCTCCGCAGGTGCCGGAGGCGTCGCAGCTGCCGCAGGTGCCGGAGGTGCTGCAGCTGCTGGGGCGGCTGCTTCAGCCGTCGCAGTGGTCGCAGTGATCGCGGCGACTTCGGCAATCGGGGCTGTGGGAGCTGCAGGAGCCGCAGGGCTTGATATTGCCTCCTGGAGCCTCCCAGAACCCGCGAGCCCAGGGTCTCCGGCGCCCTCGAGAGGCGCTCTTCCAGGGATGCTACCCGTTTCCTCCCTTCTTGGTATCGCACTGCGAAGGGCGTTCGAGGCTCTTCTGGGCTCTGGCTCTGGAGGAGACCTCTCTGGAGCCGGTTCCGTGCGCTGCCCAGCCGAGGAACTTTCCTGCGAGGTCAAAGCCAGCAGCACCAGGGCCGTTACGGCAAGACCAAAAAAGAAACGCAGTGCAGAGGCGAAAGCTCCACGCGGGGCTTTGGAAACGGCTTGCATCGCCTCTTTCAGGAGCCTTGCATAGTAACTAGGGTTCTGGAAGATACAGGCTACTGCCTAGCAATCCTGAAAATACTTTCTGAACTTGCATGCCAGCATGCTTGTGAAGTCCTATCATGATCCGAAGCTACTCTGCAAGTCACAAACATCACAAACAAATCCCACACCCTGAACTCACCTGAGCCAAAAGGCTGAGGAGCATGACAGGACGACTTGGGCTTCAATAGTGGTCTGAGGGCGGTATACAAGATAGTCACCAACTTCATGTTCACACAGATATCGAACTTTCAGATGGAAGGCGGGCATCAGCATGTGTGCTATGAGCCCCCTCTGCTGAAAGCGGCAAATTGACACACTCCTTCCTGCAGACATAGAACACAAGCGAAAACTGCTGCGGGCGACACAATACGATTTCCGAAGAACCTGGCTGAAAATCATCGAAGACTCCGACCCAGCCCATGCACCTGTTCTTCTTTGTGTGTGCCGCTGATTGTACCCTCCAGCACAATGACATATCGCACACCTGCAGGGAAACTTGCTAGCAGGACGACCGTCCTGCCAACGCACCTCTGGCACGGTGCGTGCTACGACCGGGCAGTTCCAGCCCTGATACCCCCGAGCTCGCGGGGTCCGCACCGTCGGGCAGAGCACCGCCAGATTTCAGGTCTTTGATGACCTCAGAAGTGGCCACTGGCTCGCTTAAGTTTTGATGTGGTGCACGTCGATGTGAACTCATAACTCATTCATATAGCAACCTCGCACTGGGACCCTTACAACCGACTTGGCGATGTCGTTCCGCTGGGTGGACGAGAACTGTGACATCACGGGGCACATCCTTGGCAGGATGGTGTGTTAAGAAGGGCTGGGTGCGCCACAGACAGGGGGCCGCCCACAATTTCAACCATACGGCTCCGCCGTCGACAAGACAGAATAAGATCTCTCGAAGCCTTGATGAGGCCCTACTTTGTGACGCAAGGTCGTAAACAAGACTGGCCTGGCCTAGCTTGAACTGATCAGGAATCGAAAGACTAGCTCTGCCCGCACCAGCACTGGAATTTACGCAAGTCCTACATGCAAGGTCCTCAGCACCAAAACCTGCATCGACGAAATACTTACCAATGGCGTAAAGTTTTCCTGATGAAATCACCGTAGTCACAACATGTCAGAAAAAGAGGGGGTGCCTCAACCCCTTCTGCACCAGGGCGGACTCAAGGATGCCGCCCAAGTCATTGCCCAACACCTCCTTCAGATCCTGCAAAACGCGTCAGCACAGCATGTCCGAGGACGTTGCTTCTTGTTAGAATGTTGCAGCACTGTGGCAGCAGCGCGGCCTTTCTTTAAATGTGGAGCTACAAGAGCTTCAAAAGGCCTGTTCCGCCATGCCTATACTGTTGCAAATACTAGATGAGCCTCCGATGGGTCTGTGACTGCGAAACATGTGACATGTGACACACGGCCCGAGCACTTCAGCTGGAGCATGGCCTTCACGCTGATGCAGAGCAGCTCTGTCCTTGGTGGGGTCTGGTCGTCGTTGTCGTCGTACTAGTACTAGTTACTAGTACTAGTAGTAGTAGTAGCAGTAGTAGTAGTAGTAGCAGCAGTAGCAGTAGTAGCAGGAGTAGTAGTAGTAGTAGTAGTAGCAGCAGCAGCAGTAGTAGGAATAGTAGTGGCAGTAGCAGTAGCAGCAGCAGTAGCAGTAGCAGTAGCAGTAGCAGTAGTAGTAGCAGTAGTAGTAGTAGTAGTAGTAGTAGTAGCAGTAGCAGTAGTAGTTAGTAGTAGTAGTAGTAGTAGTCGTCGTCGTCGTCGTCGTCGTAGTCGTAGTCGTAGTCGTAGTCGTAGTCGTAGTAGTAGTAGTAGTAGTAGTAGTAGTAGTAGTAGTAGTAGTAGTAGTAGTAGTAGTAGTAGTAGTAGTAGTAGTATTGTCACCCACCTAGAACTAGTAGTAGTAGTAGTAGTAGTAGTAGCAGTAGTAGTAGTAAGGGTGGTGGGTGTTGGTGGTGGTGGGTGGTGGTGGTCGTCTTGGTGACAGTGGCAGCAGCCGTCGTAGTGGCAATACTCCTGGCAGTGGTGGTAGTGGCGGTGGAGTTGCAGTGATGTGCATGAATGTGGATATTTCTGCACATTCCACTCCCTGCCCCTCGGATCCCTGCTTTGCATCTGCCAGGAGCGTGTGATCCCAGCTAGGGCGCTGTTTCTGACCTCAGCGTGCGACTGCTCGACGATGAATCCCTATTATTCACGTCCGTAGCTGACTGCATGGTATGGGGGCAAGGAAAAGTAGCTCGAACGATACTGTAAGGGCAAGGAGAAGTAGCTCCAACGAAAAGACTGCAAACAATCCAGTTTACAAGTTGAAATTTGAGGGTGGCCGTGACCCGCAACAATTAGAACCGACTTGCATGTTCACCTTGAACCATATCATCCTACTTGGTTCCGCAGAAGAGGTAAGTGGCGAATGTGGCGATGCTGTGATTCGCGAAGGAGAAAGTGGTGGGTTCAATTGCTCTCCTGGCCGTAGGTTTTGCAAAATAGCGACAGCGCTCCAGCTTCTGCTTGCTTTCCAGCCAGCTTGTACGGGAGAGAGCCACTTGAGGTTCATTGCTAGCCATGCCACTCAGGAGAAGTGCAGCGCCGATGTACTCGCCGGACGAGAGCTTCTGTGCCTCGCCCCGAGCTTTCGACAACTGACAGATTGTGCATGCCAGCAAAAGTACGCGTAAATTGAACGATCGAAGGCATCCGAGACATCACTGCAAATGCAGCATGAAGTACACGTGCCTGTCTGCAAGGTTTGCTTGCTTGCTTGCGAAGGGGTCTGGGTGCACGCACCCCGGCCCGAGGGCCAACCCCCCACGGCTCGCAACAGTCCAAGGTCTGACAGGCCCCTTCCGGGGTGAGAGATAGGCTCGTCTGCAAGGTCTCTCTCTCTCTCTCTCGCTCTCTGTATGTGTGCCATCACCAGGTCTGAAAGGTGTGTGACACGCAGCAACTTTGGCATATGATGTGATGGTGCCTGCACACCGCCCTCGAACTTGCCGTCTGCCTTCCTTGGCCAATGCGCACGAGTTCTCCGCAGTTTGGAACATCTAAACTCAACATACACGACCGTTTGCGAGGCATACCACAAATCACTTGCTGTGCGATTGCATCGACTGACAGCTCCATCACACCTTTGATATTCTGCATGTGAGGTTCACTTCGCCACCGGACATCACAGAGAGCCCGCCGCGCTTCACCTCAGTGGAGTCAGCGAAAACTCCGTCATAAGCGGTGGTTGAAACACATCATAATACCGAGAGACACCAGAATCATAACAACAATAAGCCAAGTCATGATAGCACAACTTGAGCAAACAGTTTGAATGGACAGACCCGGGAGCTCACCAGCTTTGATCCAACCCTCTCGGCATTCCACCGAAACATGTTGGCGCTCCGAGCCCTTAACAGGAGCAAAGCGGACAATCCTGAACTCCGGAAACCCAAACCACTCACACCCTTTCTTTGCAGCAAAGGTGGCGAAGTAGATAGCGGCCAGTGATTCCCCTTGGGTCGCCACGCGCTGGCCCGCCTGGCCCAATCTCCCAGAAGGTCAAATCAAACGATCAGGAAAGAATAGTCCCCAGAACCACCCTCCCCGAGGGGTGCTGACAACCTATTCAGCCTATTCACTTTGGCGCACCATCCATGTTGTCAGGCATGTCTTTGGCGCAGCTGCTTGTCGCATGTAGTTGCCACAGGCCGACATGCAAGCCGTGCGAAGAGTAAGGTCTGGAATGCAAGGCATCCATCATGGCTATCACCACGCTCGCTGTCATTGAGCCCATTATCGTTGCTACTCCTGTTAGTAACAAGATAAGGCATGCAGGTTTATGATTTTATTAGCACGTAGCAGCAGCTTCTGCGTTACATTATACTGGCCTGTAGCAGAACATGCCAAACAGGTCATTCCCCGGATCATTACCGACTATTGCCACACAGATCCGGCATGGCAAACGAATGCACCTCGAAGGCCTCGGAGAAAGCAGAAAGAGCGATCTGGTCCTGCAGCGCAACTCACATGCTAGAACATGCTGCAAGAGCATCTACAATCGCTATTGCACCTGCCCGAGAGAATCAACAGCAAGACCACCACTACCACCATCACCACCACCACCACCACCGCCGCTACCAAAGGCATAACCTTCGCCGCGATGACTACAACAACCAGAGCTTGCTCTTCTGGCAGTGTTGCTTGCCATCATGTTGACGGTTGCTAGCAATCCTGCGCTGCTTACCAGCGACGATCACAGCAGGGCTAGTTGTAGAACCAGCCTAACCAGCAGACCTTCTGCTCACAAACCTGCAGCCGAACTGAAAGCCTCCAATGCAGCAATCCTTCCCAAGCCCAACCTCATGCAAGCAGCTGGCCGAAATCTCGAAGAGAGAGTGCACTTTGAGACCTACTGTGAGACTCGAAGACCTTGTGATCCCGAGGCGTGCCCCAAAAAGGACCTTCTGTTTCTGGTTGAGGCCGTCGAAAACCTTGATGGAGTCTAGGAACTTCAGGTTGTCAGCCTGCCGCCAGGCTCCGGCTAAGGAGGGTCGAGGGGCTGCAGACTTGCATCAGGGCCATTGACATGCACCGCGTAGTTCGGGTGGCGAAGTGGCGAGGTTGGAAACGGCAAACAATCAGGTCGCACTGAGATTCAAGGCCTGGCGGTTGGCTGCATTCTGCGCAAGCACCTGTGATCAGCTGCCATGGAGGCAACGAGTGCATACGTGCTTGTGCACGCCTGCATGACACTACATTCATGTAGGCAGCCCTTGTATGTGTACGCATGCGTCTGCTCGTGCGTGTATGTATGAACATGTTGCTGCATGCAGGTTGCATGCATGCATGCATGCAGGCGTGTATATGTACGGCATGAACATGTAGTTGCAGGTGCATTTGTCTCAGCAAGTGACTGGCCGCTGACCGTGCTGGACCCTGAACCCTCCTCGAACCATTGCGCGGCCCCTTGCCGCCTGCTTGAAATTGTTGCCATTCGCTCCCCATACACCCGCTTTGCTCAGAGCTTGCACAGTGGCTGTCCTGGCATTGGAGCTTTAAACTAGCCCGCACGAGCCATATGAGCTAAGAATCCTTCCTACTCTGAATCATCCACAGTCAGGCCCACACACACACACACAAGCAGCAATGCCAGGCTGGTCTCCTGGGACAGTTGTAGAGCAATGCCAGGCCTGACAGCCAAATCCGAGGAGGCAGCAGAGTTTAGAGCGAATCTGCAGGGAAAAAGCAGGACAATGGCAACGCAAGGACTCGCCCGTTGGCTGCATGGCTTTGGGCGGATCTTGTGCATAGCTCATGGCCGACATGCCGGTGACACGTCAAGGCACGCCGAGCAAGAAGGCAAGGCCCAAAGACGATTTCGGCAAGCCCCTCTCTAACACCCCGCCTCCAAAAGCCTTGCCCTCTTTGAGGGTATTGACCACGTTACCTGGGAAGCCACGATTGGAGTAGAGTTTCAGGGCACATGAACGATAATCATAGTAAGGGGATACTGTTGGCACGGACGTGGTGGGCTGCAGGCGTTCTTGCAATAGAGTGGCCTGAAGAGGTACTACCCCCTTACTCCCTACAATGAATACTTTAGCCTAGTAAAGTATATAGCATAGCATAGCACAGTGAATAGAATTGCATATCGCACAGATAAATTATCATTTCTGGAAACAAAATCGATTCGGATGTTTCTGAGTTGTCATTGCCTTCTGACCCGACTTGTAATCATCATTGATCGTCATAGGGGTTCCAAAAGGGGTCTTCGGGTTTAGCGTGTAGGGTCTAGAAGGGCTGCAAACAAGGTCTCCTTGTAGCGACAGCAAATAATTTGGGCAGTATTCGTAGATGTCCGCAGCTTGGTTCTGATATAATGCCGGCTGGGCGCCGTTCACGGAGACCTCCAGGGTGCCCGTGTCGGTGACAAAGAAGGTGGTGCCCATCTTTCCCTGTTCCACAATGAGACCTGAATGTTCAGGTCCCTGGTCTGGACGTGTCGCGGAACACGAACAAGGCTGGGAGTTTGTCGCATCACTTTCCGACGTGCAGCTTCCCTCGACTTGCGGCGTGATACGCACGTAATTATCTAGACACAGGCACAGTTTTATGTAGATATCTGGTACTTTCCTATCTGTTTACACGGCGCAAGCGCGCGCCCCCTTCCCGTAGGTCCGTAGGTGAGCTGTCTCTCTCCTCTTCTTCTTCTCCCAGGCGTCAGGGGCGAGTTAGGACCTCCTTCTCTAAGGCGCCCCCGTATGTTATACGGACTTTGTCTCTCTCTCTCTCTCTCTGTCTAATCTCTCGGGCTCTCACCGCGTTTGCGTGTGTGTGTGTGTGTGTGCACGCATGTCTGCCTGTCTTCGCTTCCTGGGGCAAGTCAGGGTTGGATGAAAGGCATGACACACTCGCAGGAAAAGTCTGGTGCATGGGTGGCTCAGGCTTGAGCTTTCTGGGGGTCCGTTTTCGGTTGCAAGCAGGATCGAATGATACTTGGTCCAAAGTTGAAACTCGATTGGTAATATGAACCAACGCCAACACCGAACGAAAAACTCGCTACCTTCAATGTTAAGTTCCCTCCGAAAGTGCAAGTTAGAGGCCTCTGGGGAAGTGTATCAGCTGGACTTCGTGTTGCACTGTTTCAACTTCAGGACTCTACCACTTAACATGAGTGAGCTTAAAACAAAAATAAGGGAGTTCTGCCAGCCGGTGGCCTGTTCGCTCTCTGTTCAAGGTATAGTATAGTTGGTACTGCGATAGCAAAGCCGAGTCTAGGCAACATCCTGTCTTCGAAGCAGCCCCTGATGCTTCCAAGCCGCTTCCTTGCTCAAACCTGAGTTACAGGAATATTCCTCCATGCGTATCACGTCGAGCCCGGCGCCGTACTGCTCTCTCAGAGGGATTGGAGATAATTTACACTGCCGAGAAGGAGCTCGAAGTATTCCATCGTGGAGAGGATCGCTTCGACCTTGTTCACACAGCGCGGCTGTCGCAACAGAAGGAGACAAGGAAACAAAACTGAAAGCGGGCAACACTGCACCCAGCACCTGGCAAGCAGAGTAGACTAAACAACTGCAAGCCATCAAACCAGACCAACGCTGACCCAATCTGGAATCCGTCGGGTTGGATTCTGCTACAAATCAACTTGCACGGTTGCGGTTTTGTCCGGTGCATTCTGCCGAGTCCATCACCTCCGACTCTTCCAAGATCGCACAAACGCGGTCCTGACTTGCTGGATGCTTTCTGATGAGACTGCTTTCTGGAAGGAGGGGGCCCAGCTTTGCTCTGTGGTTTGACCCCTTCGTTTCTCGGCCTATTCCTGTAGCCCAGTCCGAAACCCAACAGCCCAAGGCTGGTATCGAGCGATCGCTCACAAGCTTGCCTGCTTCATGGCGGTCTTGAGGAGCTCCTTCACGGCCTGTGGCGCCATAGGGGGCACAAGACCCACCATGCTCAGCAATTGGGTGAATCTCAAATCTAACCCACGAACCCCTAAACCCTAAAACCACGCAGCCAGCCTTGTTCATCTCCTTCTTGATCTTGTGCTGCGACAGGTACTCCTGCGGAGCATCGCATTATACGGGCATATTCCACAGCGGCTGCTGGCTGTGCAGTGCCTGGGACTCTCTGTTGTTCGGGCTGAGCTCAAAAAGGATTTCATTTCGGGGGCAGGAAAGCCGAGATGAAGGTGCAAGGACTCCCGTTTTGCTGCTGCCCGAACTGCCGGCCGCCGCTGTCGCCGAAATCGCATTCAGCGGTCGTGCAACAAGGTCTCCGGCGTTTGGCCACGGGCCGAAGTCCAGGGCTTCAGGTTTGGGATTTAGCTTCTTGTGAGTGTGGGTTGGATACTGCCACCACCGTGCAACAGTCTGTATTAGGGGTCATGTGAAGGGCCTTAGAATATCCAACTGTTACCGATTGGCCAAGGTATTACTCTTAAGTGCTCGCCGTTCTTCTTGTAGTGACAAGAATCCCTCGGAGACGGCTCAAGCCCCGGTGGCAAAGGTCGCTTCAGAGCCCTTCTTCTTGCGGCCAGAGTGGAGGTGACAGAAATCCTGAGAAGGCACGGGACAGAACAGATCAAGCAAACATGTATTGAAGTGTATGTATTTTATACATATTATGTTTTTGTTGTATTTCTGTAAGAGATTAAAGTAGCAGCTGATTCTGCGACAACTCGAGCCTTCCAAAACAGAGAGGTCTCGTGGATCTGTGTCGTAAAGCCATCACACAATATTACGATTTGGAAACTTGGGGTTAGAGGGTCGTTTCACATGCAACGCGAACCAATCGAGGGCAAAGCGACGCACAGCCAGGACTTCTTGCAGCGTCCAGGCACCCGCTCGAACATACAGGGCCTGGCAGAGCAGGCAGAGACTGCAATCAGCAGATGACAGTCAGCACATCGGATCCGCTTGCGAACAGATCACTCACACTCGGACTAGCCTGGCAAGGTCTGCTGCAATAGGTATGTCGAGTTCGTTTGCTGCTAATGAGTCGGTTCACTCAGCAAGCTGTACTGTAAGATGAAATCCACGATAAGACAGCAACAAGTGTACAAGCATGAATTCAGATCACAACTGACAGCAGTCTCACATCGGGCGCAAGCGCCTAAACCCCGAACACAAACAACCAACTCCTAGTTCAGCCCCGAGTAAGACTTGTGAAACAACTACACCTTCGCTGGAGTTCGACATCGTGGCTTCCATCACCGAAGCTTTACAGAACTTGCATACATGCCAATGCCCATGCATCGGATCGCCGTGGCAGCAGTCATGATTCAGTCGTCTCACATTCCGTACTGGCATTCAAACACCAGAGGACAGCACGTTCGAGTCACATAAGCTGACAGACTGGAGGTACTCACAGATTCAATTCATCCATTGTGGATTTGCGCTTCATGCAATGTCCCCCAATTGGTTTCCGTCCATGCCAGATTCAGTAAATTCACAGTCAGAGCTACAGTTCTGGGTTAAGGGTCGGTATGGTCTAATATCTGCTTACCTCAACCCGCACGTCACGCAACAGGACCCGGACCTAAGACAAAGACGTGGCCTGCATGGAGCGCGAGTCTCGCAGCTGTGCACCAGAGAACCGAAGGAGCGCACCTGATCTGCGAGTACTGCATATCTGGTCGCGAAAGCCGTTATAAAGGGCGTGATTCGTTTGCCTCTAGTAGTCTGGAACTACTAGTCTAGTTGCAGGTCCAGTAGATGCATCTAATCCCCAACTTTGAACGGAGATTGCAGAGGCCGTTACGTCGACAAGCCTGCAAACGACATCCTGGCAGATCGCAGCAGGTCCAAACCCGAAAGCAGTTCTACAGACTGCATGCCCTGTGTTGCTGCGGCACCCACTCTGTTACCAGAAGAGGCCTACGACCAGTTGAACGTCAGTCCGACGATGGCTATATCGCAGGTCCTGCCCCCATACAGTACCAGTCGATATACAGTATAATAAGGTTACTATTGAGGGCCATATTCTTCTTTTTCCATACTAAGAACTCATCCAACTGCTTGGGGGCAGTATCCAAGTCATATCTGCCATGGCCTTGCTTGACACGGCCCCTTCTTACATGTGCGTCGAAGGCTGTCTGTTTCTGAACGCCCAAATCATGTTGTACAAGTCGACCTTCCGCCATTAAATCACCACAACACGAGTACACAAAACATTCATACGAACAGCCAACGACCACGTCATAGCCTGAGTGCAGATATGTGCAGATGACACTGCATGCCTCACGCGGGATGCTCATGCCTCGTAGTGGCATAACAAACAACAACCAACACCACAACTACTACTACGACGACGACTACTACTACTGCTACTACTTCTGGTACTGCTGCTACTACTACTACTACTACTTCTTCTTCTTCTGCTACTACTACACCCGCAACCACCACCACCAGCATGACCACGACCACGACCACCACCGCACAACCCCAACCATGTGGCAGCAACAGGAACAACTGCAACAGCAACAACAACAACAACAACTGCAACAACTATTGCAAGAACTACTGCAACAACCGCAACTGCGTAAAGCCGTGCGCAGCTGCCAGAGGTCTCGATTGCTATCGTCATGCTGATATAAGGCGTCATCGTCATCATCACCATCACCATCTGCACAAGTGTCGTCATATCCATCATCACCACGATAAGCTGCACTGTCGTCATCTATAACTTTGGACCAACACTGCGGCCAAGTGCAGCCACTCAGCTTGGACGGGCTCCGGAGCTTCTGACGGAGTGTGTCGCAAGCGGAGTACGTCCGAAACCTTGGCCGGTTCAGGTTTTCGATTTCCACACTCGCACAAGGTGTGCGAGGAGGGTTCAGGGTCTAGATGGTTGAGGTCTAAATGGTTAAGGAGTTTAGGTTTTCAACGCTCGCTCTCGGACTCTCCAGGTAGTTGCCGGCAACTGCAGTCGCAAACACATGGCAAATGCTTCCCTGCAAAGTGTACATGCATGTAGGGAGGCCTGAGGCACGCTGATCAATTTGACATGGGTCTGGGTCAAGCAAAGAGAATCGGAAGACCTATAGCGAGGTTAGTACCGCCGAGCAACAGGCGCCAGGCTACACACAAGACTCACACTCTCGACGAGGAGAAACGCTCAAAGGTAACGCGTACGTAAATTGACACATACCTTTCCATACTTTGACATCGTATGACATAATTACTCTCATATGCTGCAATATGTTGCTATATTTTCCCTCTCGCCCTGCCGAAGCCGCGAGGTAAAGACTAGCCAGCTCTCTTTCCGAAACGTACCCATTTACATAATATACCACTCTGTACCACAACCTACTATAACGTACCAAAGCTTAACACCTCGGCCCAGCAGCTGAGAGCACGGAGGACCGACTCCGAACCGGACACTTCTCACCGGGCACCGAGCTCTCGATCCACAGGTCCTGGTCTCTCAGCTCCACGGGAGCAGGATGCAAAAGGGAGAAGATGACGATGTTGCAGAATATAGAAGCCTGAAAACATTGTTGCCGCCCTTAAAGCCCCTAATATCATTGCAGTCTCGTGTCACAAGAGCCGCCACCGACCCTCGCACACTCCACACTGATACCCTCGTGTTCTTGTCTCCGGCATTTACCTATCAACACCCCGAATCACAACCTGCACGGAGCTCGGCTCTACAGAATCACCTTTCACAGCCTTTATCGAACACACAACCACACACTCCAAGACCGAAACAAGCAAACAACGCATTCGTTGTCAGGAATTGTTAGTGACGCGGAGTAAGCGCGCAAACACGAACAAATGTGATGGCGATTGCACAGACCCCACAGTGGCACTAGCCCACGAAGCACGAAGGTAAGAGAACGTATTTTCAAAGTCATCGAAGACACTTAACGACACGGCATTGCGTAGTTACCCGTCACTAGTCTGAAGCGCAAGCCTCGATTAGCAGGCAAGTTGTCGCGCCCAAAAGCCCACTGCCAAGAAGTCCTCGAAGGTCAAGGGCTGAACTGCGTGGATCGTCGGCCCCACAATGATCTCCTGCATGTAAAACCCATCGAAATTATGAAAGCTCTGCCACATCCATCCGCGAGCACTCGCGGTGGGAGACTGAAAGGCTCCAAGAACATGTGACTAAGTCATCCATCTGATCCAACCGTTGCAACCAACCCGAGGACCAGAAGAGACAGAAGATCCTCGTCCTTTTCTTCCATTTCGAACTCTGCCTGATTCAAGAGGGCTTCATCGTGGAATCACACGGTCACATAGTCCCAAAGCTTACTCTTGAGCTTATTGCCCCACCTCCAGCTTGCAGATGGTCTGGCGACGGCACTCTACGACCTACGCTTACACTTCTGGCTCTGCCTTCAGAGCTTCTCGTCTTCAACCCCCTGTTCTTGCTGAAAAAGGGAGTTTCCAAAAATCAGGGGCACCTTATGTTGGGGTCCTTATAATAAGTATCCTACTATATTAAGGTCCCCGATTTTTGGGAAACTCCCACAACGGCTGGCTTAACCTCAACGAGCGCCCCAAGGCCTCGGTGTCTGTCGGCGTGGTCACCTCTGCCACGATCTCCTCTGCAAGTTCGGGCGTTACTGGGGTTTTTTTCCCTCTCGCATGGCTGGAAGGCTTAGGGTTTAGGGTTTAGGGTTTAGGGACGCAGCACCCAGCTACGCAAGCACTCACTGGAGGTACCCACAGACTCCAATATCCATGATTCCTTTGACACTCACTCTCGGACATGCCTGGCGAGGTCTGAGGAAGTAGGTTCGGATTTCTCCATGAATCAAGGACTATACCTCAAACTATAGTTGGATGCCGAACAATATGATTTCGGGAATGTTCCGCAATGAGGCGATATTGGAGTCTCTGGGTGGGAGATGCTAGGAGCTCCCTTTGTGCAGTCCCCAGCCTTCATGGTCTTCCGAACGGGCCCTGAGATGCTTCGACAGGATGCCAGACTCTGGTTCTACTTGGGGAATCCCTCAACAGTAGCAAGAAATGCAGCAAGAGATCTCAGCTGTTGCAATTTGTTGCAGACTTTGCGAAAGGCATGAGAACTGCTTCGAAAAATAGCATCTAGTCTTCTTGCAGTCCCGTGTCTTTGAGTTGGAGCTGTGGCAGCGGCGGCGGCGGCAGTTGCGGCAGCAGAGGCAGCAGAAGCAGCGGATGCGGCGGAGGCAGCCAGCGCGGCGGCAGCTCGCTGCTTCGAAGGCTGGCAGGTGCGAGGCTGCAAGCATCATGGTACTCCGAATGCTTCTGCTGCGACGTCCGTCTCGGATTTCTCATCGTTTGAAGGTCGTGAGCCTGGAACCTCAATGAGCGTACCTAAAAGCTGGTGCAAAGACCTGAGGCCCTGGATACGGAAGCTGAAAGCCCACTTCGATGAAATCTCACCGCAGGCGTACAAGCACGTACAAGCGTGGAGCCTTGGACACCGGCTCAGTGAAGCCGCGCGACCTGAGCGGGCAGATGTCTCGGCCTTCTGCCCTACGAGACACAGAGACCAATGTGACAAGGGCTTCACGACCTAGGGCTGAAGAAAGTCGGATCTAGCAAAGGCTGGTCGGAGTTTTCGGAACAGTTTGGTCCCTTCCCTGCATCCAGACTGCAAGAGCCTCTGCTGGGAACCAAACGAGGACTCACGGGAGTTTATGATCTATATCTTAAAGCCGAACAGCAGCTGCTTTCTGCAGGGTTCTGTCAGCATCAGCCGGAATGCATCCTTCTCCTCCCCTGCCACTGCAGATGGTCCCAGCCGCCAGTTCTGCGTTTGAAGAGCTTTTTCGCCAAGACGCTGATTCTGAGGCGACTTCTGCTTCGACGTCTGGCGGCTTCGGGGCTCCTGGACAGGGTTTGGAAACTGGGAAACCACAGAACCCGAAGCCATGTCAATATACTGCAATAAACCTTTGACTCTATATAACTGGATAAGTTCCCATATATACACACCTAGTTATAGTTCGCTATAGTTCGCTAGAACAGAACAACAACCGAAAGAAGGTCGCAGAAGGTTGTCCTCGACGGGCCGCTCAGGCTGCAAGAAGTTGCCAGAGTGGCCTAGGCACAGGGGCGACCTTCCGCGGCCCAAAGCCAGATAGGCATCTACTATGTTGCACTAATTGTATAGGATGTTATACTCTACTATACGATACTATACTATACCATAGCGTACTAGACTAGACTAAACTATGCTATGTTACATTTTGTTCTACTATTCCGTTCAGACTTTCGGCTGGGCTAGAGCAGTCCGCCCAGGGCAATTAGCTACGGCGTTCGTGCACAACCTTCAACCCAATATCCCCCTGCAACCTGTTCGCAACTTGAATTTGGCCACCGCCGGCAGACACGCACGGTGAAAGCCCTACCACAGAGCATGGTCATACGGCGGCCTGGAATGGCACGAGCTTTGACTCCATACTATATACTATAATATACTATACTATACCATTACAAGTTATATACTAAAAAATATATCTATATATATATATATATATGTATATATATATATATATATACACTTGGATGCTGAAGCCATGCAGCCGGTTGTATGAAACTTCTGCTGCCGAAGCATTTGCATCCTCGGTTGGCTTCGCACGACTCATAAGCACCTTCGGATCTTACCAGGCAGCTTTGGCAGCCTTGGCGCCGCAACACAGCATGGATCTGACGACAACAACATCGAAAGCACCATAATTGGACCGTAATGTAATAAGCATCTTAGCAATTTGAACAGGGCTTTGGGGACATATTCTGCTGCATGGATGATAAGGGGATGGGATTGCTAAGCATGCCGACCTGCAACTTGATCCTCCCCAACTCAAACAAGGACCTGAAGGCAGAGTCAGGAGATCCAGCGATCATGAACCCATTCTCCTAATCTCACGAATCCGGTTGCTACTGGGCTCAAGTCTAGCCTGACCACGACCTGCAATCATCGTTACCCTAAACCCTCAGCCCTTCTCTCTTTGGGCCAGCATCTGCTGGTATTGGAGCAGCTGCTGTTGCTCGTACTCCTGTTGCATCTGCATCTGCTGCAGCCTCGGGATCTTCCCATCCGAGGATTTTCGGCTTACAGTTCGTGAGGACATATGCTGCCATGCGTTAGATAGTAGGTTAAAGTAAGTTGCTTGTAGTAGGTTGTTCTGTTGCAACGTGGAAAAGTATACTAGTAGTGTCGAGAGAGGTTCAGCCGAAGCTTGCTCCGATGGGCCAACTCAGGCCCTTTGTGGGCTCTCGGAGGTTTTCTGCAAGGCTGTGAGAGAACGCGCATTCAACAAGCCTGCTACGCAAGGGGCTTGATGCCGAGCCCATGAACTGCGAAGAGCTTCAAAGCAAACAGCGTCTTCAAAGCAAACAGCGTCCCAGGGGCTGCTGAAGTTGCTGGAGTTGTTGCGCCATGTGCTGCAGATGCAGGTCTTGCTGAGCGCTGTACTCCATCCTTGCTTGGACCACGGTCGGGGTGGCAGTTCTCGATCCGTCTACGCGAGTCTACGAGTCTGCAGCTGTGCAACCCCGGGTGTTTATGCGCAAACTGGTGCATATCATGACCGCTCAACAACCTGCACCACGAAACGTGTGAGGCGCGTCTGTTCACTGCGGTCACTGTATAACTGGTTTGACATCATGACGGGACAAGCATTTGGGCAAAGCCTGTGCTTTCTAGCCGGTCGGTGCACCAGACAATGGCCATGATTCACAAGACGAACAGCAAGTCCGGGTTCAAGACTTCTCAAGCTCTAGCAGAGGAAGAAGCTCTCAGCAAGAAGACCCATAGAGCTCACTCTCTGAAGTTGCATGCGTTATGGCCATGTCTCCCCCTTATCTTATCAGCTCCTATCGCAAACTTCCTCGATGGCAAAAGCACAACATGCCCAGCACACACGACACATCCTGAGATAACATTCGCCTGACCAAGCTATGAGCCATGCAGGCTCAGGAAAACCAAGCGGCGACTGCACGGGGGCCTCCAAGGTAAAGGAGCGCGTGAGGCCATAAGGACCTCTGGCAGGCCTTTGCAGCTGAACACATCTGAGAGATTCTAGCTAAACCTTTAAACTGTAATCACTTGATCCTACCCTTATAGTACTGCTGGTTAGAGATGTTAGAGCATCCCTTAACTTCACCTTAATAGCAACCCGGAGCTGTGCTGCTCCTGGGCCTCCTTGGGTCTTAGCTGCCGGGTCGCTGTGGCACCTGTGGCCAGTCGGGCTCCTCGGGGTCCGCGATGGTCACGGACCGCTTGGGGCTGGTAGTGTGCAACTTGTCCCGCAGTGTCGAATGATAGTTTTGGGGCACAGACTGCAGCCGCTGCTGCTGCTCAGGCAACAGAAGTCTCTGCCGCGAGACCCGGCGAACGAACTTTTCCGGCGGGTTCGATTCCAGACCCGGAGGTGGTACATTGATGGCCGGAGCCGGGGGTGTCTCCGGCTTCCCTCTCGAGGAGGAGGAGGAGGAAGACGACGAGGAGGAGGAACGGGCAGATCTCTGCCCCGACTCCGCCCAAACACCATCCACAAGCTGCAGCAGCGCCGTCACGCTGTCGGGCAGCGAGCTGCAGAAGGCAGGCAGCTCTGTTGCAGCCGGTCCATCCGAACCATTCGCCGCCTCTCCGACGGCCATCAAGGTCAGATAAGCTGTAGGCTACAGGCTGTAGGTGTTGCTGGCCGCTCTGTTGTTGTCCAAAGCTCAGAGGCTTGGTGTGCTGTGCTTGTGACCATCCATACAACCAGTCATGTCGCAGCGTTGGTTACCGAGCCCTTCCACATGTGTGAACAGTCGGTATGTGGATTGCCCTAAACTCTTACACCTCTCAGCGGTGAGCAGGCTCGTATTCCAGCCCTTGCGAAGGGTGCGTGCGTGATGGATGCACGAGACACTTCGTGGAGCCAAGTACGCAGGTCCCGTCAGTGAAACCGTTGATTGCTGGCCGGCTTGCAGTGGGAAGTGGAAGAAGAAGCACTATGTACCATTCATCGGAACTCATCATCTTCATCGGCATGCCTCATAGTCACGTTCACCTGCACATCACCATCATCATCGCCTCCCCTAGAAATATCTTCGCCGTCGTCGGTCGCGCTTGTCATGGGACAAGAATGCCAACAATCAATCTTAACAACTTCACCGCCGTCATGTCATCATCAGCACACTTCCACAGTAGCCTTCACCGCCGCCACTACCATGAATGTAGTCACAATCACCAACCACATAACACAGAATCACGAGCACAGTCTACTGGGACTAGTGACGACCTTACACTGGACACCGCCGACCGCCATCATCTTCAACATCCACTGTCACCGTCATCAACCCTTCACCACCATCTTCATCATCACGATTATCCTTTTCGTCTTCATGTTCATCAGCATTGCAATCAACATCATGTCGAAAGGGCGGATGTCGCTTCGGTCAGCAGACAGCCTTCGAAAACTTCATCCCCAGCGACATCATTTACTGACACAAGCAGCACACATCCAATCATCCTCATGATCATCATGCCCATCACCGGCATGGTCACCATCGTCAGGGTCACGGCCATTGCTTTACCATTGTCACCAAACTACAACAAGTGCCCGTACCCCCGAACCACACTACATCCTACGCACCCAGGCGCCTGGGCCTAGTCGCCTCTGAAGAGCCAAGTGCTCTGTACTAAACGCAGATCCCTGTCTGTGCGCTGCCAACGCCCCATGCAAGGTCCTCGCTTTCATCGCCCCCTGCTACCTCAGCATGTCGAGCTGTCGCCAAAAAGGGTGCAATGAAATGATGTGACATTATGTCATGGAGATTCATGGAGGCGTGGACTCTGCCAGTCTCGGCCATACGACTTTCAGAGCACTCAGTCCGAAGGCCGTGCTCCTCTTTTCACAGAGCGTGACACAAAATCACACAAGGCAGACTAGCGGCCGCTGCACCGATACGCGCTTTGTTGCCTGATGGCGGCAAGAGCGCAAAGAGTCGAAGGCTCCAACAAAAATGTCACAGGTGAGCGGTTTACGCAGACAGCATTCTGCCAAGTAGCCCTTTCGTGCTTCGCCGCGCTTCCGGTCTTGCTCCACGTCCCCCTCAGCCACACTCAATGCTCGAGCCATGGGATGGGGATTTCACGCCGATACTGGAAAGACGCTGAGCTCCTGAAGGCAGGCCTCCATGACCAATGCGGCCTGCTCGTCATCGTCAGGAGGGTTCGTCAGCGACCTGGGAAGAACCCAGAAGAAGTTTGCACGCGACGCTTCGCGAAGCATACACCAAGCGAGCCAGGCAGGAGCCTCACAGAACTCGCAAGAACTCTGACAGTATGCAGTCCAAACTGCTCCGCGGCATCACCGGGGTGCGCTGGATACTGGCAGCAACTGCTGCCTGCAAAGTTGATGACCGGCTTGCCTATGTCTTGACAGAGGTTGGGCTATTTCGGGTGTTCGCGAAACCATGCGCTGCTGATTCATCACTTCATATCACCCATAATCCTGGCAGACTTGCCAAGCAGAAATCACATGGCTTGGGAGTCGGGCCCGCCTGACGTACCCATTGCTGTACCGGTATCTATCCGGCCCAGAAGCTGTCCGAGGGTCACCCACAAAGGTCAACTAACCCGGTTTGCACTGGAATTTGGGATATGCCGCACTGGCGACCGGTTCAGCCGGATGGAACAAGGGCTGGGAAAACCAACTAAAACTTGACCCGTGCTTGAAGAGGCGGGATCGGGCAGTTGAAGGAATCAATCTAGCTCTGCTGTCTGACTCTTGCCGGCATGCCTGGCAGGAAAACTCAGACTACACAGCTTCTGCAGTCTCCTCGTTTGAGCCAATGATACACAGCTCCCTCAACACCGCAAGACGCAAAGAAGGCGCGAGAGTTCAAAGCTCGATGACCAGTAGACTCAGTAGGCCCGCGACAGAAAGACACTCCAAGGAAGCATCGAAACCCTTGCAATCGGAACTCCAGGAAACCTTCGCAACCACTCAGGCCGTCACACTATCTGCAGGCAAAACAAAAAGCCCTCGCACACCTCTTCCTTCAGGCCCGTTTCTAGACGAATGCCGGTTTAAATCCGAAGGTGTGATTCCTGTCCCCATGAAGCAGCATTAGCAGCTGGGGGGCACCTTCAGTCCTTCCGACAAGGCCCGCCTGTGGTCAACACGCTTCTGCAGACCGGCTGTGCTGGTCTTCGTGTACAGGTGCTTACACGCGAAGCTGAGTTGGAACCAACTCGATGGCACCGTGCCTATAACAGCGGGGGCTCATCTGAGGCATTCGGCAGATTGCATCTTGGGCTGAGAACTCGGGCAAACAGCAAGGTTCAAACCTAGTCTACGACGGTTTCTCAGGAATCCCTGTGAATCCGTTCTGTTTCTTGGCCCTGTTGCACCGGTTCGACTCCGGTCAGCCACCAATAAGTCTGCGGCATCTCGAAACGAAGCTCTTCTTTGAACCTCGGCCAGACCCGAAACCCTCATCCCAGAAGCCCACGCTCTGCTTGAAATCTTAGCCGTTGCGCCAAACAGCTGGCTCAATTCCTCTCGCTGCAATTTCAGGCCGTCGGAAATCTGGGACCAGCATCAGGACGCACAAATACTTGCACTGTGACCATCCGCGGTCGACTTGGCACAAGCTGCTTGCAGGTCCTTCTCTCCACTCCAGTCATTTGACGATGGATGTCGAGGCGGCGGCTCCGTCACAGCGCGATGAACAACATCGGCTGCCGGCCTGAGAATCTGCCCTCACGGCTCCGATTCTACGCCATGTGGCAGGGAGTAGATTTGAAATGAAGCCAGTACTACTGTTGAAGATCTGCCTCTGAAGCACCAGAAAAGTAGTGATACTGGCGATGATAAATCCAACTTAGCAGCCTCAGCACTGATAAAGCAGTAATGGCAAGGTCGTTGTCACTGTCGTCGTGGTGGTCGCACTTGCAGCTGTGGCGGCTGTCGGGGCTTTGATGGCTGCATGGTGGCAACGGTGGTGGTGACCAGTGGTGGGGGCTCTGGTAGCAGTGGTGGTAGTTGTGGTGTTGGCGGTTGTGGTGTTGGTGGTTGTGGTGGTGGTGGTGGTAGTCGTGGTAGTCGTGGTAGTCGTGGTAGTCGTGGTAGTCGTGGTAAGTAGTCGTGGTAGTGGTGGTGGCGGGGTGGCGGTGACAGTGGTGTTGGTGGTGGCGGCGGCGGCGGCGGTGGTGGTGGTGCTGGTGGTGGTGGTGGTGGTGGTGGCGGTGACGGTGGTGGTGGCGGTCGTGGCGGTCGTGGTGGTTGTGGTTGTCGTGGCGGTCGTGGTGGTCGCGTTGGTCAAGGTGGTCGTGTTACTCGTGGTAATCGTGGTCGTCGTGGTGTTTGTGGTGGTGCTTGTGGTAGTGCCGCACACTGCACCACTCGCTAAGTGGCGGACGATTTCGGGAGGATATCGGCCTGACACAACTGAAAAGGGGTTACGGTTGAAAAGCACCGATATGTGCCAGCACCGGCTTACTGTCCAGACCCTGTTGGAGCTATTTAGTGCTTCTACTTCGACGGTTTGAAAAGTCTCCGTTGTGAGGACCTTCCCAACTCCCAGTCAATTCGCAATTCCATTTGGCTGGTGACTTCCATCTGTCTGGCGTGCTCCAGGGTGGCATTCTGGTAACGTCCACGCGACTGGCGTACGTTCCCAACACATCCCTGTTGACCGGCACATGCCCGGCCCACACCATGGTAACGCCCACGTTAGCATCAAGTTCATGGAATCCAGTCCTTCTTGTGAATACGTCTCTGCACAGGCAACCTTACGTCCAGGCGGATGGTTGAACTTGAACGCTCGTTCATGCTTTGGAGTCTGGATGGGACTGGGCGCTGCGGCCGGTTTCTTGAAAGCAGTAGTCCGGTTGCGAACCTTGAACACCGAAGTCCCTAAGTTAAACAAGCATCTCTGTCCTTGGATCTCAAGAGTCTTGAAGAACCAGAACCAGGCAAATACGTGCGCGCCGAGGGTGGGTTTGCCAGGCTGGCTCCACGCTGACCCTAAACCACAAGGCCTCTCACAGACTGCACTCGCTTTCACAGGTTGCATTTTAGCTTCAAACAGGTTAGCTGGGGCCACACTGTAGAATCGCGGAAACTTGAAACAAAGGCCCAACAACTGGGAAGCTGCTGCCGCCGGCCTCAAAGGCACAGCGCGTGCAGCGGCACGCGAACTCCCAGCGGGTGGATTGTCCTTCAGGGCAGCCCGGGTCGGGCAAGAAGAAGGCTCTTCTGAGAATGTTGAGAAGGCTTGACGCAGGAGGATATGCTATTCTGAGAGGCTTTCGGGCGGCCACCTGGCGTAATTATCATGGGTGCGGGCTCTCTCTGGGGCCCCAAGGGGATGCACAGCACGAGAAGCACGCAGGCAGCTCGCCGCATGAACTATACCGCAGGGGTGTGTATCTCATAACATCCCTCGAAGACGAACCGTCGCCCAAGACTGGGGGTTGCAGCGGTGACTGACTGACTAGAGCTACAGATGCCGAGAAAGCGTGAGCCAACCCCTAGCCGCGCTTTGCTCGGAGTGTTTTATTTTTCTACTATGGCTATCATAGTAATCACTGTAGTCATCAAAACAGCTACCAGCAATTCTTGTGGCAGTACTCGGGAATTCCACCAAGAGCCGGGCCATGA